TCTGGGACGGGGGTATGTGGAGAGCACTTTTCTTAAAATGTTCGATTTTTCAATTTTTTGAGGGGCATATGGAAAGAGGGGCATCTGGGACGGGGGCATCTGGGAAGGGGGGATCTGGAAAGAGGGCATCTGGGAAGGGGGCATCTGGGAAGGGGGCATCTGGGACAGGGCATCTGGGACGGCGGGCGCAATTGTTTTTGTGTTTTTTTCGCAATCTTGAAGCCCGGGCCCTGTAACGCAGACGGCGCTCCAACACCGCCAGGGCCGCAAGAACGTCACCGGATGACAAAATCCAGCCCTCAAAAACGTCACCGGGTGACAAAACGCAGGGGGGATTGGAGCTCGGGCCTTGCGATTCGGAGTGCGACGCCTTAGCCGTTAGAGCGTGGGCGGCCAGCCTGGCAGCTGTACCTGCGCTTTTCATTGCATTTTCCCAGCACAAAGCCCAGATTTTGTCAAGTGGTGGCAATCTTGAAGCCCGGGCCCTGTAACGCAGACGGCGCTCCAACACCGCCAGGCCCGCAAGAACGTCACCGGATGACAAAATCCAGCCCTCAAAAACGTCACCGGGTGACAAAACGCAGGGGGGATTGGAGCTCGGGCCTTGCGATTCGGAGTGCGACGCCTTAGCCGTTAGAGCGTGGGCGGCCAGCCTGGCAGCTGTACCTGCGCTTTTCATTGCATTTTCCCAGCACAAAGCCCAGATTTTGTCAAGTGGTGGCAATCTTGAAGCCCGGGCCCTGTAACGCAGACGGCGCTCCAACACCGCCAGGCCCGCAAGAACGTCGCCGGATGACAAAATCCAGCCCTCAAAAACGTCACCGGGTGACAAAACGCAGGGGGGATTGGAGCTCGGGCCTTGCGATTCGGAGTGCGACGCCTTAGCCGTTAGAGCGTGGGCGGCCAGCCTGGCAGCTGTACCTGCGCTTTTCATTGCATTTTCCCAGCACAAAGCCCAGATTTTGTCAAGCGGTGGCAATCTTGAAGCCCGGGCCCTGTAACGCAGACGGCGCTCCAACACCACCCGGGCCGCAAGAACGTCACCGGGTGACAAAATCCAGCCCTCCGGGTGACAAAATCCAGCCCTCCGGGTGACAAAATCCAGCCCTCCGGGTGACAAAATCCACCCCTCAAAAACGTCACCGGGTGACAAAATTCTTCACAAAATCCCAATTTAGTCCAAAAACATAGGTATTTTCCCTAGTTTGGCAGCCTTGCAAAACACACAACATGGCAAATTTTCTGTAGTGTCCGGGAGGGGGGGGCGAGGGCGGCACCCAGGTGCAAATTGCGACCCCTCTGCCGGCATGCTCGTTTTCGGCGGGTCTACAAACACGTCGGAGTTGAGAGACTTTGTCATCTCTACCTGCCTGCAGGGGATCCCGTTCTACGGCGACCTTTGCTTTACCCCGGCCGCCGTCCGCAAAACACATGGTGTTACGCGGGGGGCGACACACAGTAATCTAGATTGTCTGTTGGTGTGTCAGCGCCGTACGGGGGCGGGCGTCTTCCTTAGCCCGTTAATCGGAACACGTGAACTCTCACGTTACTACGAGGGCATTGACATCGCAATCCTATCTGCTTTGTCTGGGAGGGCAGGTGGCACGAACTGCGGGCCGGCGTCCATCGTGTTTAGAGATCAGCCTCAAAAAGGTTCCTATTTCAGGCTCACTCCCCACGAACCTGAAAGAGCCTGATTTCAGAGCTCCGGATAAAAAAAGGTCCAGATTTCAGACCCCAGATGAGCCTGCGTTTCCAGAGCTCCAAAAACGGGTTCACATTTCAGGCCATCGACTCGACATCGAAAAATGAGCCTCACCTTCAGGCCTCTAGTAAACGCGTCTTGTGAGAACTGCGCTCACGCGCAGATCTCACTTTACTCATCAGGCCGCGCCTCGCGCGACACGGCAATTTCTCTAAGCATGCGCTGCATTACTGATGCAGCAATTGCTTCACTCGGCTGTGCTCTGCACGCCTTCACTGTAACCGTGTCAGTGCCACATATGAGAGACGCCAGCCTCGCTTTTGTGGACCTTCATTTCAACCTCGAAAGTCAGGCCCTTTTTGGACCTCTCCATTTCAACCAAACACATCGGACTCGCCGCCGAAGCTCCCCCCGAGCCCGAACCTCACAGAGCACATGTCAGCGATGCTGAGTTTCCATGACATGTCTCTTGCCTGTGCATTGCTGTCTGAACTAAGGAGTGTTCATCCGTCAGAATCCTTGGCCAGACAGTCGCGAGCTCAGCTTTCTCTTGTTCCTGTTCCGAGTGACAGCTGCGAAAAGTTGCAACCCGGTAGGTAAATCATGCCCGGACACCCCGAACAGTTCAGCAAATCAGACTCTCCGCCCCGAGCTCAGGCACCAAGCAAGCCGAGCCAAGCCTTTGCGGGCTTCGAGAAGGACCGACTTGCCACACTCTCTCAATCTCTCCGATGCTTGACCTTCGCGGATGAGCGCACGCGGTAGGAACGCAAACTGACACTTGAAGCCAAGGTACTGACGCAATCTGGGCTGCAGATGTTTCTCACCGACCGTCGACAGTGAGGGGCGCTCAATGAAAATGGAAGTCCACAACTTGTTTGAGTTTTTGCGCGTTCTTCCGAACAAGTCACCCTGAGCAGGTTCGAGCATGTGGGAACGGGGGCATCTGGGAGGGGGGCATCTGAGAGGGGCCGTCTGGGGCGGGGGCAATCTGGGAGGGGGGCAATCTGGGAGGGGGGCATCTGAGACGGGGGCGTCTGGGGCGGGCATCTGGAGAGGGCGTTTTATTTCATTATTCAAATTTTCCGGTTTTTTCGAAAGCATGTGGGAAGGGGGGACCATCTGGGAGGGGTGCGTCTGGGAAGGGGGCATCTGGGACGGGGGCATCAGGGGGCACATTTTCTGAACATTTCATTTTTTAAAGTCTTTTTTGCGGGAAGGGGGGCGTTTGAGAGAGATCGAATTGGTGCCCCTGCGACCGCCTCGGAGGCCTGAAGCTCATAGGCATCTAGGAAGATGGCTCCAAACGAATAAGTTCCCGAATGACCGCGCCCATTTTGAAGCCCTGGACCAAAGAATAAGTTCCCGAATGACCGCGCCTGTTTTGGAGGCCCGGGGGCATCTGGGAAGGGGGCATCTGGGTGGGGGGAGGAGGGGGGGGGGGGGGAGGGGGGGACGAAAACTTAGGAAAAGGCAAACAAACTAGGCGCCGTCCTACCCTCTCCAGATTCTTCTTCTCAGATGCCCCCATGATGAGTGGCAGAAAGTCAGCTCCACGCACACAGCACCCGCAGCCATCCCATTGGATCGAGCTCCGCTCTGCAATCGTCTCTTGATACTTCGCAGAGTTCCGAACCAATCCCATTTCCAGACATCTCGCAGACCAGACGGGCACATCATAGCAGCACGACAACCAACCAACAGGACCGAATTCAGTTTGCACACCTTCACGCTTCTCCGGCAAAGCACTAGACCATGCAACCTGTACACGCATAAATCAAACCTGACTGCTGACAATAGCCATCTCTTGGACCATCAAAATCGAACAGCGATGGGTCCGGCGCGGCTAAATGGACAGAGCAGACAGGCCGAAGTCGGTGAGCTTCCAGACACCCCTCGACACCTGTTCCTCCCCCCCTATACATCCCCCTTACAGCTTGTCCTGCAAAAAGTCTGACAGGACACGCCGTTCCAGAAGAAGAGCGTCAACTTCGAAAAAGAGCTAACGCAAGCCCAACGCGTCGAAGTTCTCACCATCACTCCACGGAGCTTGGCACTGGTGAAGAAGGAGCAGCTCACCATGAACGAGAGACGCGTCCACCAGCAGAAATTTCGGTTCAAGCAGGACACGGGACAGATATTCTCGTTCAGATACCACAGGCAGATGGACCTCTACTATCGCCTCGCAAAACACGGCCTCCTGAGAATCGCCACAAAGAAGCTGCCTGAGCTCCAGAACATTAGTTCTAGCGCCGCCTGGCAGACGATATAGTTTATACATATATATATATAGATACATTTATATATCAAAGAGACTGCATACGACTGCTTGACAGAACAGTTAAATGCGCAACATAGATCATGCACATCGCTTCTTTCCTTTGACACAGAAGACTGTTCCGACCAGGAAAAGCAACCGAGACGCAGAGGAGGTGGAGCCACGAGCATGACATCCACGAAAGAGATCGACGTCGACATGCTCATAAAGGCAAGCTCCCCCATACCCCCTCCCCGTCCTCAGTGCCGCAATATCCAACCCCGTGCTGCAATCGATCAGCCTGAACAGATTGCAGTTCAGGAGTACTTCGAAGACCAACTGCGCCTCGTGAAAATGACAGGCGACGGCAACTGCCTCTTCCATGCGTTGGCATACTCCAGCGACACCACCGGGGCAAACCTGCGAGAAAAAATCATCGATTTCCTGGAGCAGGCAGCACCCGAACAAGAACACTATGAAGACACGTGGCTACAGGAATCAGAATACCTTCGAGCAAGCCAGTACAACTGGGGTGGCGACACAGCCATTGTGGCCTTCACTCTCATGGAACAGCGACGTGTATGGGTTCACTGGCCCGACGAAGACAGCCTCATACATTCCATGGAAAGAACCCACGAAGACGTGCTCCCAAACCTTCCTCCGCAAAACTTCGACGACATCCACCTCTGGTACAACGGAAAGGATCACTACGACCTCTTGATACCCCATGCTCCGCATCACCAGCCCTTCCATGCACAAGCGACATCCATCACAGACCGACAATCCAGCGAGCATCCAGAAGCATCCGAGCCACAGCCACAATCGCCGCCGCCGCCGCTACCACCACCACCAATGCCACCACCAACACCATCACCGGACGAATCGCCTGCGACGGCTGACACACCACCACCCCCACCACCGCCAACGTCAGCACAGCCCAGACCGCACAAAAAACACAAAACCAACCAAGCAGAAGTCGCCACAAAACCGAAGGCCACAGCCAAATCAAAGATCAGATTCTGCTGCAAAACGAACCAGCAGCAAACAACAACAGAGCAGGAGCCGACAGAAGTCAAGGTGACGCCACAACCAAGCATCCTGCAAGAACTCAGCAAAGTCGAGGTCGCCCCAAACCTGATGCACCCACGACGCCTCCTCGAAGACGCCATCCGTCACCTGGCTTCGGAAGAGCTGCGTGACGACCCACTCATACCGCCAGGAAAATGCAGACAGGACATAGACAAAGGAGAAGCCTGGCCACGAGTATTTTGTGCATTCAAAGGATGCAATTGGACGACGAGCAGCGGAAGCGAAGAAGATCTGCATCGCCACGTCGAGGCTGTCGCGATCCGAACAACACACACACACATACATGCGCATATGAATAGCGCACATGCACCAATACATATACAGGGGATCCCTGCGCAGGAAACACACTACGAGAAGTTGAAGCCCGCAATGGAGCACATGCCAAAACCAAAGCCCAAAGACATCACGAGGAGCATCTACAACGAGGCCGTCGCCACCGTCTGCCGCAGGCAAGCCCCTCCGGCCGGCTGCTCCCGAGACCGTTCAGCACTCACAAGCTTCACGCATGCCATGACCAAGGACAGAATCGAGGCGCTCATCTGCTTCAGCTGCGCATGCATCCACACACGTGTGGAAGAGATAAACGAAGCCAACAGCATCGACTGGTACCCCATCCTCGAACCCTTGGATTCAAAGGAAAAAACAGAAGCAAGAACGAGGAATCTCTACAAGATTCTCAGCCTGCAGAAGTACCTCGACACCTACGACACCCTGGTCGGAGACATCAAGCTCAGCTCACTCACAGATTTCCAGGACTGGCAAGTGGACATCCCTGGTCACGGCGCTGCACTCTGTTGCCCAGAAGATCACCGATGCACCGCCCATCCAGAGCACCCCAACCTGCGCACACTATGCGAGAAGTGCGAGGTGCCGCTGTGCAAAGATTGCGTCCAGCACCTGAGAAAGGGACGGCTGCCGCCCCTGAGTTTGTGCAACGACATGTGGACGGGATTCGCCCCAGAGCGGCTCTACAAAGAAAACGTAACAGTAATGGAAATGATCTGTGCCAGCCCCTGCGTAACCACCCTGATCTGCTTCTCCATGGAAGCGCGATACGGAGAAGAAGAAAAAGGAACCACAGCAGCCCTGGACGCAAAGGCCCACTCTGCACTCCATCGACTAGGAGCAAGAGGAAACGCGCTCACGTTCCCGATGCCCTGGGAAGAACTGCTCGCAAACCTCAAAGACGCCCTGAACGCCGAAGAAGGTCCGCCGCAACTACCACGCGCAGGACAGCAGCTGGGAGAAATCGTGAGGGTCCTTCTGAAAACGAACAAAACGCGCAAGACGACTGCCTCCGAATTGAAGACGCTCATTCACCAGGCCACCGTGCGCCGAGAGGTTGTCATACAACTGATCCTGGACATGAAAAAGTCGGGCCATCCAGCTTTCCAGAAGATACAAGCAGAAACCGTGCGAAGGGCGGCCAGCAACCTCCCTGAAGAGGGCATCCCACCGGAAGTCTTAAAAGTAATCGAAACCATGCAAGACAGCGACGACTGGGGAAAGCTGCAGCCACAGAAAGCCGCAACGCCCGTGGACCACCCCCACGAAGACATGCACAAAGCCGGCGAAATATTTGCCAGCCAACGCGCGCAGGGCATCTTGGCCGAAGGGCGAAGCGAAGAACGAGAAAATCAGAACGCGGTCGCCGTCGCGGCCTTGAACAATCTCCGAGAACAACTCACGACCCAGCCCCACAAGAAAACGGACACTCTCGAAGTCAGGACGGGCAACCAGCTCATCGACCAATTTCAGCCCATGTACTTCGCCACCGCTTTCTGCTTCTGCTTCAGCCACGCCACGGCATGCCCCGACGTGCAAGACACCCGAACACGAAAAGCAGAAGACGACCGCGACGAGAAGAGCGTCACAAACAGACGCAGTCGAGACCCCAACGCACCGTCCGTCCAGGTTCATGCCTGGGCGGCAGCCATGTTACGTCGTGCCGAAACGCAGTTTCGACGAGATTGGACGTTCGGCTTCACCACCTGGAACTTCCTCTTCCGAACCATGGTGAACCTACAGAAGAACACCTTCATGTATGCCACGGTCAACGAACAAGGGGACTGCCGTAAATTCAGCAATCTCGAAATACTTCACGGGATACACGAAATACAAGACGCACTCCATCACGGCAAGTACATGGACCTCAGCAACCAGATCAAACCCGTCAAAGGTGACCTGAGCAAGGTCAAGTACAGCATCGGCTTGTCCGAAGCCGCAAAGAAGGCCCGCTCCTCGTCACACGTCCGTGTCTCCTCTCTCTCTCTCTCTCCTGTCTTTTCCTCCCTCTCTCTCTGTCTCTGTCTTTCCTCTCTCTCTCTCTCTCTTTCTGTGTTTCTCTCACTCTCTCTCTTTCTCTATCTCGCTCTCTCTCGCTCCCTCTTTCTTTGTCTCTCTCCTTCTCCGTCTCTATCACTGCTTCCCTCTTTCTCTTTCTCTATTGAATGTCTCCCGTGCAAGGAACCACGAGCACATGTTCCCCCACTCGTTTAAAGCCACACATTGCAGGTGCTGGACAATTGCACGGCGCGCTGCCGCAACATTCCGGGCACCCACGACGTCAGAAGCATCATGAGACAAGAAACTCACGCCAATCGAATTTGCTACGGGACTCCGCTCTTCGTGACCTTCTCGCCGTCCGAAAGAGACTCGGCATCTTGGACCTCAAAATGAAAGAAAATAAGTTCCCTGGCCAGACTTCTCTGAACGAACAGACAAACAGCCAGCCAGCCAGCCAGCCACCCACCCACCCACGCACGCACACATGCATGCACGCACACGCATGCGGAGTGACACAGAATGTCCACGCACTAGAACAATTGACGAAACCAGGCCAACAGCCAGGCGTCACCACCACCACCAAACAAGCAAGAACAGTAAAACACCACGCAGGTCCTCATGGTGCGCCTGGCGAGAGCTCGAGAAAGCGACCCTGCCATCGCCAATGAGGCCACCAAGGCATTTCAGTCCAGGGACAAGCCGGACCTCAACGTGGAGTACTACAGCCTCGACCCGGAAAAATTGCTGGCCCAGCTGCCCGCCTACGACGAGCGCCGTGCCATGTTAGCCAAGGACCCACTGGCTTGCGCGGACAGCTTCCGCGTGCTCGTGCAACTGGCCATGCGCCACCTGTTCGGGGTGAGATTTTGTCCCAACTGCCCCGAATGCGCAATGAGCGGCAACCCTTGCACAGACGCCTTCGGCAGCAATGCTATGGCGTGCGGAGGAATCTTCGGACGCGTCGACTCCGTCTATGGCTCGATCGAGTGTCAGAAAAGCGGAAGCCTGCACATCCACTTCCAGGTCCAGCCGGGGAAAAAAAAGAGCTGTTCAATGACCCAACTTGAAGTTCGCACACACAGACGTTCCCCCCCTCCGACACGCACACAAGTATCATATCCAGAATTTATACATACAGCACCCAGACCTCTCACGCTCCCACAATTCATCCACCATATGCACACCAGAACCACACACACACACACACACACACACACACACACACACACGCGCGCAGGTTTTCGTGCAGAGCTTCCACCAATTCAGGCCCATCGCCGAACTGCAGAAGCTGAGCTCGGAAGAACAGCTCGACATGCTGAAGCAATACCAAAGCTACGTTGCGCACGTCTCCCGCACAGTGTACTCCGACCCAGACGAATGGCAGCGAGTTCGCCACGAGACTGAAGCAGCCTGGCCAGCTTTCCGCAGCTCAACGCTCGCGCTCAGCCGTCCCGACTATCAAAGCGACAGCGAGTTGTCCGCCGAGACCTGGAAACAGCTCTACCTCAACGAAGACGTCGAAAAGCTCCAGCAATTGAAGCAGCACCACGTCCACCTTCCCAACACACCCGACGGACCTCGCATGCCACTGCGCCACTGCAGAGACCCCAAAGACTCCACCAAGTGCAAAGCCGGCTTCCCTCGCGACAAACGACTGACGGAAAAAAGCGTCCTGATCTGCAAGGGCCTGGCAGAAAACATGGGCATGCCAACCAAAGGCAAGCGCAGCGCCTTGGGCTTGCTGTGGGGGCCGTGCAACGACGCCGACCTCAACGGCACCCACCCGGCCATGCTCGCGGCGCTGCGGTGCAACAGCGACGTCCAAGTGCCATACCGCTTCCCCATCACCCAGCAGTTCCACGATCCCGCCTGCTGCAACGAGAACTGCGCAAACGGGCACGACATCTGGGAAATCATGCGCCAAGCCCAAATCAACCAGTCCGCGCAGGCCGGCTACGCCTGCGACTACCAATGCAAGCGCCTGCCCATCGCCATCAACGAAGTGCACGAATGGAACAAGAGCCAAGCCGCACAGGAGCACGACCTGACGAAGGAGCTGCAGCACAACCCCAACACCGGATACGTCGGGGCGCGCGCCGCCAAAAGACTCGCCACAGACTGCTATGCCCGAGGCGTGGTCCGTGGAGCCGTGGAATGCGCCAACCTCATCGAGCACGCCGGCCACCTCGATCCCACCAAAGCTGAAGCGGTGAAGACGAGCCCGTGCCAGCAAATCAACCTGCATCACGGACTGCAGTTGCTCGAGGAAACCGCGACCGCCAACCACGCCAGACAAGAACAAGCACTGCTTTGCACAGACACCAGAAGCAGCAGCGCCCGCAAAGCCATTCCCAAACCCGCTTTCTGGACCATCTACGCTCATCGGGGACGGCGACCTGAGGTGAACCCCTTGTCCGCCTACGAGTTCCTCAGATACTACGGCGTAAAGGTGGCAACACGGCCTCACAACCTCGAGTGTCAACCAAGAGACACGGCGCGGCCCACGGAGTACCACACCTACCTCACCGAAGCCGGCTCCAAAAGATATGAAGCAGGAGCATTTTGGCAGGAGCTTCAACCCGGCGTGGACTATCGAATACGCGAACAGGGAGATGACGACTGGATGCCCATGAGCCCCATGACGGATGATCCAACACTCGAACCGTTCCGACACGACTGGATCATCGTGCCCCGACCCAGGCCACATGTTCCTGTAGTGTTCAAAGCCACCTACGGTCGAAGCGACGAGGAGCACGCGAAACGCCTCCTGGTTCTCTTCCGGCCCTGGAGCGGCACCGAAAGAGACGCGACCGAAGAAGCTCCGTACATAGGCGCGCTGAAGGGTCCCGACACGACAACCTGGAGAGAGGCCCTCATGACGTGGGCGACCCGCACGGGCTGGGCCACGGAGGAAGTCAAGCGCTTCGTCTTGAACTACGCCTTCACCTTCTGTCTACCGCGCCAACTGCAAATAAACGACCTCCTCGGCAACAACAGCGACAACGAAGACTTGGAAGACATCACGTATCACTTCGAAGACGACGACTTGCAACAAGCCAAAACCACAAGGGTGCGAGGAGCCGAGGAAGAGAACGACGACGCAGAAGCTCCGGCTCCCGAGCAGTTGCAAAACGCAACAGCTGCGACGGTCGCCGTGCAGCGATGCCAACTCACAAAAAACATGTTTCACCTCAGCCAGAAGATCTGGCTCTCACACGCACAAGAAAACAACCCGCTGTCCAAGATGGCTACAACACAGCGCTCCCTGCTGCAATCCTCGCCCGGCGTCGCGGACCCAGACAAGCTGATCCAAGCAGCAAAAGACTCACGCAGACTACAAACACAGAGTGGACAGCAGCAGCAGACGGGCCTCCACCACCCCTACCAGCGACCCGCCGTAACCCACCAGAACAGAGTCACTGCCGAAAAACTTCACACGTGGCTACACAGCAAGAAAGTTCAGTCCACCTTAAACGATCAACAGAAGAAATTCATGCAACTGATCGTGGACAGGATTCTGGTCGAATACAACCTAGCACCAAGCGACGCCACCAGACTGCAATCCGACGAGCCACTCGTCTGGCTTCTCCATGGCGGTCCGGGCAGCGGCAAGACCCACGTCCTCAAATGCATGCGCAAGCTCTTCCAAGAGGTCCTCGGCTACGTCCAAGGCATCGACTTCGAGATCGCCGCGTTCCAGGCCACCAACGCCGCCGACATCCGCGGAAAGACGCTCCACGCCAGTTGCGGACTCTCTATGGGGCGCCACAGCCTCGACAAGGGCATAACTCCAGACACCGCCAAACGCATAGCCCTCTGGCGATGGCTCATCATCGACGAAATCGGCATGGTCAGCGCCACGCTCCTCGCGCAGGTCGAAGCCCGCACTCGCAGCGCCACTCCGGCCGCTAGCCGTTGGAAGCACGACGCGACGGGACGAGTGAGGCCCTTCGCCGGCCTCAACGTCGTGTTCCTCGGCGATTTCAACCAATTGCCGCCTCCGGAAGGCGGCAGTCTCGTGGACGTACCAGCCTGCCTCAAGCCTGCAGACAGCCAAGTGCAGGTAGCTGCGGATCCGCTGATTCAAACAAGCCGGGAGTTCGTATGGTGCGGAGCCTTGCAGGGCGTAACCGAACTCGTGCAAAAAGAGCGCTGCAAGGACGAATGGTGGAACGAGGCGCATCGACACCCCAAAGACATGCCATAAAACAGTCGCTCAAGGCATATAAAGCACAAAACACTTTCCAACCCACCCCACCAACCACCCCCGCTTCCCCCTGGCAGGTAGTCGCCGAAATGCGTTCGGGTCACCTCTCCGAATCCAATTGGAAGTACTTGCACGGCCAGCCTGTCGAAGGATGCACTCTAAGTGCAGCCGAAAGGAAAAGCCGCAAACGAGTCATCGACTCACCACAAGACCCACGACTGAGCGAAGACAGATTCCTAAAAGGCACAGTCATTGTGGCCAACAACGACGCAAAGTGTCAGATCAACAAGGACCGAGCAACCAGCTTCGCTCAAGCCGCGAACGTTCCCATCCGCTGGTCCGTAGCGCGAGACAAAGCCGGCACAGAAGTTCTGCAAACCCAAGCTTGTGACAAATCCGCCAAAATCCGCTGGCTACGATACCACGACATGGACACAGAGGGGCTTTTGGGCATGCTGCCCTTGGCAGTGGGGTTGCCGGTGCACCTCACCCAGCACGTCGACCGCTCCGACAAGTGCCTTTTGAAAGGTCGCCTCGGTTACGTTCACTCCTGGGAATGGCTGGAAAACGAACAGCAGCCGCGAGTGGTGTCACCGAGCCGCAAAGAAGAATACCGAAACGAAGCAAAACATTAAATCATAAAGTGTCAAACGTGTCTGACCAATCAAACGGCATATTGATCCGTCGACCCAGAGCAACAGCAGCCAGGTACGTTAAGTTCTACGATGCAGACTGGACCTTAGACGGCAGCCGAGAGCCGGGACTCTATCCCATCACACCATGGACCCGAACCTGGAAGCTCGACAAAGGAAGAAAATGCCCCGTTTTGGGAGTGAAGAGGACGCAACTGCCATTGAGCCCGGCCTTCGCGATCACAGCCCATAGCAGCCAAGGAAAAACTCTGCAGCTAAGCTGCAACTACCTTGACAGCGCAAACCTAATTCACGTCCAAACCCACCGACAACGCTAACACATTTCACACACACACACACACACACACGGTCTCTCTCTCTCTCTCTCTCTCTCTCTTTCTTTCTTTCTTTCTTTGCCAGCGACCCCTTCCGAGGAGTGCAGTTCTCTTGGACCTGAGCATCGATCGCCTCACACACACATCATACGGCACAGTGGCAGCCAGTCGCGTTTGCAGCCGAGAAGACCTTCTCATATTGCGCCCTTTTCCACTGTGGCTGTTCCAACGCGGCGCGCCAGATGGACCTGAGCTATTGCTCAAAAAGCTTCGTGGAGAACTCACTTTACGAGACATTCGAGAAGCGAGGTGGCCGACCGCGCCCTGTCAGAAATGCAAAGAAAGGAAAACCCTGGAAGCCTTCGCAGACGCGCAGTGGAAGCAGGTGCAATCCAGAAAGCCCGCCACCTGCCTCAACTGCCAGAGCTTCCAACCAAGCGGCAAACGGAAGAAGACCACATTCCGCCGCATCAGAGGCAAGAAGCAGAAGTACACCTGCCGAGATTGCGGGGTGCACAAGACCGAAGATGCCTTCCACAGACCTCAATTGCATGAACAACTCTCCGACGACGAGCGCCGGTGCATGCGATGCATAGAGGCAAGCACTGCGCCCTTGACGTGCGCATGCTGTGCGAGAACCATAGACCTGGACCAGTTCGCCGACTACATGCGAAGCTTCCCAACACAGGCCATCAGTTGTCGTGAATGCCAAACCAAATTCGAGCAGGATCGGCGATCGACAGATGGCATCTTCAAGTGTCGATCCTGCCGCGGATTCTTCCTCAATGCAGCGCTCAGCAACGTCACCGAGAAGAGATTCAATTATAAACAATGCATCAATTGCACGGATGGCCGCGCAGATAGACAGCATGGAAAGCAAACTTGCAGAAGATGCGGGGCAAAGTGGGAAGACGAACAGACTCCTTCCAGCCATGCAAGGAGTGACCGCGTATGCCCGCAGTGCCGCGAAGGCGCTTGTCCAAAGCGACAAAAACATCAAGAGTAGTCTGCTGCCTGTCCACACACGCAACAAATGGCCTTCATTCAAATCAAAGTATCAACATGGGCAACATGCAAGCCCAAGACAGCGGATGGGATATGTGAGCGCAGGCATTGTACAGAAGCCGATGACCGTGAGTTGACCAAAGCTCACATCCGACGACTTGCGTCGAGGTGGCAAAAAAAGCTGCGACAGCAACGTTCTGACTTCACCTCCAGCCCAGAAAGGACCCCTTGTTGACCGAGTTTCTTGAAAACAAGTCCACGCTTGCCAGAAAAAACTGGGTCCTTCACCCGAGGCAACATTGGCCCAAGCTTACGGTTTGCTCTTCCTCTACAATCATGAAATAAGCCGTTGTCACAAACGACATCACACAAAAGCTATCGTTTGTTTGTACTCAACACCCAAGCAGCCAAGGATATTCCCAAGATCAACCTGATAATTTGTCACTACACAGCATGCTCAGCGTTCGAAGCTTGAATGGCAACATCGTCGGCAAGATTGTTAAACGAGATGGCAGCGTGCTCCGATACCTGAAGCCACATAGTCGACCCGAGCAGAACCCCCAAATAATCCAAGCCCAAACCTCTTTTGTATCCATAAGTTCAATTTACTTAAATTTCATTGTACCCCAACCCTAAACCTCAAGCCCTAAACCCTAAATCCTAAACCTTCAACCCTAAACCCTAAACCCTCAAGGCCAGGATAAATACAAAGTATATATGGTATCATTCTGAACATATTGAAAGCCAACAGAATGACTCGAAATGCAGAGATCCCCAAACCTTGAAAATTTGAAGTCTAGAGGTTGGTTTAAATTAAATATCCATAGAATCCCAGACCTTCAAAAATTGAATTCTAGAGGTTTGATCCGACATCCAAAGATACCCAGACCTTCAAATATTTAATTCTAGAGGTTTTGATCAGATATACAAAGATCCCCAGACCTTCAAAATTTGAGTTCTGGAGGTTTTGACCAGATATCCAGAGATTCCAAATCTTTCAAAAATAGAGTTCTGGAGATATTTAATCAAATATCCAGAAATTCCCAGACCTTCAAAAATTTGAATTCCCAATCAGACATACAGAAACCATCAAATCGTTATAATTTGAATTCTGAAGATTTTGATCAGATATCAAATTCCCAGGCCTTCAAAAATTGAATTCTAGAGGTTTTGACTAAATATCAGAGATTCCCAAACCTTCAAAAATTGAATTCTAGAGGTTTGATCCGACACCCAAAGACCCCCAGACGTTCAAAAATTGAATTCTAGAGGATTTGATCCGATATCCAAAGATCCCCAGACCTTCAAAATTTCAATTCTGGAGGTTTTAGCCGATATCCAAAGATCTCCAGACCTGCAAAATTTGAATTCTGGAGGTTTTAAACGATATCAAAAGATTCCCAGACCTTCAAAATTTCAATTTTAGAGATTTTGATCTGATCTCCCAGACCTTCAAAATTTGAATTCTGAAGGTCCAGAGAATTCCAATCCTTGACCCAAAATTCCGGCCACAAATCCTTTTCAGTTTCTATTCCAAAACGCCGGAAACCATATTTCAGCAACAACAAAAATCAAATCCCCCCCCCAAACCCCTCAAAAAACCACAAAACTCCGGACACAAACCCTTTACAATTCCAATAAAACCTAAACACTAAACCTCAAAACCTTATGGTACCTAGATACTGTATTTAAGTAAATTGAGCCTGCGGATTCAAACCCCCTAACTCCTAAATCCTAAACCCCCTAAACCCTAAACCCCCTAAACCCCAAACCCTAAACGCCAAACGCCAAACCCCAAACACCAAACCCCAAACCCCAAACCCTAAACCCCAAACCCAGAACCCCAAACCCCAAACCCCAAACCCCAAACCCTAAACCCTAAACCCTAAACCCCAAACCCCAGACCCTAAACCCTAAACCCTAAACCCTCAACCCTGAACCCTGAACCCTAAACCCTAAACCCTAAACCCTAAACCCTAAACCCTAAACCCTAAACCCTAAAAACTATACCCTAAACCCTAAACCCTAAACCCTAAACCCTAAACCCTAAACCCTAAACCCTAAACCCTAAACCCTAAACCCTAAACCCTAAACCCTAAACACTAAAACCTAAACCCTAAACCCTAAACCCTAAACCCTAAACCCTAAACCCTAAACCCTAAACCCTAAACCCTAAACCCTAAACCCTAAACCCTAAACCCTAAACCCTAAACCCTAAACCCTAAACCCTAAACCCTAAACCCTAAACCCGAAACCCTAAACCCTAAACCCTAAACCCTAAAACCTTAATTAAACCCTCAACCCCTAATTAAACCCTAAACCCCTCATTAAACCCTAAGCCTCCATTAAACCCTACACCCTAAATCCTAAACCCTAAACCCTAAACCCCGAAAACCCACAACCCCAAAGCACCCTAAACCCCACAGGGGGGCCCCAGGCTCAAGGGGCCCAGAAAAACCAAAAAAGCAGGTTTTTGAGCACCCGCGCTGCCTGGCCTGGCCTGAGGCCCCCTGGGGGCCTTGGGGTACCCCCCCCCGAAATGCCAGCCCCATCCAGGGTGAAGGGCTTGGGGTTTAGGGTATTTACCTTATTAAGGGGACCAGTACTGGTCCCGGGAGAACCTGCTCCGGTACCGGGCCCATCGTGGGTGCTACCGACCTCCTGGCTGCAGGAGGCGGGCAAGCGACCTGGGTCGACCTTCGCCATAGAGGTCGAAGGGCTTAAGCGCCGCCCCCCCTCTGTAGGGGGGCGGCCTAGGCCCTGAGTTTAGGGTTTAGGGTTTAGGGTTTAGGGTTTAGGGTTTAGGGTTTAGGGTTTAGGGTTTAGGGTTTAGGGTTTAGGGTTTAGGGTTTGCTGTGATAGGGCGTAGATGCTGTGAAGGTTAGGATGCAGCAGCGGCTCGAATGCCTCGGCAAATGCGCAGAGCAGCTCCTGGCCCGATATTGGAGGGCCATCAAAAACTTTTCTCCCACCCCACGCCGTCCGAGGCGGCAAAACCACCCAAACCTATTCCTTTTAGGGTTTAGGCCTAAACTCATGACAATCGCTTACTTTCAAAAAAAACATTCCCCAAGAATAAGGTTTGTAGCCAGGTTCCGGCTGACAGGGTTAGCGGGGGCCACAAGAGGTGGGCAGAAGGGCCAACGAGAGCCGGGAACAGACAGGGGGCCAGACGGGGGCCAGGACCTCAGGAGAGAGGGGGCCAAAACTGCCCAAAGTAAGGTGTGGGTTGATTTTGTGGGGGGCCTGAGCTGAGAAGGGCCGAAAGGGCCAAGGGTCAAGGGGGCCAAGAAAGGCCAGAGCCAGAGGCCAGAGGGCCGGGGGGCCAGAGAGGCAGGGCCAAGGGGGGGGTAGGGGGCCAGGGGGGGTTAGGGGGGGCCAGGGGGGGCCGGGGGGGCCAGGGGGGGCCAGGGGGGGCTGGGGCCAGGCCAGGACCAAAAATCAGCTTTTTGAGCTTAGGGCTTAGGGCTTAGGGGTTAGGGCTTAGGGTTTAGGGCTTAGGGCTCAGGGCTTTGGGCTTAGGGCTCAGGGCTTAGGGCTTAGGGCTTAGGGCTTAGGGCTTAGGGCTTAGGGCTTAGGGCTTAGGGCTTAGGGCTTAGGGCTTAGGGCTTTAGGGTTTAGGGTTTAGGGTTTAGGGTTTAGGGCTTAGGGCTTAGGGCTTAGGGCTTAGGGCTTAGGGCTTAGGGCTTAGGGCTTAGGGCTTAGGGCTTAGGGCTTAGGGCTTAGGGCTTAGGGCTTAGGGTTTAGGGTTTAGGGTTTAGGGTTTAGGGTTTAGGGTTTAGGGTTTAGGGTTTAGGGTTTAGGGTGTGCAGGAAGAGTGGCTCGCTGGTGCTAAAAGCACCCGGGCCGCTCGCCCTGCGCCGCTATGATGCCCCACCCCAACCCCCCTGCTTATTCTCATTTAGGGTTTAGGGTTCTACCCCCCAACCCCCCTAACAAGGGGGGCCCTTGTTCTCAGCCAGATGGGCAGCAAAAACGTCGGGGGTAGCAGAGGCCTCGACCGGCCCCTGCCGGGCTGCCTGGAGGGTCTCCAAGAGGCCACCCCCGTAGCCGATGGTCGTCGATTTGGGGTAATACTATATAGCTACGCTATGGTCGTGTATGACGCAGTTAAGTCCAGGCCGCAAGGGCATGCCAGGGAGGCTTTACCCTCCCTGGCCCGCAGATTCGTCCTCGGTTCAGGGCTTAGCCCTGCCCGGAAGGCTCGGGCGCCCATGCATATGGTCAGCGGCGCCCTCGCCAGTTTAGGGTTTAGGGTTTAGGGTTTAGGGTTTAGGGTTTAGGGTTTAGGGTTTAGGGTTTAGGGTTTAGGGTTTAGGGTTTAGGGTTTAGGGTTTTTTAGGGTTAGGGTTTAGGGTTTTTAGGGTTTAGGGTTTTAGGGTTTTAGGGTTTTAGGGTTTTAGGGTTTTAGGGTTTTTAGGGTTAGGGTTTTAGGGTTTTAGGGTTTTAGGGTTTTTAGGGTTTTAGGGTTTTAGGGTTTTTTTAGGGTTTTTAGGGTTTAGGGTTTTAGGGTTTTAGGGTTTTTTTTAGGGTTTTAGGGTTTTAGGGGTTTAGGGGGTTTTAGGGTTTTAGGGTTTTTAGGGGGTTTTAGGGTTTTAGGGTTTTAGGGTTTTAGGGTTTTTAGGGTTTTAGGGTTTTTAGGTTTTAGGTTTTTAGGGTTTAGGGTTTTAGGGTTTTAGGGTTGTAGGGTTTTAGGGTTTTAGGGTTTTTTTAGGGTTTTAGGGTTTTAGGGTTTTAGGGTTTTAGGGTTTTAGGGTTTTAGGGTTTTCGGGTTTTAGGGTTTTAGGGTTTTAGGGTTTTAGGGTTTTAGGGTTTTAGGGTTTTAGGGTTTTAGGGTTTTAGGGTTTTAGGGTTTAGGGTTTAGGGTTTAGGGTATGTAAGAAGAGTGGCTCGCTGGTGCTAAAAGCACCCGGGCCGCTCGCCTTGCGCCGCTACGATGCCCCACCCCTGCCACCCTGCTTATTCTCATTTAGGGTTTAGGGTTCTACCCCCCAACCCCCCTAGCAAGGGGGGCCACTTGTGATTCTAGACCCGCGCTAAGCAACCCAAGTCCCTTATGTTCGCCCTTAAGTGAGGGAGCACGCAGGAGGGCAGTAGGGCCGTGTGCTTCAGGAGTGCGCAGGAGGCCAGGTACCTTATGTTCGGCCTTAAAAGAAGGAGCAGGGCTATGTACCTTACGTTCGCCTTTCATTGAAGGATCATGAGCCACATTCGTCTTGTGCTGAAGGACTCCATAGGGCCATACTTCGCACTCGAAGGCCATGTGCCCTGCTGGATATTCACTTTGCAATTGCGCAGGAGTTCCATGCACTTCATCCCCCAGACGTGCTTTGAACGTAAGGAATGCAGAGGGTAACGTACCGTGCGTCTGATTCGAAGGAATGTGGCAGAGGGTCCTGGACTCAGGCTCCTGTGGCTGAAGGAGCACAACATGCACCTGTACCTCACGTTTTACGTCCACTCCTAGGCGAAGCAACACAGTAGAAAGCGCGCACGCATGCCTATGAGTCTATGAGCAATTCTGATATCCTGCCATGTCTTTGAAGCGGAGTGAAGCAGACGTCCCATTTGCTGCACGCGGCGCAGCGCAGCCGTTTGTAGCATTTTGTAGCCACAGTTTTAGACGTTTCGGGTAGTTCTTCGTCGCGCCATGGGAAAGCGTGCTTTCAATGAGAAAGGCGCTAAGAAGGGCGATAAGACTCCGCAGGCCTTCGTGAAGAAGTTTGAATACTTCGGGAAGGCCAAGCTCGCGCCTTATTGCAACGAAGAAGGAGTGCCGTTCTACTTGGACAAAGGTGAAGACGAGAAGGATTTCCTCCGTCTGGCGAACATCCGCAAGTCCAGGAATTCCTCCAATGAAGAGCTCTGCTGTCGCTTAGGGATGGGCTTGTGCCTCGATGCAGCCACCGCGGACGCCGGCGCGAAGCTGATCTCGAAACACTTCGGCGGGGAGTGGACCGAGGAGGTCCGGAAGAGTCTGACCAAGACAGGCCTGCCGGGTCTGCGAGACATCTTCTCCTCCGAAGAAGGCAAGCGCTTCAAGGAGGCAGTTGCAATCCTGAACGTGGGCAAGGACAAGCAGCCTTCGGAGAGAGACGTCAACAGGAGCATCAAGCACTTCGTGGGGTTTCTCACCGATTCCCCAGACGAGTTGCACAAGCACCTCGCGCGTCTGGCGTCGGCGACAGGCGTCCTGTACCTCTTCGCCATGACGGTGTTGAAGGACATGGCACTCCTCGGCGATCCAGCAGCATGGGCTAAGCTCATCGAAGGTAAGCAGGGCAAGGACGTGGCCGCCTGGATGAAGAAGCCGAAGGACCGGGAGAAGCTACGCCAGGCGCTCAGTGCAGAGCTCATGGCAAAGGTGAAGAATAACGACAAGGCGCGTGGCAAGAAGCGCCGAGTCTCGGACTCGTCGGAGGACGAAAAGAAAGACTCCGACACAGAGGAGTCGAAGAGCTCTGGCGAGTCCGCGTCTGCTTCGTCCGCTTCCATGTCTTCCTGCAAGAAGAAGCGGAGAGCCGAAGAAGAGAGAAAGCGCGCTAAGAAGGAAAGCAAGAAGCTGAAGGCAAGTGCAAGTGCAGAGATGGCGCGTGAGCAGAGGACGGCTGCCTTCACAGCATGGCCACAAGGACAAGTTGAAGTCTTGGGCTGCGACATCGCTAATGAGAAGACGCAAATCGGCAATCTTGCTGGCGGTCAGGCGGAGCATGCGCGGCTGCAGGCCTTCCTCGACCGAGTGCCGGCCTTGGTCAAACAACAGTTTCCTGCCTTGGCCGTGCTGGAGAAGGAGATGGCTGACCAAGTGAGTGAGGACGGCAAGATCCCCAACGTTCTGGCGAAGAAGGCTCTGGTCCGCCTCGGCGCTATCGCTGCGGAGGTGGAAGCATTCTGGGAGGAGCAGAGCGGTGGCGCCACAGCTGCTGCCAGCGCACTGTGAGCGCAAGCACTTTTTCATGAGTTCGCATTCGCGGCGAGCGGCCGGCCCTGGCCAGGAGTGTCAAGAGGCCGGCTGCCAAGCAGACGGTACAGCTGATCTCTCTGTCACGAGGTTAAGGAAACAAAGCGTGCCGGCAGTTGTTTGCTCTCCGTATAATGAGCAGTTAATCAGCGCGACGTGTCATGTGCCCTAGGTCTATAGGACCGCTTTGAATTGAAGCAGCCCAGGTCCCTTTTGTTCGCTCTTAAGTGAAGCCACACCCATGAGGGCCATGCGCCTTATGTTCGCCCTTAACTGAAGGAGCACACGGGAGGCAATGTACCTTATGTTCGCCCTTAAGTGAAAGAGCACAGAGAAGGGTCATGTACCTGAAAGGGTCGCTTTTAAGCGAAGGAGCCCTTATTTATGATTGAAGGACCACTCTGAATTAAAGCAGCCCAGGTCCCTTATGTTCGCCCTTCAAGTGAAGCAGCACCCGCGAGGCCCACGTACCTTATGTTCGCCCTTAACTGAAGGAGCGCGCAGGAGGCAATGTACCTTATGTTCGCCCTTAAGTGAAGGAGCACAGAGGAGGGTCATACCTTTAGGTAGGGCGGTGCACCCCAGGCGCCATAATTAAGGGTCACGTGCCCTATGCGTCGTGAAGTACGCTAAAGAGCGCCCGCAGCTCACGGCAAGGTAGACAATCGTAGAGGAGTATATATATATATATATATATGTATAGATGTATATATGTATATATGTATATATGTATATATGTATATATGTATATATGTATATATGTATCTATGTATCTATGTATATATGTGTAAAAGTATATGCGTATTTATGTATATATGTATGTGTATATATCTATATGTATATTTTCATGGCCATACATGGATTGTAGGCCACAAAGGGTTCCCATGCATGTAGGGTGCCTTGTCACGTCATGTCCTACATGTGTGAGCTGTAGCTGTTTGCTTCAGGTTGGCTTGCGCATGCTTCTTGTGCCCGTGGCCCTTTCAGGGCTCGAAGTGTAGATCTACACACAGTGCACACTTTGGATTTCCATTCAATTCGCAATTCAATCGCCATGGCGCCGAAAGCTTCTGGTGGAGCGGGCAAGAGGTCTGCTCAGAATTACGTGGCCAGTCTGTGGGCGCAAGGTCTCGACGAGGAAGCCGTCCGGCGGCGCCTCCAGGAGGATGGCTACAAGAGTGCCCGCGTCTCGCAACTCTTGAAGGCCACACGCCCAGCCCAGCCAGCTGCCGATCACGCGTCGAACGAGGTTTCCGACCACTCGGGTCAGGAAGCAGCCCAACCAGCCGCAGTGGCCATGGATGTGGACTCTGAGTCAGATGCGGAGGAAGGTGACGACGAAGAACTTGGGGTCGTGAGTGTGGCCACCTACCTGGCAGAGGTCAATGCTAGCAACCAGCAGGAGCGGGCGGAGTTGGACGCTGGAGATGTCCATCGACTGGAAGTCTTGGAGGAGGGCACGGAGTCAAACTCAAACGACGGGGGAGGCACCCTTGCAGAGGAAGCGGCAGACGAGCTCGCGCCGGCGCTGATCGAGATCAGCAGCAGTGACGACAGCGTGGAGGAATCGGCGGAAGATGGGCCGGAGGCTGTAGAGGAGGAGGAGGAGGAGCCAGACCGCAAGCGCCGCCGAATCAAGGGCGCGCAGCCGCCCCCAACCAACGATCCCGTCATGAAACGGGCCGCAGCACAGAAGAAGCCGGCCAGCCGCGGCCCCTGGCCGAACGAGCGCTGCGCTGGGTACGATGGCGCGCCGTGCCGCTTCAACCCACAGGCACCAGGACAGCCGGCCCGAGTGCACCCAGATCGCGGGGACACAGCGTGCCCCTTCTGCGACAAAGCCAAGATGCAGGCAGCCGGGCCAGTCACTCGGTGCAACCGTTTGACCACAGCCCTCAAGTGCTTCCTGACAAGGGACGAGTCCATCTATGAAGCTGCGTTGGCGAGGGTCCAGCTCTTTGTTGGGGAGGAACAGGCGCAGCAATTTGCCACGCGGGTCCGGGCCGCCCAGCAACGAGGCGCGCGTCGCGCAGCAGGCCCAGCGCCGCCGGCTGCAACTTGGGAGCACTGCCTGAGCAATCGCCAATCCATCGAGAAGAAGCTCTCAGATAGATGTCGGCAGGAATACGACGCGGCCGTGCAGCGCGACCAGCGCGTGGCCAGGCGCAAGATCTTCTTTCCGGACAAGCTCTTGAAGCGCGCGGGCACGGCGGAGGAGGAGGCGGAGAAGGAGGAGGTGCGCCAGGTGGGCGAGATTGGGCACGTGGCCCCGAACGACACCGACCTTCCGATGCCCTCCGACCCCACCGCACGCAAGGTGGAGGAGTGGTGCAAGAGCGGATCCTGGCAGCATGTGCGCGCGCCCGCTGCGGCCGATGGATTTGCGGCGCGCGGCCAAGGCCACCGTTCCGGCCAGCCAGTGCACGGCGTGCAAACACGACGAGTACGTCCCGCAGCCCGAGCACGTGCCCGCACCACTGCGCAAGCTGAAGCCCAAAGTCCTAGTTGCCCTGCGGCCTCTTGACGTGGATACCGGGGTAGCGGAGCGGGCACAGTACGGCTACCGGGTCCACACCTGCATGATCACCTTCGCGTGGTCGCAGGAGAGCGTGCAGCGAAAGATCGCGAAGCTACGCAAGCGCAGGGATCGGCAGGCGGCGCGGGCAGCCCTCGACTTCCTGCTGACTTCCCAGGACAGCGCCTACGGGCAGTTCCTGGAGCGACATGAAGCCTTCCTGGCCAAGCACGGCGACGATGCTCCTGAGAAGGTGCGAAAGCGACCGCTGCGCTTCATCGAGGAGGAGGGCTTGGAGTGCTGTCTGTGGCCCCACCTCTACTGGCGCCGGAACCTGTGCGAGACCGTGGCGCGCGCGTCCCACGAAGCTCGGCGTGAGCGTGGGCAGTCATCGAAGCCAGCAGGGGCCCCAATGCGCCGCGTGGCCGACAGCACTTCCGAGGACGAAGACGAGCAGGGAAGGGCAGCGGCTTCAGCAGGAACCGACGGTGCGGAAACGCAAGCAGCAGATGACGAGGAGCAAGAAGACGCTCAGGGAGGCGAGGAGGCGGAAGACTTAGACGAGGACCCGGGCGTGCAGATCAGCGAGACCAAGCTCGGGCGCATCAAGCGAGGCTTCATCCGCAAGGTCCTGTCGCCGGTGATGGGCTACGGTGCTGATTACGAGCTCCTGCACTTCGTGTACGACCTGAGCATGTGGACCACCATCGGCGCCAAGAAGAACGTCGCTTCCCGCAGCGGCGTCTCACTCCGAATCGTGCTGAAGGGGGCGCCTTGGACCCCGCAATACTGGCGCGTCAGGCACCAGGCCGTCATCGACATGCAGCGGCAATGCGGCAATGCCACGCTCTTCCGCACCCACGCGCCATACGAGCGCACCTTCCCGTACCACCGGTGGGTGATGCACGAGCAAGACGCTTTGGGCAGAGCACGCATGGGGCTGGCCGGCGCCGAAACCCTGCATATGGCACACGTCCTGCTGCAGCTTGACAACGGCTACTTCCGCGGCAGCATGGCGCGCACTGGGCGAGCGGACCGCACCTGGCAGGGCCACCTCCTCGGCCCGGAAGACGTCGCCAGCGGTTGCAGCACGGTGAAAGCCCACGTCACGCGCCTCGAGTTTCAAGACGGGAAGCGTAAGCGAGCCACCCAGAAGTACCACGGCCGGGGCACGACGCACAGCCACTCCTTGGACTTCTTGGAGAATGTGAGGGCTATAGGGCTGGAACGTAAGTTGTCCGCGAGCATCCCGCCGGCAGACACGCAGCCGTTCCTGCACGGGCTCGTCCGGGACTCGCAGCAGGATTACAAAGACTCGAAGTTGCCGGTGAGGGAGGAGGAGTCGGCCTGGGACGAGGAAGAGCAGAAGCTCCTGCTACACCATTCGGAGGAGGACAAAGCCGCGCACGTCCGCGCGTACTTTCCGAGCGCCATGGAGATCACGAAGTGCCACGAGGATGTCCAGTGGGGCGACGGCAACGGCGCCGTGTTGCGCTATGTGGCCACGTACAACACGAAGTTCAGCAGCTCCATGAACAACGACTGGCTGAACGACGATGCCTCGGACTACAGCGTGGCACGGCGCGTGCTGTGCGGCCACAAGCCTCTGGAGCCCGAGATGTGGCTCACCCTGGCCCAGGAGCGGTTTCCACAGGTGGCTTTCAGCGGCACGCTGGTGGACGTCATGCCCCCGACACCCGAATGCGCGGAGAAGCCAGCGTGGGTCGAAACCTACGAGGAGGCCGAGTGGAGGAGGAAGGACATGCCGCTGATAGAGTTCTTGCGCAAGAGCAACGCCGACGGCCACGTCATCCACTACATCCAAGAAGCGCACAAGCGGCGCGTCATGGAGCAAGTCCAGGCCAAGATGGGGGAGGACGACAGGACCTTCGCGCGGCGCCGAAAGCAGCTTTTGTCGGCATTCCACAACCACAAGAAGGAGTGCAAGCGCCGGGGAGACCAGCCTTCCGGTCTCGCAGAATTCCTCGAGGACGAGGCAGGCGTCGACGGCCTGACACCTCTGGAGTCGTTCGCGAACGATTACGAGACGCGCGGCGAGAAGCTGGTGGCTGCCACCATGCACTCTATGCTCAATGACAAGTACTACGGCCAGTGGCTGGCGCTCCACGTGCCCTTCCGGCGCCTCGAGCAGTTCGTCGAAGACGCTGCGGAGGTTATGGAGCACGTGCCCCAGAAGTACCGGAACTTCGCCCTCTGCCTGCACCACGCACCCGACTTCTGGGAGAGCGAGGGAGCCATCCGCTCTGCCATGGAGCTTGAAGCGCACAGCCAAGCCCACATCGACACGATCCTCTGCAAGGTTCGCGCGCAGCGGCACCTGCTGCAGCGATACCTCAAGGGTGAGATCGACGTCACGGAGGTGGTGAGCGCGGAAGAAGCGGAGGAAGGCGCTGGACGGGATGGCAGTAAGCCACCGGCGAAGCTGACGGCGTCCCAGAAGCGCCTTGCCCGAGCCATGGAAACCCAGATGCAGGTCGCCATGGAAGCCAGCCAGGCCGACGACGACGAGGCGCTGGAAGACTGCGTCGCCCGTGCCGCCGCGCACAAGATCATCTTTGCAAGCGGACCGCCCGGCACGGGGAAGACGTTCGTGATCCACGAGCAGATCCGGAAATGGAAGCAGAAGGGCGCCAGAATCCTGTTCGCACTCCCTACAGGGCAGCTGGCCTCGGAGATCCGCTCCATGCATCCAGACATAGATGTGGACACCAACCACGGGGCGTTTCTCCTGCACAAGCCGCCGCAGGAAGCTATGGCCATCCTAACGCAATACGACCTGGCAGTGATCGACGAGGTCTCGATGCTCACGGAAGAGCACTTCGAGCGCGTGCTCGCCATGTGGAAGTTCGCCGATCAGCTCCCCTGCTGGGTCCTCGCGGGCGACTTCTGGCAGCTGCCGGTGGTGGACCAGACGGCGGAGCGGTGCGAGCTGAGCCGCGCATGGCCCGGCCATGTCCGCACCATCGAATTCCATGAGCAGATCCGCTGCAAGTGCCCAACGCTGCAGAAGAAGCTGAACATCCTCCGAACCTCAGTTCCCAGCATGAGGCAGCTGAAGAAGATGCTCCGTGGGCACCGCGCCTGGAAGACGAACCAGCCAAGTGGGTGGGATATCCAGCAGCTGTTCAGGGAACACGAGGATACCACGGTCGTCACCTGCACGCGCCGCGGCGCAGCCGCAGTCAACGATCTCGCCTCCCAGGTCTTCTTTGAGAACCGGCACAAGGCGCCGCTGGGCAGGTTGCCTCTGGACTTCGAGGCAAATCAGGACAACTACACCGCCAAGGGGTCGTTGAAGAAAGGGCCGCTGTCGCCTGCTGACACCGTCATCTACGCGGGCATGCGCGTCTTCCTTACGAAGAATATGTCCAAGGAGGACGACTTCGTGAATGGCATGGCGGCCACCGTCGTGGATTTCGACGCGCGCAGTCGGTGCCTGGAGGTGTTGACCCGCACCAACCAGCGACTCGCGGTCCACATGATCTCCCACGAGCTCGACGACGGGCGCCGCGTCAGCTGCTTTCCTGTGCGCTTGGGTTATGCCTGCACAGTGCCCAAGGTTCAGGGCATGACTCTGCCCCACATCACCTTCTGGGTCGATGCCGCTGGCTGCCGCGCTGCCGCCTATGTGGCGCTGTCCCGTGTGGAGAGGGATTCAGAGTACCTCATCGCCGGCAAGGTGAGCCCTGCGCACTTCGTCCCAGCACACTGAGCACACAGTCTGCTCTTCCCGAAAAAAGCAACAGCTAGATCTGAGCTGTCGCCTGTCAATGTCACCAGAGCGTTTAGATACCCGACTCGGGCATCGATAAAAAAGACGTGGGATGCAGCAATTTTGAGAAGCCTCCCTAGGGGCATCCAAAAGACCACCCCCGTAGCCGATGGTGAGCGATTTGACCACCCCCGTAGCCAATGGTCGTCGGTTTGGGGTAATACTATATAGCTACGCTATTGTCGTGTATGACGCAGTTAAGTCCAGGCCGCAAGGGCATGCCAGGGAGGCTTTACCCTCCCTGGCCCGCAGATTCGTCCTCGGTTCAGGGCTTAGCCCTGCCCGGAAGGCTCGGGCGCCCATGCATATGGTCAGCGGCGCCCTCGCCAGTTTAGGGTTTAGGGTTTAGGGTTTAGGGTTTAGGGTTTAGGGTTTAGGGTTTAGGGTTTAGGGTTTAGGGTTTAGGGTTTAGGGTTTAGGGTTTAGGGTTTAGGGTTTAGGGTTTAGGGTTTAGGGTTTAGGGTTTAGGGTTTAGGGTTTAGGGTTTAGGGTTTAGGGTTTAGGGTTTAGGGTTTAGGGTTTAGGGTTTAGGGTTTAGGGTTTAGGGTTTAGGGTTTAGGGTTTAGGGTTTAGGGTTTAGGGTAAGGGTTTAGGGTTTAGGGTTTAGGGTTTAGGGTTTAGGGTTTAGGGTTTAGGGCTTGTCGATTTAACATGCGTAGTGTATGGAAAGAGAGACGGACGTCCGAAACCTTCAGCGCAAAAGAGTTCCGTCATGTACATGGAGCTCTACTTTCTCCCACCCCAGGATGCCACCCAAAGCATCTGTAGGACGCTTAAGTTCTTAAGCGTCGCTAATATTGATAATAGTGTCTGGTAAAGAGATTACAGAAAATGTGAGAAACAAAAGACCATGCACTTACACAGTAAATGGCTGTAATTATGTTCCATAATTACCATTTACTTCTAGGTAAGACTAGAAAGTCGGCTTGCTAAGGCCTTTGGGTGGCTTAGGGGGGCCTTACCCCCTCCTGTGGGGTACTCCACACAGAAAAACGCCTTGTTTTGGAGTAATTTTTGGCTCCAAGCACGATTTAGAAAGGCCAGACAAAGAAAAACGCACTTAAAGCGACCACACACAAAGAAACGCACTGTTTTGGAGTAATTTTTGGCCCCAAGCACGATTTAGCAAGGCCAGACAAAGAAAAACGTGCTGTTCCCGAGTAATTTTTGGCTCCAGGCATTTGGCTGGCCACGAGCACTCGAGGGTCCATTTTTTGATCCGGTTTTGACTGGGGCTTAGGGTGGCTTCAGAGAAACCATTTAGCAAGGCCAGACAAGGAAAAACGCGCTGTTCCCGAGTAATTTTTGGCTCCAGGCATTTGGCTGGCCACGAGCACTCGAGGGTCCATTTTTTGATCCGGGTTTGACTTGGCTTCATTTTTGGCTTCAACCACGATTTAGCAAGGCCAGACAAAGAAAAACGCGCTGTTCCCGAGTAATTTTTGGCTCCAAGGCCTTTGGCTGGCCACGAGCACTCGAGGGTCCATTTTTTGATCCGGGTTTGACTAAGCTTAGGGTGGCTTACCCTCTCCTGGGCTACCCCCACAAGAAGGCCAGAATTTTAGAAAATGAGGGGGTAATTTCCGCTATATAAAACCTATTTAAAATTAATTGGGAATCGAGCCATTTTTCCCGAATCCTGGGGTACCCCCCCACGGAGCCTCCCTGGGACCTTCAAAAAAGCTTTCAGCCTCCTTCAGACCTTCGAAAGAGCTTCAGAGAGGCCACGCAAAGAGAAACGCACTGTTTTGGAGTAATTTTTGGCTTCATTTTTGGCTTCAACCACGATTTAGCAAGGCCAGACAAAGAAAAACGCGCTGTTCCCGAGTAATTTTTGGCTCCAAGGCCTTTGGCTGGCCACGAGCACTCGAGGGTCTATTTTCTGATCCGGGTTTGACAAGGCAGAGGGGAACTCACCTTCTCCTGGGCTACTGACAAGAAGGCCAGAATTTTGGAAAATCAGGGGGTAATTTCCGCTATTTAAAATCTATTTAAAATTAACTAGGAATCGAGCCATTTTTCCCGAATCCTGGGGTACCCCTCACGGAGCCTCCTTGGGATCTCGAAAAAGCTTTCAGCCTCCTTCAGACCTTCGAAAGAGCTTTTCAGACCTTCGAAAGAGCTTCAGACAAGCCACACAAAGAGAAACGCACTGTTTTGGAGTAATTTTTGGCTTCCACCACGGTTTAGCAAGGCCAGACAAAGAAAAACGCGCTGTTCCCGAGTAATTTTTGGCTCCAAGGCCTTTGGCTGGCCACGAGCACTCGAAGGTCCATTTTCTGATCCGGGTTTGATGTCACGGGTTTAGGGCGTTAAATAACTCTTGTATTAGTACAGACAGTACTGTCTATAGAAATATTACAGAATATTTGTATACAGACATGCACTTACCTGTAAATGGCTGTAATTATATTCTATAATTACCATTTACCTCTAGGTAAGACTTAGAAGGTCATTTGTTTACATTCCCGTCAAGGTGTGTTACGCTCCTGTACGTGAGAAGGCTTTAGCTGAGCACTCAGGCTTAAGCTTAAGAGTTTAGGGTTTAGGGTTTAGGGTTTAGGGTTTAGGGTTTAGGGTTTAGGGTTTAGGGTTTAGGGTTTAGGGTTTAGGTTCGGAGTTTGGGGCTCAGCATCTTGACAGTACTTGTAATCATGCTACCATAATGACAATTTTGCACTTGGCCTGTTTTCCATATGTCAGGAACAAATTTGCATATTCTATCCTGTATATTTAGTTGTGCTAGATGTTGTATTGACTGTATACATATATACATACATACACACCATTAAGAATTTGCACGATACTGATTGCAAAAATGCTAAAACAGATAAGTGAAACATAATCAAAATAATAATCATCACCACCATCATAATACTCATAATTATCATAATGATCATCATGATAATACTAATAGCAATAATAACAATATGGATAATGAGTGCAGTCATGATTGGCATGGGTAGCGAATCAAATCAGATCAATACAATTTGTGAAGCAGTGTCGGGCAAAGCGCGACCTGAGTTAAGTGAGAGCCGTGTACAAGTAGGGCTCTTGCAAGATGCCAGCCTGCTAAGTCTTCTCCCAAAGCCTGATTCTTGGAGTTAGGGTGATCTTAAGCACGATGGACCTGCTCTGCCGGTCAAGCAGATAAGGATGCGATGTCCGTGCCCTCGTCGTGGACGTCATCTTGTTCATTAGGTCATTCATATAATAACGATATGATATCAGATGTAGTATTAAGACCATCAGAAAAGGATAAAGAACATCGTAGCGCAATGTTCTTAACGAGCTTTGCACATATTTAAGTGCTGGACCAGAAAGGTCACCAATGATGAGGCAACGTGACAATATGCATTTCCATTAAATTTGTCTGCACAATTATGTAAGGAAAGTGAACAAAACGACGTTCCATTCAATTCTATTCGTTCATCGGCGACTCTCCCCAAGGGAGGATCCGTTCTGGGCGCAATCACAACATATCACAACCACACCTGGAGGCGAACTCGACATGTGCCATGATTTGGTCCGTTCCCTAAACCCTAAACCCTAAACCCTAAACCCGAAGGCCCCAAACTCGACATCGCGGGGCTGCAGTACAACAGGTGGCACACAACCAGCCAAGATTCAGCACCGACCAGCAAAACCTTATGAGCCATGAACTCTTAAGGTACCCTAAACCCTAAACCCTAAACCCTAAACCCTAAACCCTAAACCCTAAACCCTAACCCCTAACCCCTAAACCCCTAAACCCCTAAACCCCTAAACCCCTAAACCCCTAAACCCCTAAACCCAACCCTGGACCCCAAACCGTTCAGCCCCCGAGCTCCTCAACCCCTCAACCCCTCAACCCCTAAAATTCCTCAACCCCTAAACCCTCAACCCCTAAACCCTCAACCCCCTTACACGGACCACGCCTTAGAGAACTTTCCCTTGCCCCACTGCCTTGAACGCCAAGATCCTTAACCCCGAAGTCCTACTTAGGGAGCTGCCGAAGAGGGGGAACCCTTCCTTCAATAGCCACGAAATAGCAGCCCAAACTTCGCCATTGCCACAAGATAAGATACGGAAACCGCTCCCCAGTTGCTGAGTACCCTGGCCCAAAAAAAGTTCTCCTTTCAACCATGGCCAGGTACTGAATCTCTACAAACCCTAAACCCTAAAACCCAAGGTTCAACCTGCATCTGAAATCTACCTGGACCCCCCAAGTACCCTTTAAGATGCCCTAAATACACCTATTAAGGTGCACTTAGGCACTTGTTTGGAGGTACTTTGGAGGTACTTGGGGGGGGGGGGGGGGGGAAGAGAAGAAAAAAAGCAATAAAGAGAGTAAGAGCGCCGGGGGGGGGGGGGGGGTGGGCCTTGTCTAGCTTCTTCGCCTCGAGGCTATCCAGCCTGGCAAGTTATCATTAAGCCCATGCAAGGTTTAGGGTTTAGGGTTTAGGGTTTATGGTTTAGGGTTTGGGTTTAGGATTTAGGGCCATGGCAGCTAAATCCTTAAAGCCAGCTATCCTTAAAGCCAACGACATTCAGCTGTGCCCACCCCGAGGCGTGAACCCACAGCACCTCTCCTCCCCCAAGCCCGAACCTGCATCAAAACAAGGGCTCCGGGCTTATACCCTTTGGCCCAGAATCCTTGGGGCCCAAAACCTAAAACTGAGAGTCCTTGAAGGGTGAGGGTATCCTAAACCCTAAACCCTGAAACGTAAACCGTAGTCCCAAATCCAAAACTTCCCAGAGGAACACAACGCAAGGTAGCCACAAACGGGACACCGAAGTACAGTGGTGAAGCACACATCTGTATCGCAGGTGATAATAATAATACTAATAATCATACTGATAGTAGTAATAATAAAGATAGCCAAGATCATAATAATAATAACAACGATAAGAAATAATAATCATAATCATAATCATAGTAGTAGTACTACCAATAATAGCAATGATCACAATAATAGTAGCAATACTAGTAGTGATACAGGTGATACAATAAGAATAGCAATCAGAGTACTAAAAGAAAGAATAATACAATACTATAGGATAAATATTCTAATGGAATACGATAATGATATAGACATAGAATAAGAATAGTCATATAAAGCTCTAGAATAGCATAGAAATAGAGTATATATCATGATTGTATCATCATATAAGACAAGCCGGAAGCGCTTTTGGAGCATGTCGTCATGCTCGTTGTCGTATGGAGACAACACCTAAGGATCGTGCAAGACCATGCGGGAAGGAGTTCTTCGATGGTACTACCTGCGATCCCCCGCCCCAGGTACAAACTAGCCGGCTATGACCCCGAAAATGTAGGGTACAACCCCGCAAAACAGTAGGTAAGTGGAGCCCCGGTAAGATTTTGTATCGTAGACTTTATAGCGTCGGGGTATGGAAGTGTTCGGGAAACCCCAACAACGAGTGAATGCAAATCCAGATACGTCAAGCCCCCAAGCCCCTCTAGGCGTTTGAGAGTACCGAACCACTGAACACCCATCCGCAACCCCAACCCTAAATCCTAAACCCTAAACCTTTGGTTTCGGGTGTGGGCTTTGGGTTTGACCCGCCAGGGTCTAGGGTTTAGGGTTTAGGGTTTAGGCTTAGGGTTTAGGATCTCGGGTTTGGGGGGTTTCGGGTTCAGACGCGCCATGGCAGTCGCAAACCTTCAAGTCAGGAAGCCGTCCCCCGGATTCTTGGGAGTCCTGCTCTCCCAGGAGCCCTAAACCCTAAACCCTAAACCCTAAACCCTAAACCCTAAACCCTAAACCCTAAACCTTAAACCTTACGCCCTAAACCCGAAACCCAACGCGGGAACTGCCGGCGGGCGGAGCAACCCACTAAGGCCCGGACCAGGTAGATGCAATAGGCCTTTTCGGGGTTTAGGGGTTTAGGGGGTTTGGGGGGTTTAGGGGGTTTAGGGGGTTTAGGAGGTTTGGGGGTTTAGGGGTTTAGGGGGTTTGGGGGTTGGGGGGTTTAGGGGCTTTGGGGTTTAGGGGGTTTGGGGGTTTAGGGGGTTTAGGGGGTTTGGGGGTTTAGGGGGTTTAGGGGGTTGAGGGGGGTTTAGGGGGTTTAGGAGGGTTTAGGGGGTTTGGGGTGTTCAGGGGGTTTAGGTTTGGGGGGTTTAGGGGGTTTGGGGGGTTTAGGGGGTTTAGGGGGCTTTGGGGGTTTAGGGGGTTTAGGGGGGTTTAGGGGGTTTAGGGGGGTTTAGGGGTTTAGGGGTTTAGGGGTTAGGGGGTTTATGAGGTTTGGGGGGTTTAGAGGATTTAGGGGGTTTAGGGGTTTAGGGGTTTAGGGTCTAAGGGTTTAGGGGTTTGGGGGTTTAGGGGTTCAGAGGTTTAGGGGGTTCAGGGAGCTTAGGGGCTTCGGGGTTTAGGGGCTCAGGAATTTAGGGTTTTGTGGGTTTTGGGGCTTTGGGCTTCGCGGTTTAGCTTAGGGGTTTAGGGGTTAGGGTTTTGGGGGCTTACGGGGCTTTCCGGGCTTTGCAGACCTTTAGGGGGCTTAGGCGTAGCAGTTTGCAGAGGCCTAAGTTCAGGGGCATCTTCCAGAAGAACGTTGATGCAGGAGCTTGCGGGGCTAGAGTTTTAAGGTGTATCTTCCAGAAGAGCTTCAACAAGGCACAAACTCTTTGAACCATATCAAGGGGTGGAGCCTTTGTGCGGTCGCCACTGAAGCACGTTCCTCTGATAGCTTAGGAAGTATGCCACACATCAAGATGTGGGGAAACTGTTGAGATTGAGCATATACTCCTTCCTTAATCTATTTTGGAAGATCCGGCCGTTCTGCCATGGGTGTGGATTTAGGGGTCCAGCCTACACCCTAAACCCAAAACCATAGTAATCGTAGTGACGTGAGAAAGCCTTGCGACAGCACCCAGGGTGAAGCCCAAAAGACCAAGCCCTTGGGGTTTAGGGTTAGGGGTTAGGATGGGTTAGGGTTTTGGGTGCCACAAGCACATCTAAACATCCACCCCCCACCACCACCACGTGACAAGCAACAAGACTGGACACCTGCCTAAGCGGCCCTTGACCCCACTCAGCTCTAGAGGGGGGCTCAAGGGTGTAAGGTTTAGGACTTAGCCCCTAAACCCTGAACCCTGTATACACCCTGAACCCCTAAACCCTAAACCCTAAACCCTAAACCCTAAACCCTAAACCCTAACTGGCCGTCAGCGCATCGATCCACTTGGACTCGTCTGACTTCACCGAAGGCGTGTTGAAGATTGCCAAGGTGCACCTTGCTTCGGAAGGTTTAGGGTTTAAGGCTACAGCTAACGCGATCCCGAGCTTCCCCCAACCCGCCCACTTAGGGTTGAGGGTTTAAGGGTTTAAGGGTTAAGGGTTTAAGGGTTTAAGGGTTTAAGGGTTTAAGGGTTTAAGGGTTTAAGGGTTTAAGGGTTTAAGGGTTTAAGGGTTTAAGGGTTTAAGGGTTTAAGGGTTTAAGGGTTTAAGGGTTTAAGGGTTTAAGGGTTTAAGGGTTTAAGGGTTTAAGGGTTTAAGGGTTTAAGGGTTTAAGGGTTTAAGGGTTTAAGGGTTTAAGGGTTTAAGGGTTTAGGGTTTAAGGGTTTGAGGGTTTCCTGCTTTGGAGTTCAGGGCTCAGGGTTCTGGAGAGCCCTGGCAGCTCTAGGGGTTTAAGGTTGGGATGTTCCCCCTACAGTACTTAGCAGGGATGATAGTACCCCCTTACTAGAATCCCTATCAAGGACTCTTAGTGTGGGGCAACATGAGAAGGTTTAGGGTCGATGTGACTTTGGGGCAATATAGGTGCCCAAATCGTAGGATCCCCCATACAATGGGGACCCCAATAAGGTACCCCGAATCTCGGAAACCCCCATATGAAGCAGGGTATCTATTTTTTGGTACCCCCAAAAGGACACCCGGTATGTACACTCACCAATATTAAAAAGGAACCTTATATACACTCACCAGAAACAGGAACGTAAACCCTGTTTCATATGATGTTGGGGCCCAAGGTTTTTTTGGGGTTTCTCGTATGCTCCGAGCTCCTCCAAGCGAACCTTACCAAGCCTCCACGATCGGTAGCAGCCCTTCTCTTGAGGATGCTTTGAGAAACAAAGAGGGGAAGCCCTAAACCCTAAACCCTAAACCCTAAACCCTAAACCCTAAACCCTAAACCGCATTCAGAGATTTAAACGTGCCCCAAGGCCAGAAAGTCGATGCAAACCCCAGTGATCCCTGAGCTGACATAGCTGCCTTGAGAGGTGGATGCAGCAAATCCCTGAGAGGAGCTGCAAGCGAAGCCAGGCCCGACAAAAACTCCGGGTGTGGGGGATTTAGGGTTTAGGGTTTAGGGTTTAGGGTTTAGGGTTTAGGGTTTAGGGTTTAGGGTTTAGGGTTTAGGGTTTAGGGTTTAGGGTTTAGGGTTTAGGGTTTAGGGTTTAGGGTTTAGGGTTTAGGGCTACGCACGCGTTACAAGATTCAGAGCCTTCTGCAAGACCCCAATCATCCGGCAAGGGCGCTTCGCTACATCGAGGAACTTCTTCTCGTGCAGCCAGTATCTGATCCTCAGCCGGCGCTCCCCAAATCCCAAAACCCTTCGAACCCCCTGCAACCCATAAACACGATGCCCTTGATATGGATAGAATATATATGTATATATATATATATGCATATATATATATATATATATGTGTGTGTGTGTGTGTGTGTGTACGTGTGTATTGTTTGTTTCCGTTTGCTTTTTAAAGTCCCTCCCGCAACCCATTCCCTGGCCAGTGGGTTGGGGATAGGCATCTGCTTCAGGGTTGAGGGGTTCTGGGTTTTAGGGTTATGTGGGCGGCATGGACCTTTACGTTCTTTTTCACGTTTTTCACGGAAGCCCTGCGTCAAGGTCTGCGATTTGGGAAAATGTTGCTTAATTCATTTTTGTCTGAGACGCGCCAGCACTGCAGCCTGCAAAGAGTATACCCGCGAGACATGGACACCATGTGAGAAAAGATTGTTGGTAGATGATCTCGCAGCTTAAACAGTTTAAACATTTCAAGAAGAACAGGAAAGAGACCGCGTCAAAGAGAGAGTCAAGATCCTGCATACTTGAGGCTATCGGAGCTTTGTGACGTGGGGGTTCGGGGCAGCAGCCTTTTGAACTTTGCTTGGAGGCTCACTTGGGCACTTATAATTTGAGTTATAAGCAGGGGAACTATGGTTATACCTTTTGGGGGGGGGGCACGTCTAAACCCACTTATAAACCTAATGAACCTCCAAGTAGCCCTATAAACCCTAAACCCTAAACCCGAATGAACCTTCAAGTGGTGCTTCCAAATGAAAGGATCAAAGGACCAAAGGGGGGGGGAACCCTTAAAAGGGACCTTCGGGGAATGTAGGGGCTACTTGGGTATAGAGGGACGACATAAGGTATATGTAGGGAAATAAGACTAAAGGTCCCTTGTAAAGGTCCCTCCATTCGTCTCTTCCTTCTCCGACATACTCTTCTCCTTGTAGAGGGACCCTGAATTCGGAAACCCCCCAGAGAGAGTACGTGTCCGAATAGCTGCTAAGAATCAGCAAAAACAGCGAGAGGACAAGAGCAGGATGTTGCGCTTGGGGTTTAGGGTCTCGGGCTCAGAGCGAAACTCCCGTTGGGAGCTTGGTTAAAATTTCTTTCGGGGCGACCTACACCCTAAACCCTAAACCTTACCTCCCCCTCCCCGACGAACTTGTTGTCGGTTCTCAGTGCCGGGCATATACTCGTAGTATCGGATTTTTATGTCCTCCCAGCTCCCAGCTCCGGGTTTAGGGTCGCGGTTTCAGGCTTTAGGGTTTGGGGGTCTAATTGCTATACTTACAAACCTACCCGAAGTACCTGAACCTTAGCCTCTAAACATTTGATGAACTGTATACCGCATCATGCCATCTAAATTGCTGCCTTCATCACCCTAAACCCTAAACCCTAAACCCTAAACCCAAACCCTAAACCCTAAAGACAAGGCTTAAGATCCCAACACCCCAGCGCCTTCTGAGTGCTCAGGGAACGAAGCCTACTCACAAGCCTGAATGTTCAAGGGATCAAGGCTCGTGCCCCTAGGTTGTGTCCCCTAAGGTCTCCCTTAGACGCTACCTCCTCCACGAATCGTGACTTCGCCGGTAGGAATACCACAAAGAAGCAGCCTCATGCAGTACCGTGCAGGTGCATTCCTTCCTTGGCCGCGCCCTTGACACTCTTCGCAAACCCTCGACACTAACCTCGACGACTGAAGGATACCCTTTTTTCGTCGAACCATAAACCCCAGGCCCTATAAACCCTCAACCTTAGACCCTGACCCTAAACCCTAAACCCTAAACCCTAAACCCTAAACCCTAAACCCTAAACCCTAAACCCTAAACCGTAAAGCCAAAGACACAAAAAAACAAAACGTCCTGAAAGTCGTCCGCGTCGAGAAGCTTTGGGTTGATCTTCCTACTGATGATCTGGGTCCGAACCTCAATGGCGGTTTTTGGGGGCTTTACCTACTGGTTCCTAGTAGGAAATGAGGGAGGCACCCTCTTTCAACCCTAAAAAGGTGTATATATATATATATATATATATATACGTGGTCACTTCTCTAGAATATGGTCCCTTTTGCGGTCCTTACTCTAAGGCGGCCCCTAATGGCACTGACCATATGTAGGGGACATAAGAAGGTACCTAATTCCCTCCCTCCCTACTCGGAACCAGTAGCTGTAGTGCTCTAGGGCTCTGGAGTTCTAGGGCTTGAGCCTTTAGCTTCACCCCCATCGTAGGAAATACCCGAAACAAAGCATGCATGGGGCACGCATGGCTAGCAACTGCTGGGGCCCCAGCAAAGTCCTTCTTTGCCAGGACCAGGCGCATCTGATTCAGAATGTACTCCTTGGGTTGGTGTTAGTGTTTAGGGTTTGGGGTTTAGGGGTTTGGGTTTGGGTTTAGGGTTTAGGGTTTAGGGTTTAGGGTTTAGGGTTTAGGGTTTAGGGTTTAGGGTTTAGGGTTTAGGGTTTAGGGTTTAGGGTTTAGGGTTTAGGGTTTAGGGTTTAGGGTTTAGGGTTTAGGGTTTTGGGTTTTGGGTTTAGGGTTTAATTAGGGTTTAGGGTTTAGGGTTTCGGGTTTCGGGTTTCGGGTTTCGGGCTTAGGGTTTACGGTGACGCCCTGGTCAACATGAGCTTCTCCCAACCATCACCCCCCCTAAACTCTGACTCGCCGCATCCCAAACGTCCAGCCCCCTATCTTACAAACCCACAACCCTGAACCCCCCAAAAAACCCAAAGCCTGAATCCTAAAAACTCTGTCGAATAGATCTCAGGTCGAGGCCACAAACATTGAGAGACTGCTGGAGGCGCAGGATCCAGCTCAGGGTTAAGGGTACGGTTTAGGGTTTAGGGTTCAGGGTTTAGGACCCCAAACCCTGTAGACCCTGAACCCTTTAGACCCTAAACACTAGAGACCCTGTAAGCCCTATTAGGCCCGAAGTCGTGTACGACCCAAAAAACCCTATATAGACCCAAAACCCTAAACTCTCAACCCCAAACCCTGTATGAACCCAAAACCCAAAACCCTAAACCCCAAACCCTACACCCTCGTTGAGCCCGGCACTGTCTTCTCGCGCCTCTCCATGGCTCCAAAGGACTCCACCTGCCGTTTGTGGCCGGAGGGGGGGGGGGTTCTCGAAGTTTGGGGTTTGGGGGTTTAGGGTTTAGGGCTTAGGAGTTTAAGGCTTGGGGTTTGGTATTTAGGGCTTGGGGTTTGAAAGTAATGCTGAACAACCCTAAACCATGAAGGCGAGAAACCGTAGAGGCCCTAAAGTCCCACAACCCTAAAGCCTCAAAAACCTGAAAACCCCAAAAGCCTTAAACACGAAAACCCAAACTCTGAACGCGCAACAGGGCTCAACATAATTAAGGGTTTGGGGGACGGGGTCGAGGTTTAGGGATTCATCTGCGACCTGAATCATTGTGGCATGCTTAGGGTGGAGTTGAGGGATTCTTTCCCTACGAGCCGCCAACAATCCGCTGGGTGTAGGTTCTTGGCATCATGCCCCTTGTGGGACTCTTAGGGAAACATTGGCTTGGGGTTCTGGTGGTAGGGCTTGGGGCCAAGCCGAATGGAGCCCTCACCTGTCATCTTGGAAGCATGAAAGCCCTGTTCGGATCTTGGAATTTCAGGGCTTTTGTGGCTTTAGGAACTTTTGGGTGCAGGGTCACAAGCGGACCCTAAACCCTAAACCCTAAACCCTAAACCCTAAACCCTAAACCCTAAACCCCAAGCCAGAAACATGAATCAAAGGAGCCCTGCCTGGACCTCCTGTATGAGGCTCGCGGCTTCGTCGACCTTCCCCTCCTCCTCCTTCATGTTGGCCTTAGCTCGCCCAGGCCCTAAACCCTAAACCCTAAACCCTACACCCTAAACCCTACACCCCAAACACTCAAGGCCATGTCTTCCGGAATTAAAAAGTTTAGGGTTTAGGGGTTCACTAGGGTACTTATGAGTAGTATGGTCAAAACTCATAACCCTATTCAGGTCACTTTTCACCCTCCTAAGTACACATGAACCACCAAGTACTGGAATGTATGATGAATTTCTGAGTACTGCTGTAGGTATTCCTTAATCACCGATGCCCTCTAACCCTCCTTGGAGCATAAGACAAGCAGGCAAAAAGCAAGTGACCAAATCATAACATACGTTACGAGCCACAACAGCGGTTCAACCCCCTGGTTTTGGTAGGGAATGAGGGATTTTGGGGGCCCGATATTTTCCCTTTCAGGGATGCTATAGGGCTCTAAGAACCAGCCAGTCAAGCAGAGGTCTTTTCGGTCAAAAGCTGCTCCGTCGTCGTTCCTACGGCTGGATCTCAGGCCGCGAACTGTTTGGGTGATCTTCAGCCTTCATGCGTCGAACCGAACCGACTTCTAGAAACGGCACCTACTGGTTTAGGGTTTAGGGTTTAGGGCTACCGCAACTGCAACTAATGACGACCCCTGGAGAATGTCAGTTCGCGTACCCAATGCCAGTCAGATGTGAAGAGCCACTCGTGAACCCCGTCAGCAGCATCCAGCTGCGGTGCTGGCACTGCTTTTCCAGTGCTTTTCCTCTCGCTCGACACATGTACTTGCATGCATCCGAGCGAAACAGGTGCGGTGCTGGCACTGCTTTTCCAGTGCTTTTCCTCTCGTTCCACACGCAAGCGGCTCAAGCGGAGCTTTCTTCCTAAACCCTAAACCCTAAACCCTGAACCCTAAACCCTAAACCCTAAACCCTAAACCCTTAACCCTTAACCCTAAACCCTTAAACCCTAAACCTGTCAAGGCGTGGTCTTTGGTCTGTGGTACGGCTGGATCTCAGGCCGCGAACTGATTGAGCCATTCCCGGCCTTTCCGGTGTCGAACCGACGTTTAGGGTTTAGGGTTTAGGGTTTAGGGTTTAGGGTTTAGGGTTTAGGGTTTAGGGTTTAGGGTTTAGGGTTTAGGGTTTAGGGTTTAGGGTTTAGGGTTTAGGGGTTAGGGACTTGCCATGTACTTTCCTTAACTTGTTATGTACTTTCCTTGACTTGTTATGTACTTTCCTTAACTTGTTATGTACTTTCCTTAACTTGTTATGCACGAGAAAGTATGGAAGCCTTGAGCTGATGACCTCTGGAGAATCGTCAGTTCACGTCCCCGACGCCAGCCAGACTTGAAGAACTGACACATCTCCCGTGATGCAAGATATGCGAATCGGCCACAGTAGCTCGGCGACGAATAGTTGTCGCCGTGGATTGTTTTTGTGGGTTCAGGGTTTAGGGTGTAGGGTTTAGGGTTTACTCTGTACTGGTCACCATCGAAGATTTCGGGAGTTGCATAAGCTCGTGAACCTCGTCAGCAACATCCAGCCGCGGTGCTGGCATCGCTTTTCCGCTCGTTCGACACATGCATATGCATGCATCCGAGCGAAGCAGGTAAAATGTGTAACATGCGATCTTCAGGCAGATAAAGACAGGGAACGCAGCTATTGGCGTACGAGTATGAGCAATTCAGTAGGCGACGGATGAACAAGAAGATCGCAAAGCGATGATCCAAAACAAGTCGCGAATTGCATGATGGCACAGCTCGTTGCGCAACGCCCCGCTTTTAGACTCACAAACCCAAACCCCGGAATGCCCGAAACCTCTAGAATCTTGAATTCCAGTTCACAAGGCGCTGTGGAGCGCTACCCCGTGCCCATGTAGAAGATACTGCCCAGCCAGCAGCAAAGTTCGCAGATCATCCCTCGAAATCACGGCTCAGTGTCTAGGGTTAAACACTGCCGCCGAAATTCGAACCTGCGCGCTCTCCAAAGGTTCCACGAGAAATCTGCATTCAGCCGGTGGTGATTCGAAGTCTCTCAAGCCCAAACATGTTCGATTTTCTGGGGCTCTTGGCAGTCTCGTATTTGGTGCGTTTTTGGGCTTAGGGACGCCAGCACCTGGCCTGTCCAAGCTGCAAACCGGATTGGAACTCAGATCGGAAGCTTCTTATTGAGAGTACCACGTGTGTGACATTCAGAAATTATCCCACTCTCCTCAATGCCTAACATCTAGCCAAGGATGGTAGTTAAGACCGCGGCTGGTAAAGTACTCGACATTCCTCTCTGAGACCCCAACTACCAAGTCATCTGATTCGCAAGACGAAACATGCCACTTGTTGCCTGGCCGAGAAAGAACCTTAGGCCTTGCTTGATTTTGGCTCCTCTCGGGAGATGCAAATTTGCTGAAATGACTCGCTCAAGGCTTCCGCTGCCTGCCTTGACCACGCGCGGACGACATCAGCTTCTTCCATGACGGCCAGGCAAATCATGTCCATAAGCCTCATCGTTGCAGCCCGTGGCAAACAGCATGGAGGCAGCTTACCTGCCGGGATGGCTGAAAAAAGCACGCGCCACTCTGCAACACTCATGCTCGATGGCATGAGGCTGGCCACTGGCAGCAGGCCCGAGTACACAAAGCTCAGGCTAAACAGTCCGGCGGCCAGCTTGCCGTGGCTGAGCATTGGGGAGGCTGGAACGCACATAACCACGGCGTGTGCGAACATCAAGGCCGTTCCGTGCATCTGCTGGATAGGAAGTTGAGAATCCCGGCCCGCCAAGAGTCCGAAGCGAGTGAAGTAGGTCTGGCACCACCGCTGAACGCAGGGTGCTTCCACCCCAAAATCGAGCGCCTCTAAGACCTCCTTCTCATGCTGGGAGACTGCTCGGTTGGACACTGTTGCAGTCACGCAGTTCTGCGTGGAATCCAGCCATGTAGCAAAGTCATGAATCAGGTTCTCACCTGAAAGGGGCAATGCCGCGCTGGAGGCGCACTTCAAGACGATGCCTGTCAAGCACGTACAGGTCAGCGGTAGCTTTTCCAAGCCGAAGCGCTGGCGTGCTGTGATGTGATCAAGAAGCAGGGCCGCCTGAAACCAAGTGCTTTTCCCCACAGGATGTGCCTGAAGCATGTTGAACATGCAACGCAAAGCCTTGGTACGAATTGATCCGTCGAGGTTGCCCGGCATCGGCAGATGGACCATCTTCTCCTCCTCTTTGAGATCCTCGACCATCTTGGAGGAGGCGCCCAGGCGATGCAACTCCTCCTCCATGTTCTCGGAGATGGCCATCGACTCGTACTCGGCAGCGGTTTCCGGTGTCGAGTTGTTCTCACCTTGCCACATCGTCAATGGGCTCCGAAGTGGCCGTAAGTAGTCGCTGGACCCTAGCGCTGTCCTCAACTTGAGCCAAGATGAAGATGGCATACAGTAGGAATGTAGGTGCAAGGGTCCTTCTCTTCCTACTATACACACCTACTCTCCAAACACCCCTTCAATCCAGGTTTCTAGTAGAGTTTAGGGCTTGAGGCTTGAGGCTTGAGGCTTGAGGCTTGAGGCTTGAGGCTTGAGGCTTGAGGCTTGAGGCTTTAGCACAGTTTAGCGTTCGGGGTTTCGGGTTCACGGCTCATCACCAACCGCAGGGTCTGGGCCCCATGGCCAGCATCGACGTGAGGCGCGCTTTTTCCACCTGAGACCGGGGGGACCACGTCGGGGTTTAGGATTTATAGGGTTTAGGGTTTTAGGGATTAGGGCTTGTGGGGGGGTTGAAGGGCCAGGGGCGACCATGAGTCCCAGCCCAAAAACGCCCAAGACCCACGAAGCCCCCTACCACCCTGCACAACAATCCACGAAGCCCCCCACACCCAAAGAAAACCGAACAAAAACACAAAGAAAGCGTCCCAAACAATCACCGCTAGCACCGACCAAGCCTTCAAGTGGCCACTCGATTCTGATGTTGCATAGGTCAGGGATGACGGTGGTATAGTTACTTACCCTAAGCCCCAAACCCTAGGCTCCCGTATTACCCGAAGAAAAAGACCCCTAAACCCTAAACCCTAAACCCTAAAGCCTAAACCCCTAAAGCCTAAACCCTAAAACCCTAAACCCTGAACCCTAAAACCCACCCTCCGGCCTCCACAAAAATCTTGCCCTCCGTCACCTCGTTCAGCGTATTGATGAGGTCCAGCCTCTGCTCCTGTTTGAGCAGGCATGAAGGATCTCACCCGCAGGATACACCTGTTGCGCTTGACCTTCTTGAACATGTGGGTGGCTGCTGAAATTATGATCCCTTTTGGGGTACCCTAAATACTAGGTGCCGTACTATAATAGGGATCCAAAAAAGGGACCATAATTTTGACAACCACCCATGTATAAGTAGAATTAAGTGTATGTGTACGTCTATATGACCTTCTAAACCAAGCCTCGGAGGTACAAGTTCTAGGAATAAGGAACTCCCATTCTAGTCCGAGGCTGAATGTGTTCTTGGGTTTGTGGTGTAGGGTTTAGGGACCAGAATTCAGGGTCTGTGGTGTAGGGTGAGGGGCATGGCTGTCGAGGATGACGGAGTGTGTGTGCAGCTTCTCTCTCTCTCTCTCTCTCTGGGCTTGGGCTTTGGGTCGGCAGAAGATGCCATCTATGGAGGTGCGAGAGCAAGGTGTTAGGGTTTATAGTTTTCAGGTGCTTAACCCTAAACTCACCGACTGATGTCCCAGCAAACCCTTCCCTTGTTAGTGCTTGTAAATTTTCTCTCTCAGTCGCAAAGGGATCTCTTGGCGGCTGCGAGTTTAGGGGATGAAAGGGTGAAATGAGAATGGTAGAACGCAGTGCTCGGGTTCCTCATCCAGTACTTCGGTTCTTCGTCCAGGGCTGAGCGCCGAATACCTAACCCCAACCTCGGGTTCTTTCGGCGAAGCACATCCCTAAACCCTGAACCCTAAACCCTATAAACCCTAAACCACTTTTGCAGGCGTTTAGTAGCGTCTCATGATGCTACTCGCTGCTTCGAACGCGTGCATCGCCAGCTGCTGCCCACGCTGGGCTGTCTCCACAGCTTCCAGCGCCATCTCCCGTGTTCCGTCTGCGGCGCGCTGTGACAGCTGCGCCTTGTGCAGCGCGGCTTGTGCCTTCCACAGAGCCTTGGTAGCCCAGTCAGCATAATGCAATAAGGGTGTCTTGCTTGGGGTTGGCTACTTGGGAGGCGAACTTAGAAACGCAAAAAAACGGCAAAAGGGCACCGTTAAGTACCAAGGAGCGTCACCAGCCGTCTGCAGGGCCTCCTGCGCGACTTGCCTTGCCTCCCCGGCAGCGCGGTGCGCGGACTGAGCGAGCTGAACAGCGCGCACGCCCATTGCCTGAGATGGCAACGCAGGCGAGTCGTACAGGACATCCAGGTTGGGCAGCCGAGTTAAGGGCAGCTGGCGCAAGACTTGGCAGGCAAAGGCCGTTTCCGAAGGCCCCTGCCCAGCCTCGCAGCACCACCTGGCCAAGAGCCTAATGGCCCTTTCGCAACTACCACCATCGGCCTCTGACCAAACATTGAAGTGCCAGAAGCTGCGCATGTGCTCCACCAGTCGCTCGTCCGTGCAGCTCTCCAGGCGTGCCAGGAGCGCTTGCACCACAACATGCCTGCTGTCAGGCACAGCAGCCAGATCCCCAAGCCACTCCAAGGGAATCTGCTCGGCCGTAGCGACCGGAAGGAGATCGCACTCAGCAAACAGGCACATCAGCTGCCTGCCCACGGGACTGTTTGGAGGATGGTCCTGGTCCAGCACAAAGTTGAGGGCATGTTGTAGTTGGCGGCTGGATGCTATGGCCAGGCATCTATTCGCGCGTGCCCACGCCAGCAGCTGCTGGATCTCGCGACGATCTTTCTCGATGCATTCAAGCAGCGCAGGGGCCTCGGCCGCCCAATCCGACAGGACCCTTTCGAAGATCTGAGCTCGCCGGTCACCAGAGATATCCTCCAAAGCCATCAGGCTGAGCTCTGTCGTCAACATGAGCTGGATGCCAACCTTAAGGTAGCCCAGTAGCCATCTTACAATAAAAATACTCTTCGGGGTTGGCTACTTTATGAGGGAACCTCGAACCAACAAATGGTATAAAAGGGCACCACTGGGCTATCCAGCAACTTGCGCACTCTTGTTGGCAGCCTCTGCGAACACCCTCCGCGCAGCCACGAGATGACCGTGTCCCATGCATGCCATGAAGATCGGCACAGCTTCGGAAGGAGTCAACTTCTCCACTTCCATGTAGGCAAACAACCGCCCAAACAAGAAACTTGACATCTGATCCCTGTGGTTTACGAAGACATTCCAAGCGAAGGCGTGCCGCTCCAGTTTGGGCGGCATGTTGGACAACTGCATGTTCCCACCTTCATGAGCGCCGACATGGGCGCGAATGTCCAAAGCAGTCCCGTGTGCCTCGAGAAGTGTAAGGGCCAGCTGCTCGTCAACCGCTGCCCATTCGTTGAACCCCCGTGCCAAAGCTGCCGATGGCATGTCATTCTGCAGCAGTTCCAACAATCCGCTCTTCATGGATTGGGAAAGGCTCCTGGCCTTCGAAACCACAGTCACCACCAATGACACCAAGTCCCAGGCACTTGCCCTTCGAAGAGCCTCGGAGTGTAGTGCAGCTCGAGACAAGTCCTCATCTGCCGTCGCTGCCGCGTAGGAGAGGAGCAGCAACACATCAACAACATCTTGCAACCACGATTGCCTTGAGGGTACAAGTCCCAAACTAGTCTAACCCTACAAAGACACCTGAGGTTGCAGTGGAGATAGACTACTACCAGACTACCACACAGACCAAATCTGCAGCTGCTGTGCGAAAGTACGTCTGCACTGCAAAAGCCTCGCATCTCGCAAGCCTGGCGCAGGAAGTGCTGATCCTGAAAGAGCTCGGTCGCCATGTGCTGCACCCCTGCATGCGACTGGCGCAGCACGTGCAACATGATCTCGCTTGACTTGCGGGCTTCTTCGGGGGCTTCGCGGACCTTCTTCCAGTCATGCTGAACCAGAGGTAGCCATAATGCCACATCTGGGTGGCGGCGCACCCAAGATACTGGCTCCGAGCCCTCCTTCAGCTGAAGGTCCCTGACAAGGCCGTCATCCTGGAGGATGTTAGCCCCGAAGCTTAGGCACACCTGCCCCGCTGGGATGTCGTAGACTTGCTGCATCTTCAGCTTCACCTGGGCCATGGTCCAGTCATCCCTGACACCGAGCTCGCAGGCTTCTCCGGCCATCGAGGCCACGCGCAGGGTGACGGCCGGAGTCACGCAGTTGCAGGGCTGCTGCCTCTGCCGCTCCCACTCGGAGAGAGCCGCGAAGGAGGAGGCTCCCCCTGCAGAGAGCTGCATCCTCCCTGGGCAGCCATACGCATCGTGGTGCGCGCACCGGGCTCCTTCCGACTGCCAGCCTTGCTCTTTCCGGACCATCCCACAGCTGTCGCACTGCAAGTACCGGATGCTGCAGCAGAAGCAGCTGCCTCTTGCCCGCTCTTCCCATATCCTTAAGGAAGTGCACGGCGCCCACCCTCAACCTCTCAACCGCCACCCTGAACCTCCTATGAGGCCTACGCCTGCACAGACCGCACCCTCAACCTCTCAACAGCCACCTTGAACCTCCTATGAGGCCTACGCGGGCACAGACCGCTATGAGCCTTAGTAACTACATTGAGCAAAAAGAGGCTCCCACACAAGCCCATGCGTCGCCGAGTCGAAACAGATCGGCGCCGCCCACTTCACCAGCGACAGTCGGCCAGGGCACCCGTGCGGAGATCGGTGAGGGCAGCTCAGACTGGTCCAGAGCCAGCCGGGATGCTTCCTTTTTCTAGGGATGTTACAGCCCTCTGAGAAATATTCCTGAATATTATCCCCTTAAACCCTAAGTGAGAATAGAAACTGTCCCAAGGGCCTACCGAGATTTGGGAGTTTGGGGGGGGGGTACACTCTACCCCCTCCCCGTAGTGCCCTTTCTCTCGCTAGGAACTGGCCGGGAGCTTGAGGGTTTTGAAGCAGCCATGGCAGCATGGTCGATTTTTGGGGCTACTCCCTGGCGATCTCAAACCTCCTCCAAGCGTCTGGATGAGCTGACAGCGGTCGCACTTCAGGTACGAGGCAAGCGCCTCTGGCTTCCACGCCCGGCACTGCTGGGGAGGCACGCAAGCCCATGACCGCAAGCCCTCCGCGCATGTCCCAGGCATGCAGTTTAGGGTTCCGGGGTTAGATCCCTTGGATGCCTTGTGGGGTTTAGGGCCTAGGGTCTAGGGTATAGGGTTTCGGGTATGGGGTTTTTTAGCCCTATATAGGCATCATCATCGGCCCTCATGTCCGAGCCCATGGCTGTGAGTGCTATGGGCATAGGGCTTGCCAAGGTCCCTGGGTCGTATTAGGGCGAAATTCGGCGCCTTTATCAGAGGCTACCCCACGAGGGAACGCTTTCCCCTGAACCCTTCACCTTAAGGGGTATAAGGTGGGGCCCCTAGAAGGGACACACCATCTTCTTCCCTTATATACCCACTACATATAATTGCCTGACATCGTCCCTAGATACCGAAGGCCCCTTAGAGGGGGTCCCTCCTTGTGTCCCTTGAAAACCCCGAACCCCCTCCACTACTGACACAAAGGCCCGTGGGGGAGCAAAGGCTGAGCCAACTGCAACGCCTCAAACCCGATGTCGAGACCCACCCAGGCAGCCCAGTAAGGGTACTTGAAGGTTTATTAGGGTACCTACAAGTAGGGCTCAAGGTGCCCCAAAGAAGGCTATAACCATACGTACCCGACTTTTTGCACTACCCTCATGAACCTCGCACTACGCCTGAATTTAAGGCATATTAGGGTCCAGGCTTAAACCCTAAACCCTAAACCCTAAACCCTAAACCCTAAACCTTTAAACCCTAAACCCTGAACCTACGCAACGGTTGCAGAGCTTGGCCCATGATCCCAAAAAAGGGCCTTCTGCAGCCCATCCAACCAGCTCATGGCCAGATGCACCTCGCTTGAGCATGGTTTGGGTTTCGGGTTTCGGGTTTCGGGTTTCGGGTTTCGGGTTTAGGGTTTAGGGTTTAGGGTTTAGGGTTTAGGGTAAACTTCGCGGCGGTGAGTTCGGGCCTCCTGCCGTTGGACGGCTTAAGGGTTTAAGGGTTTAGCCCCTGAATCTGAATCGTGCCTGAAGAACAACCCAAAAAAAACTGCTTTTTCGTAGGCTCTCAGTCTTAGTATAAAACGCCTCGGATCATGAGGTGACCTGCCAAAAAGGCAGGTTTGGGGTTCTCAAGGTAGGGTCTGAAGGAGCTCGAGTGAACCGCGTGTGCCCCCCTCGCCTTAAACCCTACACCTGACATCTCAGGCGGACCAACCCCTGATGCCCCCGAGCCTGGCTAGCCCATCCCCTGAACCCCATTAGAGTTTAGGGTTTAGGATTTAGGGTTTATGGTGAGTACCAATCTAGCATGGCATCTGTAACAAGAGCCTCCGCTCCCCCTTATACTAGCAGCCCTTCATAAGCATTATCATAGTACTATAATCCCTATCAGGGGGAACATCCCAACCTTCAAGTATGATCCTAAAGTAAGGCCTTCAGTAAGGCACCGCGAAATTTTTAGGGATACCCTGTTGCGAGGAGGTATGGGGGACCCCTCAACTCGAAGGCCTCTTGTTGGACCCGGTTTAGTGGGGGGCCTCCTCTATAAAGTCCATTTGGCTGTGTTATTCAGGACACCCTGACGGTTTGGGAGTCCCTCTTTAAAGTCAGACGGTTCCCGAAATCCGGCATTTGTTCTTAAGGATTTGGGGCTTGTTTCGGCCCGGAGGCTCCGAATTTGGAAAAAAGCCTATGGATTCCTTTTAATTCATATAAACTCATCCCGGATCCCTTTTCGATTCGCACGGATCCCTTCTAAATTCATGTAAGCTCATCCCTTTTAGATTCATATGGATCCCGTATCCCTTGTAAATCTATCTAAACTCATCCCTAATAAATCACATAGACTCCCGGGCCCGTTTCAACAGGGCATGATCCAGCCTCGACTGTTCGGGGGGGGGGGGGGGGGGGGGGCACACTAAACAGGGTTCAGCATGAAACCCCAAACCCATTGAACCCCAAACCCTAAACCCCAAACCCTAAACTTAAACTCTAAACCCTAAACTCTAACCCCAAACCCTAACCCCAAACCCTAAACCCCAAACCCCAAACCTAAACCCCAAACCCTAAACCCCAAACCCCAAACCCGAAACCCCAAACCCTACACCCCAAACCCTAAGCCCTAAACCCTAAACCCCAAACCTCAAACCCGAAACCCAAACCCTAAGCCCTAAGCCCTAAACCCTAAGCCTCTGTGCTTTCACCCATCCCGCCAAGAGCCGGGCCATGTCGGTGGTGGATCGCTTGAGCTGGCCGCGCTTCCTCGGAAAGGGTTTAGTGTTTAGGGTTTAGGGTTTAGCGTTTAGGGTTTGTGGTTTGGGGTTTAGGGATTAGGGTGGGGGTTTGGGGTTTAGGGTTTAGGGATTAGGGTTGGGGTTTGGGGTTTAGGGTTTAGGGTTCGGGCTTAGGGTTTAGTGCGGACATGCAGGGCATAGGTTTTGGTTCGTCCTCCCAACCCTGAGTACTTCGAGGGCTATCCCCTATCTCAGTCACCGGTCGAAGGGCACCCGAGCAGTGCTAAGAGGTACCTTTTGTGTGCTTTCAGGAGTCTGGGGATGCTCCTCCACCAGCCACTAGAGTTGTGCGTCACCAGACGAGCAGCAAAGGAAGATCCTAATCCCCAAACTGGCCCCAACCCCAAACCCCAAACCCCAAACCCTAAACCCAAAAACCCAAAGCCTCGCATGCTGTAGGGGTTCACGAGGTCGGGGTTTAGGGCACACGTGCCCTTTCCAGGAGCCTCAACATAACACCTTGGGATGTTCCCCTTTAGACTAGCAGTCCTTAACAGGGACTTTATAGTAGGAGGTACTACAATCCCTATTAAGGACTGTTAGTATCAGGGAGAAAATAATATTACGAATCGCCTGCAGCCATAAAACAAAGCTCACACAACTGCTCGCATGGGTTACTTTGGAGGTCGAATTCGCCTGGAACAAAAAACAGACAGCCCTAAACCCTAAACCCTAAACCCTAAACCCTAAACCCTAAACCCTAAACCCTAAACCCTAAACCCTAAACCCTAAACCCTAAACCCTAAACCCTACACCCTAAACCCTAAACCCTACTCACCCGAAGCACAGGCGCGCACCAAAAGGCCAACGCGTTTTCCTCCGCCCTGAGCTCTGCAGGCCGCGCTCAGGCACCATCCCAGACCCCTTAGAACCTACAATTGCCCGCTTCGAAAAAGACATCGAACCATGCAAAAACCAAGCATTGGGATTTTTCTCCTTAAACTAGCAGCTCCTTAGTGGGGATTCTAGTACCCCCTATTACATTCCCTCTTAAGGGACTGTTAGAAAAAGGGTTTAGCATCCCGAACTAAGCACCTTGATCACTCTGTAGCCGAGTTAAAGCCTACTGCCGTGGCGGGGAACGAAAACTGACCTTGCACTCCCAGTGGGGCGGCCCTGGCCGGGCCGTGTGTCGAGGCCTGAATCTGGGTGTTGAGCTGCCTTTGGTTCTTTCAACCCGGATGAGGGTTTACGGTTTACGGTTTACGGTTTACGGTTTACGTTTTACGGTTTACGGTTTAGGGTTTAGGGTTTAGGGTTTAGGGTTTAGAATCCCCCAAAATAAATCTGCTTAAAGAGGTTTTTTGGGAGATTCGAGGTATTATGTCCTGTTCTGGAATGTATTTAGGGTTGCATGGCCCGGACATAACACTGCCATACGCGACCTCAGGGAGACATTCTCCGCTCGGCCAACAAACAGGTGCCAATGCCGAAGGCAAAGACACGAACACCAGCCCGGAACCCGAACCCTGACGCTCAAAATCTCCCTAACTTGAAGACCTAGATTTTGGAGCTTTTGTTGGGGACATGCCTCACATACCCGTCTACGCAAGCCCGAGAACTTTCAGAGTAAACCCACGGCCACATGTCTCCCTGATGTCTTGGCACGCATCTGGTTTCAAAGGCCAAGACGTTTCGTGGAAAGGGCGCCGCGGCTAGTCTGCTCTCATAGGTTCCTCGGTAGCCTTAGGAAAATACTATACTCCCCTTAGAGCCTACATAAACGTAATGTCTTTTTAAACATTCCCTTGGGTTTATATAAATATGAATACAAAAAAAGTAATTCCCAAGGGGCTAGAGAGCAGGGCCAGCACCCTTTTGCCAGAAGGAGAGAGAAAAGCTGAGCCTCACCCTGGCTCACCAATAGCTTGGGATGCTGGTTTCGGAGTTTCGGGTTGAGGGTTTAGGATGGTTTAGGGTTTAGGGTTCAGGGTTCAGGGTTTAGGGTTTAGGATTTAGGGTAGGTGGGCGCCTGCATGGTGCAGGGGCTAGGTGTGGCATCTAGCAGAGGTCCTGGGCGCGACGTAAGCGAGAAGCAGGGGCTCCCTATCAAAACTCCAACCTCTCAACCCTAAACCGGCCGATGAAAATGAAAGTGTAGTGCTGAGTGAGATTATTTCGGCCCACCTCTTGTCTCTCTCCCCAGCAACTGCTGCAAGCATCGCCGCCCGCATCGTTCGAAAAACTCCTGCGCCTCTCTCTCTCTTTTCGCCCCCATCTTCGTCCGATCAGAGGAGGCGTGCCCCCCACACCCTTGCTTCCGGTTTCTGTTTGGGGGAATTGCCGAACCACAGCTCTGAACCCCACCTTCGAACTCTTAAACCCTCAACTGAGTTGTCCAGTAACCTGGGGGAATTAAAGGTTAACCTTTGGGAAGATAAGGGGATTCCAGTACCCCAAAAAGGTTAAAGGTTACCTACTCTACTACTAAGTCAATGGGAAGACTGCTCGGGGGTGCTGGAGGGGGGGGGGTTCGAAATGCAAAAGATGAGTGAGGGCCAGGGTTGCAAGGAGCCCTCCCCCCCTGATTAACAGCCCAGCCCCACCGGAAGTGCAACTTTCCGGTCTCTGCTCTAGTAGGTTCCCCATACTCATACCTTTTTAAGGTTAGCTTCACCTAAACCCTCAACCCTAAGCCCCTAACACGAAAAGCAGTACCCAGAACAGCATTGAAACCAGGATGGCCTCGCGCGCGAAGGTCAGGGTTCAGGGAAGCTTTAGGGTTTAGGGTTTAGGGTTTAGGGTTTAGGGCTTAGGGTTGAGGGTTGAGGGTTGAGGGTTTAGGGTTGTCTGAGCCGCCCTGAAACCAACAACTGCCTTTGCAACAAACAACTGCAAAGGCTCCCCGCTCACCCTAAACCCTAAACCCTAAACCCTGAAACCCTAAACCCTAAAACCCTAAAACCCTGAAACCCTAAACCCCCCCCCCCCCCCTCACGGAAAAAGAGGACACTCAGAACGAGGGGTTGAAGCGCCACAGCTCAGCGTTGGAGCTGTGGCTCTCGCGGTTGGTGTCCTGCATCATGGATCAGAGGTCATGGGTTTAGGGTTTAGGGTTTAGGGTTTAGGGTTTAGGGTTTAGGGTTTAGGGTTGGGAAGTTCCCCCTTACACTTTACTAGCTGTCCTTAGTAGGGATTGTTATAGGGGGGGCACTAGAGTCCCTCTTAGGGAGCTGGTAGTACAAGGGGGGAACATCCCAATATCAGAGGCCATAGGGCCTCAGGAGGGTGCAAACTTAGGGCTGAGGATTTCAGGGGCGGGGCCGCCGGGGGCCATCAACTCGGTTATTTTTCGGGTTTAGGGTTTAGGGTTTAGGGTTTAGGGTTTAGGGTTTAGGGTTTAGGGTTTAGGGTTTAGGGTTTAGGGAATCCAGGCACAAGGCTATTAACTAAACAAACGTTTGTGTCTCAGCAATTAAAACATGTCAAGCTTAGGACCCTGGCTCCTGAGAATACTTGACCCTACCAGGTTTCAAGATGCGGGGCAACTCTGCACATCGCGGCTTCGGACCCTCGAGGAATATTCTATACCTCTACATTCTTCTGGAGGGGTACCCCTGCCCCTGACGTACCCCATCTTGGGATAGCATTCAAAAGCCACAACGTCAGGGTTGTGGTTCTTGTGGCTATGAACAATGGTGTATGATGGCATGTGCATCAATTCAGGGTTGAACTCCCAGGGTAAAGGGTTAAGCTCGCCAAAAACCTTGAACCTCTAAACCCTCTCAGGATTTGCCCTCAACTTGGGATGATCCCCTTATACTAGCAGTCCCTAATCGAGAGAGATTCTAGTACCCCCTATAATAATCCTTCTTAAGGACTGTTAGAAAAAAGGGTGAACATCCCAACCCTCAACCCTCTAAACCCTACCCCTAAACCCTAGACCCTAAACCCAAACCCTAAACCCTAAACCCTCAACCCTAAACCCCAAACCCTAAATCCTAAACCCTAAACCCTAAACCCTAAACCCTAAACCCTAAACCCTAACCCTAAACCCTAAACCCTAAACCCTAAACCGCTTTGGGGCTCGGGGTCTTCACAGCCCTCCCTCTCGGCGGTCCGCGGCCGCGGCAAGGAGGAAGCCTTGCCCCTCTCCCAAGTTGCACATCCTGAGCTTACCATGATGGGCTTAGGGTTTAGGGTTTAGGGTTCAGGGTTCAGGGTTCAGGGTTCAGGGTTTAGGGTTCAGGGTTTAGGGTTTAGGGTTTAGGGTTGAGGGTTATAATTACAGGGTTCTTCAGGGACGGGGGGTTCACGGGGGGCAGGTACCTAGGGAAGCTTAGGGAGCCTTAGGGAGTAGTGGGGAGTGTTCGGGAAATTTGGTTTCCATACCCCCCCTTCTGAAACCCCCTCCCCTCAAGAACCCCAAAATGTACTTCCCACAATCAACCCATAATCCGGGGAATTTCTTAGGGGGTTGCAGGGTAGAATAGCCCATGCTTGTAACCGGTGTCATGACTCAGGGCTTAAGGCCTATAGGAAAAGCCCCCAACCCTAGCTTGAGAACCCAAAACCTACTTGGAACTTTTTGGCACGTTCGCGACGCATCCTGTAAGGGGCTTTGTGCTAAGCAACTTCGAGAGGAGGACTGTCGGTTGGCCCCTTGCAACCCTCTGAGAAACAATTCTAGAATTATTGAGGTTTAGGGTTCAGGGTTTAGGGTTTAGGGTTAAGTAAGAACACAACAGGGAACAATGTCGAGCGTAAGCTCGCGCAAGCGAAAGACACAATGCCAAAACTGGAGCCCAAGCCACCCCGACACCCACCACCGGCCGGAGGGCAGCACCCAGCGCCCCACCTCAAGGGGTTTTTGTAGGCACTCCACGTAACTTTGAGGTTACCCCAAAAGGCCCTAAACCCCCAAACCATGGGGACTCCGAATACAGGAGTGGCTGCTTAGGGCTGGTTCCTGGGGTTCCTGGACTCATACTGGGATTCAAAAAACACTTGTTCATTGTTGGGATAATATTAAGAATTTAAATTTATATTCCTTATTGGGTTTAAGTACCCTTAAAAATGTAAAATGTTTCCCAACTATGACAAAGAACAGGGGCGTGTGTGCCTAGATGTGTTTTTTTGTCGCGCGGGGGGATCCTTGTAAAGGGGAATCGGGATGGGGACTTTGGGGCTCAAGAGTTTGAGAGGTTGATGGGACCCCCAACACCCTACACCCTTCAGGTGTGGCGAAACCCCCATTTCAGGGTATCCCTAAACCCTAAACCCGAAACCCGAAACCCTCAACCCGAAACCCTAAACCCTCAACCCTAAACCCTAAACCGCGGGGGTATTGGACTCTCTGGGCACCTCTTCCCCCTCTCTGGCTTGGTGCGCAGGGCGCTCAAGCGTTGCACGGATGTACCCCAAGAACTCCAAACAGTTGCTGTTTGTTTGTTGTTTCGTGTTTGCTGTTTGTTGTTTGCCGCTTGTTGCTTGTTACTTGTTGCTGGTTGCTGGCTGCTGGTTGCTGGTTTACTGTTGCTTGTTGCTTGGTGTTCGGTGCGTGTTGCGTGTTGCCTATTGCTGCTTGTTGTGTGTTGTTTGTTGCTTGTTGTTTGTTGCTTCTTCATCGTTGATTGTTGATTGTTGAATGTTGCTTGTTGCTTGTTGCTTGTTGCTGGTGGCTGGCTGCTTGTTGCTTGTTGCTAGCTTCCTGCTTGTTGATTGTTTCCTGTTGCTGATTGCTGTTTGTTGGTTGTTTGTTGCTTGTTGTTTGCTCATTGTTGCTTGTGGCCTGTTGATTGTTGCTGTTGCTGCTGTTGCTGGTGTTGTTGGTTGTTGGCTATTTGTTGTTTGTTGTTTGATGTTGGTTGCTTGTGGGTTGTGGGTTGTGGGTTGTGGGTTGTGGGTTGTGGGTTGTGGGTTGTGGGTTGTGGGTCGTGGGTCGTGGTCGTCGTCGTCGCCGTCGCCGTCGTCGTCGCCGTCGCTAAAGACACTTTGTCTAGAACTCTTTTCATGGCATTCTTAGGTAACCTTCGGTTCTGAAGGTAGGGGGTGAGGATCTGGGGTTCAGGGCAAACAAGAGTGGCCCTACTTGTGCTAGTTGAGGGCCTGGGGATGCCAGGGAGCAAGCTGAGAGCAGCATCTGCGATGCCGCCACATGACTAGGCTCTTGCTGATTGAACTTAACACAAGTCACCATGACAAGGATCAAGGAAACCATATTATTGACCATAATATAGCACCCGATTCTGGCGGAGAATCTAGGAGCTTGAACAGCAACCCAGGTGAAGGCAAGAGTCTGCAGGGTTTGAGGGGTTGGGGCTTGAGGCTTGTGGCTTTCAGGGAGGTCCTGAGGGCCTCCTCACCGCGGTAGTGGGCTGGATCCCAGGCAGCCACCTCTTCTGGGGTTTAGGGTTAAGGGTTTAGGGTTTAGGGTTCCGCGTCCCAGGGCGTGCGGGCGGTTGATCCAAACTAGGGCTTTTGTGATGCCCTACACCATACGGAATCGACCCCCCAAGAAGGCCCATGATGTGAAGCAGGGTACGTACTACACCCACTACATACATAAACATACACACACACACACACACACACATAGAGTGGAGGCCTTTTGGGCTGAGGGTTCCGTAAACCCGAAACCCTAAACCCTAAACCCCAAACCCCAAACCCTAAACCCTAAACCCTAAACCCCCACCACACGAAAGGAGCCTCGGCCATGCCTTCTGTGTTCGTCTGGAGCAACCAGAGGTAGCCGGTCCTGGCGTTGGCATTTGGGGGTCGATGGTGGGGTGTAGAGGAGAGATTTGAGAGGATTTAGGGTTTGGGGTTGAAGGGTTAAGGGTTAAGGGTTTAGGGTTCAAGGTTTAGGGTTAAGGGTTAAGGGTTTAGGGTTTAGGGTTCAGGGCTCCTAAGCCCGGCTGAGCAAGCCTGTGTGGTTCAAGGTGCAGGCTTTCAACCCCAGCGCTCTTGGCCGGAGGCTCATGGGCACTCTCTGCGTAGGGCTGCAAGAAGCTATGGCTATAACCTCACTTGGGATTTCCTACTAGCAAGTACCCAAAAACCTCTAAACCCCTAAACCCTAAGCCCCTAAACCCCTAAACCCTAAGCCCCTAAACCCCTAAACCCCTAAACCCCTAAACCCCTAAACCCCTAAACCCCTCAACCCCTCAACCCCTAAACCCCTAAACCCCTAAACCCTAAACCCCTAAACCCCTAAACCAAAAACCCTAAACCTTCAAGTAATCCCCACATGAACCCCAAATCCGAGCTCAAAGGTTGTTGGAGAGTTGCCATGGCCTATCGAGGCTCAGGGCATCTTTCTGAAGCCCTAAACCCTAAAGCCTAAACCCTAAACCCTAAACCCTAAATCCTAAACCCTAAACCCTAAACCCTAAACCGCCTGGCGTCCGGAACCACCGAGATGATCTTGAGGCTGCTGGCCTTCGGGGCGTACAAGGAGGGGGCCCCCCCTTTTTACAAGCAGGGCGATAAGGGTTTAGGGTTTAGGGTTTAGGGTTTAGGGTTTAGGGTTTAGGGTTTAGGGTTTAGGGTTTAGGGTTTAGGGTTAAGGTTTGACCCGAAAAGACCCCTACCAGTGATACCGACCAAATAGAAGGATTCCCCTTTTAATACGGACCCCAATAAGGTACCGCCAATGTCGGAACCCCCAAATTGGGTTACAAGGATCCGAACTTAGGTTATGGGTCCCTGAACTCTAGTTAGTATGGTAGGGGCGGGGCACTCCTTGTAGAGGGTCAGGGGGTGCTTGAAGGTTCGTGGGTACATGGAAGTAGGGGTATATAAGTACCCAAAGTAAGGTTATAACCATAGTTGCTTGCCCTTCTAAGCCCTACTTCCAAAGTGCAAACCCTAGACCCTAAACCCGAAACCCGAAACCCGAGCCCTTAACCCTAAACCCTACTTATAGGTACCTAAATGAAGCTCCAAGTAGCCTCCAGGTTCGGTTCTGCAGGCTGGGGTTAGGGTTTAGCGCTTGGGTGTTCGGCCCCAAGTCTGGGGGGTTAGGGTTTAGGACGTTTTAGGGTTCTCCCAAAAGATTACAGGGTTTAACCTGCATTCCCAAAATCAATGGGTTTTGGGGTTCGGGGTTTAGGGGGGCTGAGGAGCCCCTGTGGCCCCAAGCGCTGCAGCTTGAAGCTAAAACGTTCCTGAACCCTGCACCCTCCGCCCCTCCACCTTGACCCTAAACCCTACACCCTACACCCTAAACCCTCACCGGTAAGCCCTAAACCCTAAACCCTACACCCTAAACCCTAAACCCTGACCACCTCCGACAAGAACTCCGGCGGGCCTTGGCCGTGCCTGTGTGCGAATCGACGACCTCCACGACCTCCCTCGCTGCCTTCCGCCGTCGCAGAGAGATCACCTTCGGTGACGGTTTAGGGTTTGGGGTTGGGGTTTGGGGTTTGGGGCTTGGGGCTTGGGGTTTGGGGTTTGGGGTTTAGGGTTAGGGTTTAGGGTTTAGGGTTTAGGGTTTAGAGGGGTCAGGGGCTGCCTCACTTCAGGGCTGCGAGGCTTCTAGGGCTTTTTGTTGAGGGTCCGGCTCCTCCAGCCACATTTTAAAAAGAGTGTTTTCTTAACTTTATTATATATAGTATTAAATACTTTTTCATCTACATATACGAGGGTATAGGCAAATTTGGAACAAATAGCATCCCTAGGGCCGACGTCTCCCTAGGGTTTAGGCTTTTCACTAGGGTTTAGGGTTTAGGGTTGAGGGTTTAGGGTTTAGGGTTGAGGGTTGAGGGTTTAGGGTTTAGGGTTTAGGGTTTAGGGTTTAGGGTTTAGGGTTGAGGGTTCAGGGACGAGCCGCTGACAAGGCACACCACCAGCACGCAAGCGGGCCAAGCGGAGCTCTTTTCCCGTCAGGTCGTGCTCTTTCGTCTTTACTGCGGCTGGATCCCAAGATGAAGATGATATAGCAAGAAAATAGGGTTTCGGGTTTAGGGTTTAGGGCTTAGGGTTTAGATGGGACATGGGTTCAGGGCGACTCAAAGAAATAGCGGTCTCTTGGGCCGATGCTTCTCTAACACCCGAAGCCCCACTGAGATCGGCGCCATGTCTAAGGGATGCAGCTCGCTGCGGAAAGTCGGGCAGAGGGTAACCACCTGCAGGCCAGTTGAAGTGCTAGAGTTGGGGTTTAGGGTTTAGGGTTAGACTGGAATGAACCAGCTGCATTTTTTGGAGTCTGAAAGAACTTCATCGGCACCAACGCTTGACAAGGAAACCTGAAAAAAGAGGAGCGCAAAAAATCGAAGATCTGGTCCATGGGTCTCTGCTCCTCTTTACTTGCTTTACGCGAGCAATTGTTGGACGTGAAGCTGCACCCTATGTGCGCCTTGACTCTGAATGCACGTCGGCCCTTCCTACTCTTTGGGGGCCTTGACCGAAACCCTAAACCCTAAACCCTAAACCCTAAACCCTAAACCCTAAACCCGAAACCCTAAACCCTAAACCCTAAACCCGCAAACCTCAACCCAAGAGCACGCAAGGCACGGGGGCGCCTGACCCGAGTCGGTGGACGCGAAGACAATCCAACCGCGATCAAGAAAGCCTTGGGTTGCCGTAGGGTTGTTAGGGTTTCCAGAGATTAGGGGCTAGGGATGTTTAGGGTTTTGCAGGCTCTGGGAAGAGCCTAGGGTTTAGGGTAAGAACTCAACACCTACTTTTTTTGAGGGCTCTTCATGTTACACCCTCTTTAGTGTTGGCCCTCCCCCCAGAACAGTCGAAGCTGGTTTTCGCCCTGTTTACACCGCCCACGGATTTTATATGATTCTAAAAAGCAGGGGCTTATGATTTAACAGGGGCAGCGATGCCCGGCAATCGATTTTAAAAGGCGCGCCGCGTGGAACTTTCTTACAGCAACGGACGATTTGACTTAATTCAGGATCCCACCGCCCCCAAACAGTCAGAGTGTCCTGAATGGCCCAGCCAATTTGACTTTATTCAGGGGGCCCCTTCCAAGCTGCTAAACCATGTGCAACAGAAGCTCCATGATCCTACAAGGGCCTTCGGGACTGGGTTTGGGCGAGGGTTTAGGATCTAGGGTTGCGGTTTTAGGGTTTAAGTTTAGAGTTGAGGGTTGCGGCTAGGCATGTAGAGCGCAGGGGTTTTAGGGCTCAGGGATTCAGGAGTTGGGGTAGGAGGGCATTGGGCGCAGGGTGAAAACTAAAGATGGAGTGAAGCTGCTTAAGGTCTTTGAAGGTTGGGAATTTACTAAACCCCCCACCCCTAAACCCTAAACCCTAGCCCTAAACCTTACTTGGCTTAAAGTGCCAACGGCGTTCTTGCCGTCCCACACCCGTCTGCCAGAACCAGGAGTCCCCACAAAGCCAGGTCAAGCTCCGTGCACTTCTACAACACATATAAAGCGTTACGCCACATTATGTACTATATAAACATCATAGTACTCATAATGCTAGATATGCCAGATTGCAATATAGATTATTTAAATATTTACTGCATACTGTATATAATATAATACCTATATATATTTATATGTTACATATTCTACATTACATATTATGGTATGCTACACATTCTATTATATATAAAATTACATGTTAAACTACTCACCAAAACTAACTGTTTTGGGTGAGGGAATCTCAATTCTTAACTGCATAGGAAAACACTCACCACGACTCCCCCCAATAGCCCCCTTAGCAGTAAACCCCAAACCCTGTAAACCCTAAACCTGAAACTGGACCCCTGACTTTTCGGGTTGAAGTTCTTAAACAGTTATGATAGACTTTAAACAAAGGGCTTTGAAACCCCCCCCCACTCCAACCCCCCCCAACCCTAAACCCTAAACCCTAAACCCTAAACCCTAAACCCCGGACAGGGAGCCAGAGCCTTCCGTGGCGCACTGCGCGGACTCCTCGGCCCCGGCGACGTGGATGGCCTCCAGCCTCCCCAAGGTAAGGGTGTTCGGCTTAAGGATTTTGGGGTTTAGGGTTTAGGGTTTAGGGTTTAGGGTTTAGGGTTTAGGGTCTAGGGTTTAGGGTTTAGGGTTTAGGGGGATGAGGGTTGAGGGGCTGAGGTCTGGGGTTGAGGGTGTGCTCGGTTTAGGGGTTAAGGGTTGAGGGTTGAGATTTGGGGTTTAGGGTTTAGGGTTTGCGGTTTAGGGTTTAGGGGATTTGATTAGGGCTTCTGGGCTATCTTCATAGGCTTGGGGTTCAAGGGAGCCCCTCATTACCCTCAACCAGGCAGCGTGGGGCTCTCAAATCACCCCCCCCCCCCCCCCCCCCCCCCCCCCAACCCTCGCACCAAACAACCCACAGAAACACGAAAGGGTTTCGGGTTTAGGGTTTAGGGTTTGGGGCTTGAAGGTAGGGGCCTGTAGGTGTTGGATTCAGGGGAGGAGGGGGGGGGGGGGGACTAACCCTAAACCCTTCAACCCTTAAGCCCTTCAACCCCTCAGCCCCTAAGCCCTAAACCCTAAACCCTAAACCCTAAGCCCTAAACCCTACAGAAGGCCCTCCCAAGCCCCTAGGAATCCCCAGAGGAAGCATGGGTCTGGTTGGGGCTTGCCTCAAGCCTCAAACCCCCCCCAACCCAAACTCTTGAACCCCCAAAACCCCTGCTTGAGAAGTAGGGTTTAGGGGTTTGGGTTAGAAGGTTTAGGGTTACCTACTTAATAAGTAGGGTTTAGGGGTTAGGGTTAGAAGGTTTAGGGTCTAGGGTTTGTACTTTATACGAACTATAAGTAGGACAGCCACTTGGGGGGTACTTTGGGCTAAAGCGCCCTTGCAGGACAGCTAGTAAAACACAAGTCGCCTGTCGATGGTCGAGGGAGTATCGGGCCCTTCAGGTGGGCCCTGATTTTTTTGGGGGTTGCTTGTCAGGCTGCCTATTTTCTATGGGTGTCCGGCAGATTGTCGGAGATGGAAATCCAAGACGGTCCAGTCGAGAGACAAGTTCATCAGAAACGTGCTTGAAAGCTTGCGCGGTGTATGCTGCCAGGGGCTTGGGGTTTAGGGTTTAGGGTTTAAGGTTTAGAGTTTGGGGTTTAGGGTTTGCTCTCGATCCCCGGAGGGTCGTAGATGCTTCTTTTCCTAAACGCCTGAACCCTAAACCACGCAAGGGAGCACCCGATGCGCTCGCCTCTTGAAGGGTAGTGTGTTGCTCAGCCTCCACCTGCGCACCTGCTTTAAGGGCAGGGTTCAGGGTTCAGGGTTCAGGGTTCAGGGTTCAGGGTTCAGGGTTCAGGGTTCAGGGTTCAGGGTTTAGGGTTTCGGGGGGAACTGGGACATAGCATTTCAAGGAGCCAGGGTTTCGTTCGGTGCTTTGAGGGCTTAGGGCTCAGGGTTCGTGTTAGGGCATCTGGGTTTTTGGTTTTGCGTTTGATTTTGCAGGGTAGGGATTCGGATTCTTCAGGGTGCTTCGGTTTTTGCAGGTGCGGGTTGTGTATGGACTGGATCTGTGGAGAGTGCTTTGGGGCTTCGGAATCCGGCATCGTTCTTTCGCCTACAGATCTCTCCTTTCATGCAAAGAGAGAGAGAGAGAGAGAGAAAGCGAGAGAGAACAAAAACAAGAGTTCTCTGATGACAGCCCCATGCTAACGCAACATGCTAAAGCGACCGAGCCGCGTGACGGTGGCTTCGAAGGGAGTACTCTTCCAAAGCCGTGCCCTCTTGGTTCCTCGGTGGTTCCGTGTCAAGGGATGCAAACTTGAACCCCCTAAGGCTGTACCCCTCTTACAGGGCTTCCTGAATATAAGTGCTACTTGAAGGTTCACGGTAGGGTTGTAAGTACCCTAAATAAAGTTATAACCATAGTTACCCTCCTTCTAAATATCCATGAACCTCCACTGAATGTGACCCCGATATTCCCTGTCAATGTCCTGCAAAGTTCCACCCCATTCCACCCCCAACTCCCCAAGGCCAACGCAAGGAACCGTCGAGGGGGAAGTAGGGATCGGGTACGGATTGGGCAGGAGGGATCTGATGGCCCTAAACTCCAAACCCTAAACCCTAAACCCCTGTTACTCCTGGAGAAGGCTCAGGAGGAGCAGCTTGCGCTTCTCCGGTAGGAAGCCGAAGCTGGACCAGGACATCTCCCTTGGTCTGGCTGTTGGGTTGAGGGTGTAGGCTGTAGGATTTAGGGTTTAGGGTTTAGGGTTTAGGGTTTCGGGTTTCGGGTTTAGGGTTGGGCCCTAGGGGTCTGAGGTTTAGGGCTGCGGGCTGAGGGGCACTCACCCATGAGGCGCATTTAGTTGACGGGAGCTCACCCCCCAAGAAAAAACGGCTCCTTAACTCCAATCTCAGGGCCTTCTCTCGCGCAAGATCCAGTTTAGGGTTCTGCATTCTAGATTTCTGTCTATACCCTTCAAAGGGTACCAAAGTCCCCCTTCCCTAGCATGATCACGTGCTCTGGGGCGACTGGGAGAAGGAAGCCTATAAAGGCCCAAGAGTAAGCTAGACATCAACAGGCCCTTTTTGGTTTCAAAGGGGCTTGTTCCGGAACCCTATGCCCGAACAAAAGCGGGGATAAGTGCCCTACTCTGGGTCCCAGTATATACACCCACCAGCAACGACAAGAAAGACGTGATCTGAGATGCCCAGAATGTCACCACCTCATGGAGCTCACCGGAAGTGCACTTTATTTGTGGCCATCGTGGCGGAGTAGTTGTCACCCCCCCCCCCCGGGTAGATGTCGCGGTTGAGCGGTGGCAAGCACGACACAAAATGGCAAAATGGACCCACAACCCACAAGTTAGCCCATAAACGACTAGGTCAGAAGTCGAATCCACTAAGGTCCTAATGTAGCACCACCCCCCGTAAACCCTTAACTTAACCCTAAACCCGAAACCGCGTGCCGTCCGGCGTCAAAGCAGAAGTCGACATCTCAGCCTCCCAGGGCTTCAGGGCTTCGGGCGAACGGACTAAAGTTACATGAGGGCTTCCTAGAATAGGGTTTAGGGTTTAGGGGTGATGTAGGGTTTGGAATTAGGGTTAGACCCTAAACACTACAATGGGGACAGTACTTGTTTATTCAGTTAGGACTCTCTTTTTGGGGCGGGGGTAATTCCTCTAATCATTATAGTACGTTAGGGGCACAAAAACATAGGCAAGGCCCCTATAGGGTCCAGAGTTTTGAAGGGGGGCTAGACTTTCGCAGACTTCACAACGTTCTGAGTTAAGGTTTCGGCTTCAGGCCTAAGGAGTTTAAGTTTAAAGGCTGCAGTTTTACCAAGGGATTGGTAGCCTGAAAAAATTAACGGGAGAAATCCACCTCCCTGTCGTAGTCAAGGATTCGCTTAGCAACTGGGACATGAGGACATGAGGCCAAAGTTAGAGGAACAGAGAAACCGAGAGTATTTCGCTGGGTAGGCTTTCGGGTGGTTTGATTTCATGCGTCATTAGGCATGGTCTGCCGGGGGCGGGGAAACCAAACAATTTAGATGTGCGAAAACAAAAACATGACCCTGAGGCACTGCGCACCCGCGACTCGCCCTAACCCGTGACCAACCCCATCCCCACACTAAGTCCCTGACATTCAGCATGTCCGCTCTTATACTAATAACGGAATTTATTGCGGGGGCCTGTGGAGGGGGGGCGAGAGGGCCTTGGCACATGTTAGGCTGAACTCAAGCCCCCAGACATTTAATCCAAACCCCAAACTAAGCCCCAACCCCCAAACCCTGAACCCTAACCCCACACCCCAACCCAACAACCCCAAAATCCAAACCCTAAACTCCGAACCCTAAGCCTCAAACCCTAAACCGTAAACCCCAAACTCTAACCCTAAACCCCAAACCCTAAACCCAAACCCTAAACCCCAAACCCCAAACCCCAAGCCCTAAATGAGAGCTTGGACCGGCCTTGAGGGTGACCGTCTTCAGCGGCGCGGGCGCCTCGGCCTGTGTCTCGCCCACTATGCTCTGAGAGCTCTCCTCCTGCAGTGTTCAGGGTTTAGGGTTTAGGGTTTGGGGTTTGGGGTTTGGGGTTTAGGGTTTAGGGTTTAGGGTTTAGGGTTTAGGGTTTAGGGCTGACGGTTTAGGATTGGCGTGTGCCGGCGATTCGCCAGGCCCCTTTACACGACTATGTAATTGGAATCGCTCCACCCTCCCAAAAATCCCTTTCCATTTGAAGCAAAATCTCCATTTTCTTACATGACTCGCCACTACGTGCGTGCTTCCAGAAACTTCCTGCTTCAGAAAGACTTGATTGGGGTGTTTGTGAAAGGGATACCCAGAATTTGGCAAAGGGTCAGGTCAAGGTACCAAAGCGAAGGCACTAGGATGGTTTGGGGTCTCGGGATGGGGTTTCAGGGGATCCAGAAGAAGGTTTCAGGAGCCCGTTTAGGGTTTAGGGTTGAGGGTTTAGGGTTTAGGGGTTTAGGGGTTGAGGGTTGAGGGTTTCGGGCTTAGGGTTTGAGGTTCATGCGGGGTAGGTCCGCCGACCCTGGTGGCGTGTTGGATGGGTTTGCGGAGGTGAAACCTCCCTTTCTCCCTCCAGTTGCATAGGGCAAGAGGCGAGGCTTTTAATCTAATTAACTTGACCCGGGGCGCTTTAACCTGAAACCACACAAAACCTTTAAGATTTTGGGTTTAGATTCTGAACCTTAAAGTGTAGTTAAAGCCTCAACCCTCGACCCTCAACCCCCATCACCGCCTCCTAAAAACAACCTAGCGCCCCAAACGCTGATGTCGGAAACCCTCACCATTACGACCTTGTCGGTAGAATGACTATCATATACAAGGGCTTTTGATGTGCAGGTGTAAACCACAGCCCGAAAAAAAACTCCAACGTCGTAGTTCCTTGAAAACCCTACACGGAATAAGCCCTAAACACTTTCAGCATACGAGCCTTGCGCTGGCCGAGAACCTCGAGGTCGGCGGTGTAGATGACGAACCTAATGGCCACATGCATGGTTTAGGTTTCAGAATTTAGGGTTTAGGGTTGGGCTTAGGTCTTCGGAAACTTGTCCCAAGAAAGCCGGAATCAGTCATGGGATTGGAGGGCGCCTACAACCTACACAGGCCCTTTATATCGTGAGCAACGTGCTGTTCCACACACCAGTAGAAAAAAGTGAGGGCAAACAAGCCCCATGCGCCAGCCCTTAACCCTAAACCCTCTCAACCAGATGTCTCCAAACAACTCACTACCCTGCACAACTCTCAAACCTGCAAGCCTCAAAGCCTGAAACCCTAGACCTCAGAGCCCTCACCTTCTTTGGGGCACTTCATAGCCCTACTTACAAGTACCCATGAACCTTCAAGTGGACCCCATCAACCCGAGCAGCTGGTCGCCCAGCATCAGCTGCCGGCCGTCGGCGCTACAGGAAAGAGCCGAGGGTCGGAAGTGCTCGTGGGGCCAATCCTTGAGGATCTGCGGCTTGGGGTTGTTTTTAAGAAGCTTCGAGGTTTGGAGTTCAGGGTTTTAGGGTTCAGGGTTTAGGGTTTTAGGGTTTAGGGGGGCTCAGCGGTCTAGGGGGTTCCCAAAGTGTTGGGCACATTCCCTGATCCGAGGCCCAGAAGCCCTCACTGCAAACCCTGGGCACTTCCCCTACACCCTGGCGATCTGAGGATGGAGTCTTAGGGTCGGTGCAAATTTCCATTAGGTATGGGGGCCTTAAAAAGGGGACCCCTTCTATACCCCTGGCCCATACTTCACTCTACAGGAGGTCAGGGCACCCAAAATCAGGGACCATGCAAGCTACAGGCCCTTTGGTTATCGGCACTGTGTCTTCGAAGAGCGGCCCAGCGGCCAGAACTACGGGAATGGAAAGCAAGCAGCACTTGGAGGTTCGTTCGGTGCTTAGAAGTAGCGTTGTAAGTATCCTAAATAAGGCTGCAACCATAGATACCCTAACTTTACCCTTCTTATAACCCTACTTGTATAAGTACCAAAAACTAAACCTCCAAGCAAACCCCAAACTACTAAACCCAACAACTTCCCTAAGCCGGCCAGCTGGGTTTCTGATGGCACCATTTAGGGGCGGCCTTGTGGAGAACGCGCTTGTTTAGACCAAACCCGAAGGACAAAAAAACAACAAACAAAAACAACAGCCCCCAGATGCCCAGCGCCTCCCCTGTGGGGTTCATGAAACGGGTCCCTATGGAGTCCCATAAACAACCCTGAACCCTACTTGAAGATTCATGGGTACTTATATAACCTCATCCCGAATCTTCTGCAAGGCCAGCATCCGTCTGCACACGATGCAGCGCTGTGCGGTCGAACATCTCCCGGGGAGCCAGGCTGGAGTCGTAGTACCTGGGTTTCGGTGGGGAGGAAGGGGAGGTTCAGGGTTTATAGGGTTTAGGGTTTAGGGTTTGGGGTTTAGGGTTTAGGGTTTGGGGTGTCCGTAGTAGGGATTCATACTAGGGGGGTACTACAATCCCTTCTAAGGAGCTGTTCCTGTAAGGTGTAAGGGGGAACATGCCCCATTTAGGGTTGTAGAGCTTTGCTTGTCGCAAGGTTCCTAACGGAGAGGAACCTCGAAGGGACTGTACAGTCACCAGCCCCCATCTGCCTAGGTTTCGGGTTTAGGGTTTAGGGTTTAATTCCCAAAGGATCCATGTACCTATATAGTATATACTTGGGCCTTAAAGGGGTTCCTATATAGTAGCTTTAGGGCCCAAGAATATACTATATAGGTACATGGATCCTTTGGGATTAGGGTTTATTTAGGGCCTAGATCACCTAAGAAGTGGCCTTTGAATTCTACTCCCCAAAGACCCCTGACAAAGCAAGATTTTAGGACCTTGACCGTATTTTAAAAAAATAGAGCATAATTGCTACGTAGACTATCGACTACTTGCTTAAGGACCTCCAAAGAACAAGTAAGAATCCTTATAAAGAAGACTATTTTGGGGGGGAGGCGGGTTCTTAAGCAAATCTGGGTATGCTGGTGGCCTGTTTATCTCCCAGCAATGCAGATTGGCGGCAATTCGGTCACCGACTCCTATGCCCCCCAGCAAGGCCCCGAATCCCCCTAAACCCTAAACCCTGAACCCTAAATCCTAAACCCTAAACCCTAAACCCTAAACCCTAAACCCCCCCAAACCCTAGCAGTGAAGCCCAGATGCTTGGGAGAGAACAGAATCAGGAGGATGGTGAGAACCCAGGCGGCCAGCTGCGAAATGCCTGCCAGCTGGAGGCACCTCATCTTCGTGAGGGGGCCGTCTTGGGGCTTGGGGCTTGGGGTTAAGGGTTCAGGGTTCAGGGTTTAGAGGTTAGGGGTTTGGGGGTTTATGGGGTTTATAAGGTTGAGGGTTTAGGGTGTAGGGGGTTTAGGGTTTAGGGTTCAGGGTGCAGGCGGTTTAGGGTTTAGGGTGTTGGGTGCGGGGGTCTAGGCTGTAAGGGGACGCATTTAGGGAAAGCTTCAGCTCTGTTTCCCAACATACGCCAAGGGATTGCTTCCAAAGTCTCGTGCATCCGCTCGAGATCCCAACCGAGGAATGCCAGCAGGCTGTATACAGGCCTAACAACCAAGCCGTGCACACCTTAAAGGAAGGCCTTTGCCCCCAAAACCTGGACAATGTGTACTTGCAGCCTGCGTGGAGGGTAGAGATTTATAGGGTTTAGGGTTTAGGGTTTAGGGTTTAGGTTTAGGGCTTAGGGCTTAGGGTTTAATTAGGGTTTAGGGTTGTAAGCTCTGAAGCTGAAATTCCAGGCGCTTCCAGGGCATGCGGCTGCTGCTGCTCTCGAGGTCTGGGTTCTCAGGCATGAGCCTGGTAGGTGATTTAAACCCTAAACCCCTAAACCCTAAACCCTAAACCCTAAACCCTAAACCCTGGTAGGTGATTTCACAGGGGGCTTTGGGACTTAAGGGGATTCCAGAGGGTTTTTGGTTTATCGGGTGTTTGGGGTTCATGGGGTGTTGGGGGGTTGAGAGGCTCTTGGGGGCTTTGGGGGTTTTAAGGATTTTGGGGCTAAGGGCCCATGTGAGGGCCTGATTATAGGGCGTGTTGTTTAGGGTTTGGCTGTGGGTTCTCTGACTTGGGACGGCAGTTTAAGTTGCTACGCGGCATGTGGTGCAAAACATGGGGCGCAACCACCCTAAACCCTAAACCCTAAACCCTAACCCTAAACCCTAAACCCTAAACCCACCCGCCACTCCAACCAGCGCTTGAGGCGCTCACATGGGGAACACTGGCTTGAAGACTGGGGGTGTGGCCATGCACTGTTGGGGAGCCTACTACAATCCACCCAAAACCCCCAACTCCAAAACTCTAAACAAACACCCTAAACCCTAAACCCCAAACCCTAATCCCTAATCCCTAAACCCTAAACCCTAAACCCTGAACCCTGAACCCTAACAGGGAAACCCCAAACCGACAATAAAGCCAAAGAAGATAAGAACTCACCAGCCCGCGCGGCTCGAAGGGCAAGGACTCCTCAGCGAGCGTGGAGACCTGCGCGGCCGGGGTTTAGGGTTTAGGGTTTAGGGTTTAGGGTTTAGGGTTTAGGGTTTAGGGTTTAGGGTTTAGGGTTTAGGGTTTAGGCCCGGCTGGGTAGTGCGGCATGGGGCCAAGTGATCCAGGAACTTCGGGTTTTGGGGTAGGCGAAAGTGTGTAGGTTTGTCTAAGGTGTACTTTGGGATTTGTGGGCTGAGGGGTTTAGAGTTTCGGATTTAAGGTGTTAGGGGGTCAGGCCTTCGCGTTTTGAAGGGTCCATGTTCTGTGTGTGCCGTTCTCTGACTGACGATGCTTTTTGGAAACCCCGAGTGCCAGAACATGAAAGGCAGACCGTGGACTTCATCCGCCGACTCCCAGCGAGGGCACCAAAACGAAGGAGCCACCAAAACGAGAGGGCCGGGCATGTTGAGACCCCGACGTAGGGCGCCCAATGGGTTACTTTAAGGCTTATGAGCACTTATATAAGTAGGGTAGCAAGTACCCCGAGCAAGGTTGCAAATTGCAACCACAGCAACCCTGCGTTGAACCCTTTTGCGAGCCCATGAGCCTCCAAGGAGGGCTTGGGCTTTAGGGTTTAGGGCCCTCATGAGCAGGTTCAACCCAAACAAAAACCCAAACCCTCAACCCAAGACCCCCCCCCACCCCCCCAAAAAAAAACACGCAAAAGACAGAAGAAACTCGTAAAAGCCAAATGCAAACTGAAAACTACCAACGCCCTCGAACGGCTCAAACACCACCAAAGCCCTTAAACACAAAAAAACGAATCCAAAATGCCTCAAACAAAAACTAAACCCGCAGGCCTCAAGTCGATAAATTTAAGAAAGCCAAATCCTTAATTTCTTAGGCTGGCGCCTGGTTTCCAGCTTCAAACCACCAGCATCTGAGGTCAATGCCTTTACCAGCTTGCTACAGAATGGCTCCCCCCCCCATCAGAAAAGGGTCCAAACAACTGAAACCCTCAAACTGAGTCCCGAGAAAACAACTTCAAAAACCACATGCTCGGCCTGGAAGCGGTCGCGGTCGTAGCCGAGACGGATCTGAAGTGAAGGCTTAGCGGGGTTGACGGTTTTTTGGGCTTAGGGGATCTGGAAGGGAACCTTATTAGGTTTAGGGTTTCGGGTTTGGGGGCCCTTGATCCTGCCATCCCCTGCAAAGGTCCCTCTTTCATCCTGTCAACTCTCTTATAGGTGCGGAAGTGGGGCGAGGGGAGGGTTCTCTGGCAACGGCTGTAAATGGGTCTAGGGCTTTTCGGGGCTTTTAAGGGGGTGGGGGGGTTTAGGGCTTTGGGTCTGGGGGAATATGACAGAACAAGCACCTCTAGATTCAGATTCTAGGCCTTTTGGGGTCGGGTCGTGGGGGCGCGGGTGGGTGGGGGGGGGGGGGGGGAGAGACGCTTATTTTGAGAACAGGAACAAAGAGTTTCAAGCAACAAAAATCAGGAAACAACGGTGTTTACGTGTCTCGTTTGCCCCACAAGATGGGAAACGTGTGATCTGCTAGGGGTCCCCCTATATAATTATCCCCTGAAGAAGGAAGGCTTCAGGGTTCGGGCGTTCTATACTTTTACTCTTTTTGTGTGTGTGTGTGTGTGTTTTTTTTTTTGGAGGGGGGGGGGGGGGGGGGGGGGGGGTGGGGGGGGGGGTGGGGGGGGTGGGGGGGGGGTGGGGGGGGGGGGGGGGGGGGGGGGTGTGGTGGGGGGAGGGGGGGGGAGGGGGAGCGGGGAGGGGGCCGGGGTTGGGGGGCGGGGGGGGGGGGGGGGGGGGGGGAGGGGGTAGGGGAGGCGGGGTCAGCAGGCTTTCGGGAGGTTTGAGGGCCATGCCTCGGCCTATCCCGGAACTTTTGATATTGTTAGATGGTTTTTTTTTAAATCGTTGACAATTTCCGGGGTCCGTGCGGGGGGGAGTGGAGTGTGGCGAAGCGGGGGGGGGGTCTGAAAAATCATGTTTCAAGCTTGGGGTGTTGGGTGGTTTTGGGGAGTTTTAACGGGGGCTGAGGTGCCCTTGGGCGTGCAGGGCGTGGGCTGTGTTCCGAAGACCCCGACAATGAGATTCGGATGAGCCAACGCCTTGGGATGTGTCCCCCGAAAACTAACAGTGTTTGATAGGGATTGTAGTACCCTCTATAATCCCTATTAAGGAACTGTTAGTACAAGGGGGAACATCCCAACAAACGCCCCTCACTCCGCCTGCAGCTCCTCTAGGGACGTGCTCAGCCGCTTCATATCAATAATCTGCCCGACCTTCCATGAGGGGTTTGGAGGATCTCGGCTTAGGAGGCTTCTAGCGATGTACTCCGAGTCCTGACCCGAAGTGTAGGGTTTAGGGTTTAGGGTTGAGGGTTTAGGGTTTAGGCTTAGGAGTCTTCTAGCGATGTACTCCGAGTCCTGACCCGGGGTTTAGGGTTTGGGGTTGAAGGTCTAGGGTTTAGGGTTTAGGATTTGGGGTTTAATCCCTAAACCCCTTAACCCCATCCCTAAAGGATGGAGATGAAGGCTTATAAGGCTTAGCAGAGCCGCTTTGGAAATGGAATGCTGAATCCATGAGCAGGTACATAAACGAATAGCTACTGAACAAAGCATCAAACTAAACAAACAAACGAACGAACAAACGAGTGTGTACACATACATACATACATACATACATACATACATACATACATACATACATACATACATACATACATACATACATACATACATACATACATACATACATACATACATACATACATACATACATACATACATACATACATACATATGTGTGTGTGTCACTTTGCATCTATGCAATCCCCCTGCCACAATGGGTATCTCCCAATAGGTGCGGGGTTGGGGGGGGGGGGGGGGGGGAGCCATTTTGGGTTCTGGGAGCTACACTACGGTCGAAACTCCAGGTTGTGGTGCGGAATTAGTTCTGGATTGCTTGCCCACCCATTTTTTGTACATGCGCCGAGAACAAACTTACCACAACTCTGCATGACCAAACCAGTATGAAACCTGCCGAATCATCCCAGACAGACACGCACACACACACACACACACACACACAGAAACAATAAAAGAAACAGCACACTTCCGGGGGACCGCGCTGGATCAGGATGCAACATGAGGGCTTTGCTGCCCTAAACCCTAAACCCTAAACCCTTATAGGTGTTAACCATCAGTGCCTCGGGCATCTCCCAGCTGACCTGGCCCGCCCTGCAGTTCACCCAGTAGATCTCCTCGCCTTGGGCTTACAGCACTGGGTTCCCCAGTAACCTAGGAGAAAAAAGGGCACCCTTTTTGGTTTATAGGGGTTTATATGGGATAAGAGCCCAATAAAAAGGGAATAAGGGTACTACTGGGCATCCTAGAGCAAACTCCAAAGTAGAGGGTCGAGGGTTTAGGGTTTAGGGTTGGGACATCCTTGTCGCCATGCCCCAAGTGTTCATACCCACCCTGTTCCAACTTTCTGGAGTTTGCTGTATGGTGGGCCTGCAGCCCAGCAACCATGCTCTAGTCGGTTACCGTATCAGGGAACCTTGAGCCAAGAACGAGGGCAATAGGGTACGGGCCACCAAGAGTACGATTGACAATACATGCACGGCCTAGGATGTCAGGTCCCATACTCCCCTTAGAACCTTAACCAAAACACCATGTTTAACATGCTCTTGGGTTTTGTATAAACAAGAAATGAAAAAAATGATTCCCAAGGGGGATATCGAGGTCTTGTGTTGCAGGTTAACGGGCCTGCAGGGCTTTAGGGCTTTCTGGCGGTTTAGGGCTTCGGGCTTGCCCTGCCTTCCTTTGGGGGGGGGGGTTAGGATTTAGGGTTTAGGGCTAGGGTTTAGGGTTTAGGGTTTGGGGTTTGGGGCTTGGGGTTTAGGGCTTGGGGTTTGAGGTTTGGGGTCTAAGGTTTAGGGTTTAGGGTTTTTGTGCTCAGGGTCCCAAACCTCAAGCCCCATGAGTCGACAATGACGCCGAGGTGCTGGTTCCGTCCAGGAAGGTGGACTGGAGCCATGCGGGGGCCCGCTGATCCCACTCCTTGGAAAGGCTTGGGGTTTAGGATTTAGGGTTTAGGGTTTAGGGGCTAGGCTTTAGGATTTAGGGTTTAGGGGGGTTTGGGGTTAAGGGTTAAGGGTTTAGGGTTTAGGTTTTAGGGTTTAGGGTGTAGGGTGTAGCGGTTAGGGTTTGGGGTTTGGGGTTTGGGGTTTGGGGTTTGGGGTTTGGGGTTTGGGGTTTGGGGTTTGGGGTTTGGGGTTTAGGGTTAAGGGCTCCAGGTTCAGGATTTGGAGCCCTAAACACCCCCGAAAGACCAAACCCTAGCCGCCCCAAAACCCCAAAACCTACACACCCGGAACCCAAAACGCCCCAAACCCTAAACCCTAAACCCCAAACCCTAAACCCTAAACCCTAAACCCTAAACCCTAAACCCCAGGAACAGCCCAAAAGCTCGAGAAAAACCGAGCTCGGAGCTCTTCGGATGCCTCCAAGGCTCCGGGGCGCGCCCGGGAGGGAGGCACATCCTGGGCTTCGAAAAACCCTTCGTGTAAGGCACCCGGTTAGGGTTTAGGGTTTAGGGTTTAGGGCTTGTCGACCTAACATGCGTAGTAGGTGGAAAGAGAGACGGACGTCCGAAACCTTCAGTGCAAAAGAGTTCCGTCATGCCTATGGAGCTCTACTATATCCCACCCCAGGATGCCACCCAGAGCAATTGTAAGAAGCTTGAGTGCTTAAGCGTATCCTTAATACTATTGTATTAGTAATGACAATACTGTCTGGAAATATGAAGAATATTTGTACACAGATAATGCACTTACACGGTAAATGGCTGTAATTATGTTCCATAATTACCATTTACCTCTAGGCAAGACTAGAAAGTCGGCTGTTCACTTGCCGTTACGTTCCGGCAATTTTCGAAGTTCCCTGGACGGCTGAGAAGTCTTACTTACCCCCTCCTGGGGTACTCCTAACAAGATTTAAAACGAAATGGGAATCGAGCCATTTTTCCCGAAGCCTGGTGTACCCCCCACGGAGCCTCCCTGGGACCTTCGAAAGAGCTTGCAGCCTCTTCAGACCTTCGAAAGAGCTTATTCAAAGAGGCCACACACAGAGAAACGCGCTGTTTTGGAGTAATTTTTGGCCCCAAGCACGATTTAGCAAGGCCAGACAAAGAAAAACGCGCTGTTCCCGAGTAATTTTTGGCTCCAAGCCTTTGGCTGGCCACGAGCGCTCGAAGGTCCATTTTCCTAAGTCGCTGTGGGGGCTTCAGGGACACAGAGAAACGCGCTGTTTTGGAGTAGTTTTTGGCCTCAAGCACGATTTTGCAAGGCCAGACAAAGGAAAACGCGCTGTTCCCGAGTAATTTTTGGCTCCAAGCCTTTGGCTGGCCACGAGCACTCGAGGGTCCATTTTCCTAAGTCGCTTTGGGGGCTTCAGGGGGCTTAGCCTCTCCTGGGCTACCCCACACGAAGGCAAAAAATCTAGAAAATGCAGGGGGTCATTTCTGCTATATAAATTCTATTTAAAACGAATTGGGAATCGAGCCATTTTTCCCGAATCCTGGCGTACCCCCCACGGAGCCTCCTTGGGACCTTCGCAAGAGCTTGCAGCCTCTTCAGACCTTCGAAAGAGCTTATTCACAGAGGTCACACACAAAGAAACGCGCTGTTTTGGAGTAAATTTTGACCCCAAACACGATTTAGCAAGGCCAGACAAAGGAAAACGCGCTGTTCCCGAGTAATTTTTGGCTCCAGGCCTTTGGCTGGCCACGAGCACTCGAGGGTGCTTTGGGGGCTTTAGGGGGCTTACCCTCTCCTGGGCCACCCCACACGAAGGCAACAAATCTAGAAAATGCAGGGGGTCATTTCTGCTATATAAATTCTATTTAAAACGAATTGGGAATCGAGCCATTTTTCCCGAATCCTGGGGTACCCCCCACGGAGCCTCCCTGGGACCTTCGAAAGAGCTTGCAGCCTCTTCAGACCTTCGAAAGAGCTTATTCAAAGAGGCCACACACAGAGAAACGCGCTGTTTTGGAGTAATTTTTGGCCCCAAGCACGACTTAGCAAGGCCAGACAAAGAAAAACGCGCTGTTCCCGAGTAATTTTTGGCTCCAAGCCTTTGGCTGGCCACGAGCACTCGAGGGTCCATTTTCCTAAGTCGCTGTGGGGGCTTCAGGGACACAGAGAAACGCGCTGTTTTGGAGTAATTTTTGGCCTCAAGCACGCTTTTGCAAGGCCAGACAAAGGAAAACGCGCTGTTCCCGAGTAATTTTTGGCTCCAAGCCTTTGGCTGGCCACGAGCACTCGAGGGTCCATTTTCCTAAGTCGCTTTGGGGGCTTCAAGGGGCTTACCCTCTCCTGGGCTACCCCGCACGAAGGCAACAAATCTAGAAAATGCAGGGGGTCATTTCTGCTATATAAATTCTATTTAAAACGAATTGGGAATCGAGCCATTTTTACCGAATCCTGGGGTACCCCCCACGGAGCCTCCTTGGGACCTTCGCAAGAGCTTGCAGCCTCTTCAGACCTTCGAAAGAGCTTATTCACAGAGGTCACACACAAAGAAACGCGCTGTTTTGGAGTAAATTTTGGCCCCGAACACGATTTAGCAAGGCCAGACAAAGAAAAACGCGCTGTTCCCGAGTAGTTTTTGGCTCCAGGCCTTTGGCTGGCCACGAGCACTCGAGGGTCCATTTTCCTAAGTCGCTTTGGGGGCTTTAGGGGGCTTACCCTCTCCTGGGCCACCCCACACGAAGGCAACAAATCTAGAAAATGCAGGGGGTCATTTCTGCTATATAAATTCTATTTAAAACGAATTGGGAATCGAGCCATTTTTCCCAAATCCTGGGGTACCCCCCACGGAGCCTCCCTGGGACCTTCGAAAGAGCTTGCAGCCTCTTCAGACCTTCGAAAGAGCTTATTCAGAGAGGCCACACACACAAAGAAACGCGCTGTTTTGGAGTAATTTTTGGCCCCAAGCACGATTTAACAAGGCCAGACAAAGAAAAACGCGCTGTTCCCGAGTAATTTTTGGCTCCAGGCCTTTGGCTGGCCACGAGCACTCGAGGGTCCATTTGTGGGAGCGACGTTAGGAGGCTGCCTGTAGGGTTCAAATTATTACTGTAATAGTACTGACAGTACTGTCTTGTTGAAATATTAAAGAATATTTGTATACAGACAATGCACTTACACAGTAAATGGCTGTAATTATGTTCCATAATTACCATTTACCTCTAGGTAAGACTAGTAAGTCGGTTGTTCACTTCCCGTACGGGTGTCATACGCTCCTGTACGTGAGAAGGCATAAGCTGGCACACAGGCTTATGCTTTTGAGTTTAGGGTTCAGGGTTCAGGGTTTAGGAGTTAGGGCTTAGAATTTAGGGCTTAGGGACCCTGAAGCCTCAAACCCATGGACCCCTTGAACCCTTAGGCCCGCAAGCCCTGAAACTCTGAACCCGTTTTGGGTTTAGGGTTTATGGACTGCTAAGCTGGGGGGGGGGGGGGGGGGCCGGGGCAGCACCCTCTCTTATACTGTGGTGCTGTGGGTCCCCTTTGACCCAGCTATGTCTGGCTATTCAGGGTTTTTGAGGGGCATGAACCTCTATATGTCTACGTGGTCGGCTCTCTGAATTGGACACTCGATCGAAGTATCATACGGCCCCTTCTAGGGTACCTCAGTGGGAAGAGACGTCGTCGTGACCGTGTGCAAGTGTAGGCTTCACTTGTGAAAGAACGCTGAAACCCTAAACCTTGCCTCTGGATGAGGAGGAAGAAGTGCACTTACCTAACCCACCCCTCCCAAAAAAACAAGAAGACCGAGGGGTTTAGGGTTTAGGGTTTAGGGTTTAGGGCTTAGGGTTTAGGGTTTCGGGTTTAGGGTTTAGGGTTTAGGGTTCTTTGGGTTTCGGGGTCCCCTAAGCCGAGCATCTGGTTCTCCAGCTCCTGGAGGCGGTCCTGGAGAGACGTTTAAGGCGTGGAGGGTTTGAGGCGACCCTGTCCCGAAGATGGTATACTATTCCTGCTGGCTCAGGTTCAAAGTGCCATAGTTTGCGGCAAGACATGTCTGAGCTTGGACTTGATCTGAAAATGTTCCCGAATAAGGTCCTCGAAAACCCTGGACAGAAGTGAAGCATCCCACAGGCGTACCGGGTTTAGGGTTTAGGGTTTAGGGTTTATGGTTTAGGGTTGTTTATATGGCAACCGAAGCCACTTTCCTGGGAAGATCCCTGTCGTCGCGCCTCCATCGTGAGCTCCAGCTGCTTGAGGTCGTCGCCTCAGTTCGGGTTCGGGTTTAGGGCCTAGGGTTTTGGGTTCAGGGTTGAGGGTTTAGGGTTTAGGATCCTAACGCCCCCCCCCTGTACCCTTAAACTCCCGACCCTTTGGAGGGGCTTAGGGGTTTCAGGGCTTAGGATTTATAGAGTTTAGGGTTGATAAGAGAATGAGGGACCCGACGCCCTAAACTGCCTTTGGGGGGGCTTAAGGGTCTCAGGGTTTAGGGCTTAGAGAGTTTAGGGTTGACAAGGGGGTGAGGGACCCGAAGCCCTAAACCCTAAACCCTAAACCCTAAACTGCCCTTGCAGGCCGGGCGCTCTCTTCCTTGGACATCTCAGACGCCACTTCGGAGCGCAGGAGCTGCCTCAGGATGTTGGAGAGGCGCTTGGCCTCCTGGCGAGAGGGGATGTTTAGGGTTTAGGGTTTAGGGTTTGGGGTTTAGGGTTTAGGGTTTAGGGTTAGGGTTAAGGGTTTAGGGTTTAGGGTTTAGGGTTTAGGGTTTAGGGTTTAGGGTTTAGGGTTTAGGGTTTAGGGTTTAGGGTTTAGGGTTTAGGGGTTAGGGTTTTAGGCGGCTGCTGAGGGCTGGGTTGAGAAGCGTTCAACGGGGTTTAGCGGGATTTCCTTGGAGGCTCATGGTGACTTACAAGTACAAGTTGGGGTTCCAAGTAGGGTAACTGTGGCTAGACCTTCTTAAGTGCACCACAACCCCTACTACTTCCTGCAAGTAGCCCTAAACCCTAAACCCTAAACCCTAAACCCTAAACCCTAAACCCTAAACCCTAAACCCTAAACCCTAAACCCTAAACCCTAAACCCTAAACCCTAAACCCTAAACCCTGTAGGCTGGATAATTGAGCTTTAGAAGAGCTTGAAGAGGACTTCCCCTCCCCCAGTCCTGGTGTGCAGTGATGAGGCACTTGCGGTCCGGACGCCGCTTGATGGACTCATACAGCCTTAAGTTTAGGGTTTAGGGTTTAGGGTTTAGGGTTTAGGGTTTAGGGTTTAGGGTTTAGGGTTTAGGGTTTAGGAGCCCAGTAACCATATTGTCATAGAGGGTACCCTTTTTGGGGTTTCTTACTTCTTATGAGGGAACCCTGTAAACCCTAAACCCTAAAAAGCAAAAGGGCTCAAAAGGGGCACCCCTGGGCGACCAGGCGGCACGCCCTCGGGGTTCTCCCACTTGTGGGCGGCGGCCACGGAGTTGCGCACGGCCGCGGCGCTGAAGTGCCTGTTGTGCCAGCCGAAGATGTCCAGGTAGATGGTGGGCCGGAAGTTCAAAGGGAGGCCGGAGCCTTCTATGAGCCTGGGCTATGGGGGGGGGGGGGGGAGGTATAAGAAACTTGATGAGTCATGATAGGGTTATGTATATTTTACAATAGTATAATGTGCTAACCTACACCATATTATAAAAAGCGAAATAAGGCCCACAGAGCCTAACAACCTCCTCAAAATCACCCTAGGAGCGGCGAGGCCACAAGAAGGACCACCAAGATGAAGAGCATGTGGCCCACGCAGGACAAGAGCGCTAGGGACCAGGGGAGCCAAGCAGGGATCACCTGGTCGCACGGCTTCACGCCGCCCTTGCCTCGGCTGGCCCTTCCGAAAGCCTTCTGAAAGAAGAGATTTCCTAAAACAGGCTCCCTCTTCAACCCCCCGAGCAGGGAAGAAGGTGCAAGAATGTCCCACTAGCACCTACCCTACCTCGTTGACCTGTTAAACCCAATATATGAGGAAAAAATGATGAAAACATATCCCAATGGGGCCTCCCTAGTTGCCATGGTTGGTGCGTGCTGCGGCCAGGTGGATCGCAATGCCTGCAAAGAGAGGCGGGAGGAGCAGGGCAAGACGCACCAGACGCCGCTCCCTGGCGCCACAAAACCTATACTGATCTTGGAACCCTAGCAAAAATGCTAAACAAAAGTAGCTGCTTCTGAGGGATTATAGTCTCCAAAAACTAAATCATTCTTCCCAAAATCCCAAAGAAACAGGTCCAGCCGGAAGAGCGTGGCAGAGGAGACGGAGCCCGCAATCAGAGAGAGCCAGGCCGCCCCTGGGTTCTGGCCCCGAACCGGCCAGTGATCCATCTTTGACATGAAATGCCCCAGGGAGTAGTAGCTGCAGACCATAAGCCTCAACTGTTCTTCTTGGAGGCCTCTTGAAAAAAACACGCTCATGACGGCTCCGTCTTTTGATAATGTGATATGTTTTCTGCCAAAAATCCTAAAGTCCAAGATTCGAAAGCACACACACTTCCGAAATCGGCCTGGGAGCATCTGCTGGGCGGCGACAAGCAGGCAGATGCGCGCGTAGGCGTCGAAGCAGCAGTAGCCCCTCTGGACGCGCCGCAGCATCCAGAAGTGCGAATGCATCACAGCACTGCGGCCCGGACCACCGTTGTCCTAAGAAACAGGGGTTTAGGGTTTAGAGTTTAGGGTTTCGGGTTTCGGATTTAGGGTTCGTTTCGTTTACCAAAGTTTGACGGGGCTTGGACCTTCCGATCCCCCAAACCCTACTGAGTCCCCCACCCCCAACAAAGCAACGGGAAGAAGCCTCCTCTCCTCTATTTCCCAAACACCCGTTATTCAGGGCTCTAGGAGCCCCTCTGAAGGGCAGCTGGGCTCCCACTTCGGGTTTAGGGTTTAGGGTTTAGGGTTTAGGGTTTAGGGTTGAGGGTTGAGGGTTGAGGGTTGAGGGTTGAGGGTTGAGGGTTGAGGGTTGAGGGTTGAGGGTTGAGGGTTGAGGGTTGAGGGTTGAGGGTTGAGGGTTGAGGGCATCCGGGTGTCCGAGTTCTCGAGATGTCTCAGGACCTCATCGCTGGCGTAGGGCGCATCCCCGAGCCAGTCCACCGCTGCCGACTTCCTGGGATTAGGGCTTTGGGCTTAGGGGTTTGGGGTTTAGGGTTTAGGGTCTAGGGTCCAGGGTTTGGGGTTTAGGGTTTTTGGGTTTTGGGGTTTTTGGTTTAGGGTTTGGCGTTTAGGGGGCCCTTTAAACTTTAAACCCTCGAATACGTATTCCTACATAGGATCCTCTTAAGCCCAAGAAGGGACGATGCAACAAGTATCCCAGATGCCTACCCAGTCAGGGCTTTAGGGTCACAAGGGTTCAGTGCAGTAGGGAGCAGAGGGCTAGAATATATAGCTATCCAAAGAACTCGTAAGCCCTAGCCCTAAACCCTGAACCCTAAATTAACCCTAAACCCTAAACCCGAAACCCTAAACCCGAAACCCTAAACCCGAAACCCTAAACCCGAAGCAGCAACTGCCGAGCTTCTTGCCCTTGGCCTTGGCCTTGCGCTGCTGGGCCGAGGAGGGCAAAGGCACCGTGCGGCCCTCCGAGGCCGTGCTCCGGACTTGGGGGACGCTCTCCTGGGATGGCCCCGCAAGGTTTAGGGTTTAGGGTTTAGGGTGTAGGGTTTAGGGTTTGGGGTTTAGGGTTTGGGGTTTAGGGTTTAGGGTTTAGGGTTTAGGGTTTGGGGTTTGGGGTTTGGGGTTTAGGGTTTGGGGTTTGAGGTTTGGGGTGTAGGGTTTAGGGTGCAGGGTTTGGGGTTTAGGGTGTAGGGTTTGGGCGTTAGGGGTTTGGGGTTTAGGGTTTGGGGTTTAGGGTGTAGGGTTTGGGCGTTAGGGGTTTGGGGTTTAGGCTTTGGGGTTTGGGGTTTAGGGTTTTGGGTTTGGGGTTTGAGGTTTGGGGTGTAGGGTTTTGGGTTTGGGGTTTGGGGTTTGGGGTTAGGGTTTGGGGTTTGGGGTTTGGGGTTTGAGGTTTGGGGTGCAGGGTTTGAGGTTTGGGGTTTGGGGCTTGCCTATATTCCTAATCCTAGGACCCTCTTAACTCAACCCAACAAGGGGTAAAGATGTAAGAAACATCCCCTCTAAGGACCCACCTCCGAATTATAGGACCCTCTTCCCAACGAAGGAGAAAAAACCAAGAACATCATAATCTAGGATTGTAGCAGAATTACATAGGACCCTGAGGGAATACAACTAGCAGTTATTCCGACCCCCCTGTGTTACCGAGTCTCGTGCTCCGTGTCGAAAGGTACGACGAAGGCTGGGGGTTGGAAGAAGCGCCCCCCACCTCCCGCCTCGAAATTCTCCTGCGCCCGGGTGGCCGCCTGGATGTCCTTGACCCGGGAGTTTAGGGTTTAGGGTCTAGGGTCTAGGGTCTAGGGTCTAGGGTCTAGGGTCTAGGGTTTAGGGTTTAGGGTTTAGGCTTCAGGGTTTAGGGTTTAGGGTTTAGGGTCTAGTGTCTAGGGTTTAGGGTTTACTAGGAGTACAAGGGTGCCTTTTTTTGGTTTCAAGGGGCTTACAAGGGAACATAAAACCCTAAAAAGGGAATGAGGGAGCCTACTCTGGGTCCGCCGTGTCCTTGAGCGTGGGCACGGGTGGCCGCACGGCCTGAGTCAAGATCTTCACCTTCGCGGAGCGCTGGGCGATGGACCCATGCATTCCGAGCCACACGCAGAGCCTTAGCTGTTACGTAGCTATGGGAAAACTAAAGGTTAACCTTTAGGATTCTAAGGGGGTTGTACTACCCCTAAAAGGTTTTGGGATTATAAGGGGATTGTACTACCCCTAAAAGATTAAAGTTTACCAACTCTACGACCAGGGCGCATGCCAAAAGTGATGCACGCGAAGACGCAGTTGTTCCACATGAGCAGCAGCCAGCGCGGCTCCAGGGGAAAGGCCGGATAGCCTACAAATATGAAGTTCATGACCGCGGTGACGATCAAGGCGCCTACCAGAATGTAGTTGTCCATGGTGGTCGTCGATAATCCGAAGACATCGTGGACATCTTCGCGGAAAAGCCCCCACTGAGCCAGTCGCATGCTCTGCACCTGGTAGATGCAGGTCTGCCTCTGCTCGGCATCGAACTTAAACCGATCCAAGTTGTAGTAGTACGCAGACGCAGCCGCGCCTGCGGTAGCCACCACGGGGATCTCCATGATAAGGAAAAATTCAGGTGCCCTGTCTACATAGGGCCCTGGCACTGCCAAGTAACTTGCCTTGAGTCTTCAGGCACCGACAGAGCGCAACACGGGATGCATCCACACACCGCACGCGTTGCGCGCGCCTTTTTCCTGCGCTGGAGCTACGTACTTAGAGTTACCAAAGCATCAAGGCAGTCATGGCTTGACATAAATACCTCTATAATCCTCTATAGTGCCCCAGGCAATACTGCGCAGTGCAACCTTGAATTCGGGTCCAGGCGTCATTGAGAAACCCCCCCCCCAAAGCCTTGAACCAAAAAACACCAAACCCTGAACCCAAAAAAGACATGCCCAAGCCAGTGGCTTGGGCAAGGTGATGATGTTCTCCTTCAGCTTGGCCCACTCCTGGCCACAAGCTCGCGCACGGTGGGCTTGGGGCGTGGGCTGTAAGCCGCGGGGTCCGCTGGGATCCCAAGACTGGCGCCTTGCTGGCAGATCGACCGCTTTGCTCTCCATAGAACTGATGTTATTACTCCTGGGCCCTTTACCATACACCCAAGCCTGGGCTTAGGGTGTTTTTGGGGGTTGAGGGTTGAGGGTTTAGGGGGTTGAGGGGGTGCCTGCCTTCGCGTCGAAATAGAGCTGGCAAATCTTGCACACGAGTTTGGAGGTCGACAGGCCATCGGACGCCTCCACGCCGCGAGTCTCGGGTCCGGGTTTGTAGGGACCCCAAAAACCACGCAGACATATAAGAAACTTTCTACCAAGGTTTTCCAGCATCCCCCCATTAGGGGCCCTGATACTCCAGTAGTAGGATCCTAATGTTTACGTCTGTTTTAAGGGTCCCGAAGTTTGGGGGGACCAAGAGCTGTGGCAATGGTTGTCGAGGTGAGGTCTTCCCCTTGGGCCGCTCCGCCGTTTAGGGCGTAGGTCCTTATACAATGAGCGGATTCTACTTGAAGGTACTAGTAGGGTCATAAGTACCTGAAATAACACTGCAACCATAGTTTCCCTACTTATAAACCTACTTCTACAAGTACCCATGAACCTCCAAGTACCTCAAACAAAGGGATACCCTGTTTTAGGAAACGCTTCTGTGGGTACCAGGTAGGGCTTTGCAAGGGTTTCGTGCTTTGGCTCTAAGGGCCTGAGGACTTGTGACCCTCCCTTTGCCTGCCGCGTCTTCTTCTCCAGACCCAGCCTCATCCGGAGCAGCATGCGTGCGGCGAAAACATGAACCCAAAGCCGAAACTCAGCCAACGTCTGTCAGCACTCAGCTAGTCCTCCGCTTAGACCCTGCACCCTGGGCCCCGAAAAGGTTCCTAAACCAAAAAGGGCCCTAAACCTCAAACCCGAAACCCTAAACCGTAAACCCCTAAAGCCTAAACCCCTTAACCCGCCCGCCGCCCCTCTCACCTCTGTTGGGGTAGGCGGGCGCAGTCGAGCGCTCAGCGAGACCACGGCAGGCTCTGCTAGGCTGCAGAGCCTGCCAGGCACACTCCTGAAAGGGTCGCCAAGCTTGGTCGCCAAGCACTGTCACATTTTCAATTCCGTGCCCTGGCCCTGGCCCTGTGGCCCTGGCCCTGGCCCTGGCCCTGGCTCTGGGCTGGCCCTCCCCCCGGCCCTGGCCCTGGCCCTGGCCCTGGCCCTGGCCCTGGCCCTGGCCCTGGCCCTGGCCCTGGCCCTGGCCCTGCTGGCCCTGGCCCTGACCCTCGGTCTGCCTTGGTCTGGCTGTGGTCCTGTGGTCCTGGCCCTCACTGCCCTACTGCCCTGACCCCGCTCTGCTTCTGGCTGGCCTGGCCAGACCACGAATTGAAAGCAAACTCAAAAGGCAAAGCCCTGCAAATTTTTCTATGAGATGGCCCTTGGGCGCAGACCGTCCCCTGCGCAAGATCTTGCGACACCCGTTCCCGAATTTATCGATAACTAGACCAGCTCACGCCTTGAAATTTTCTATGATAGGGCCCTTCGGCCCAGACCGTCCCCTGCGCAAAACCTCAGGACCCCGGTCCTTCACCTGTAAAAAACGTTCTCGGCTCCTTTTGCAAGGGAGTTGCCTTTCAAGCGACCTTGGCACTCCTCAACAATCGGAAACCTTTCACGGCCCGGAATTTCATGAGAGGGCCTTTCGGTTCAGACCGTCCCCTACGCAACAGCCTGAAGGGGGGGGTATCCTCTGCCGCCATGACTGCGGCATCAGATAAACATGTGTCACGTGTGAATTTTGAATGGCTTCGGCTTGGTTTGGGCTGGCTCCGGTTTGGTTCGCAGTGAGTAGTGTTTGGGTGGTCTTGGGGTGGGCATGTCTGCGCACAATTGCGTCCAGCTGACCACTGCTACATCCTAAACCCTAAACCCTGAACCCTAAACCCTAAACCCTAAACTAGCATCCAGAAGGAGCCCCCCGGTGCAAGCTGGGCCCCTTGGCAGCATCTCCACCGCCTCCTCAAGGCGCCCCGCCTGCGGAAGAGCTGAGGGATATTTTGTGAAGGAAATCGGGGTTTGAGGTTTAGGGTTTAGGGATCGGGGTTTAGGGTTTGGGGTGTGGGCTGTAGGGTTTTAGGGTTTCGGGTTTAGGGGTTGATGGGCTTCGGGTCGTGATCTTGAATCTGGCTTCCAGGCTTGGCAGACGGGCTGGGTGGTCCGGCGGCGTTGGACTTCGGTAAGGGGTTGACACCCCTAACGCCCTCAACCCTGAACCTCGGGATGTTCCCCCTCCTACCAATAGGGATTCTAGTACTCCCCCTATTTGAATCCCGATTAGGGACTCTTTGTATATGAGGGGGAACATCCTCAACCCTGAGCCCTAAAAAGTCCAGAACCAAAAGAGCTTGCAGCTGTCGAGGCTTTTGGGGGGGGGGGGGGGGCCGGGTGGACTTCAGGATTGAAGGCTTAGGGCTTTGCGGTTTAGGGTTTAGGGTTTAGGGTTTAGGGTTTAGGGTTTAGGGTTTAGGGTTTAGGGTTTAGGGTTTAGGGTTTAGGGTTTAGGGTGGCTGCCTGAGAGGGCTCACAGGATTTGCAGGGCTTGGGGGGCATCTCGGGCTCCTCGTGCTTGGGCTCCTTTTCGAGTGCAGGTTGCAGAATGGAGGGTTTGGAGCATTGGCGGTGGCACCCGAAACCCAAACCCTTCAAGCCCTAAACCTTAACGCCTAAACCCCCCCCCCCCCCCCTGGGCACCCTAAGCCCAAACCCTTCAAACCCTAAACCTTAAAGCCTAAACACCCCCCCCCCCCATGCCCTAAAAAAACCCTAAGGCCCCCAAACCCTCAAGCACCAAAACCCTCGAACCCCTAAAGCCCCTCGAACCCCAAACAGCGAAGAACACGCACATTGAGGGCCTGAATCCCGCTACTTGGAGGTTCATGGGTACTTACAAGTAGGGCAATAAAGCACCCGAAATAGGGCTATAACCCTAAACCCTAAACCCTAAACCCTAAACCCTAAACCCTAAACCCTAAACCCTAAACCCTAAACCGTAAGTAACCATGAACCTCCAGGCAGGGCCGCTGGGGTTCGGGGCTCCCCTGCCTGGGCCATGCCGTCGACGCGGGCCAAGAGCTCCTCAGCCTGTTTGTGCACAGGGTTTTGGGTTCAGGGTTCAGGGTTTAGGGTTCAGGGTTTAGGGTATAGGGTGTGGAGGGATGAAAGGCTTAGGGGTTTGGGATGAAGTTAAATTGGCTCCTTCTTGAACAAATATTTATAAACATACCAAATCTGAACGCTTTAGAGCTTCAGCCCCGAATCCCAGCCCTTCAAGCCCCAAACCCCTTGAACCCCTAAGATCCCCTAAAGCCCCTAAACTCCCTGAACCCTATTCGAACTTATGAACCCTAAACCCATAACGCTGAACCCCCAGGCCCTAAACCTGAAAGAGGCAGAAAAGGTCGTTGGTTGCTAGCGTGCCTCCCAACCCTCAACTGATCACGCAGAGGACAGCAGGCGCTTCGGCTGCACAATGACAACCGCAAGCAAGCGGGGCAACACAGATCCCGCTTCCAGGCCACCGATTGGAGCAGGCAGGCAAAATTTTCAGCTTTTCCTGATCAAGACAGCTACTGCGCAAAAACTCCTGGCAGGGCTGGCAAGCACGCGCGACATGAAAGGAGTCGGCAGTGAACTAGGGTTACGTGTCGGCGTTGGCCGAGCTCACCAAACCCCAAGGCAACGCACCCGCTGGTTTCGAGTGAGCGCGAGGCGTAAGGTGCTTGCAGTCAGCCCTTTGATCCTCAACCCTATTACTAATTTCAATGTGACTTCCCTCTCCCAGCCTCTTTGCTGAAGTCCTCCGTGGCCTTCGGGTCCTGTAGGGCAGATGACACCAGAATAACCCTCGTCCCCGAAGCTCATCGAGTGCAAAAAGAAGTCTCCTTTCAGGCTTAGGGTCTCGGAAACCCTAAACACTAAACCCTAAACCTAAACCCGAAACTCGGACTCCAGAACCCCAAATTCTTTAGGTCCCAACCCCGAAACACCGAAACCATCCTGTAATCCTACAGAAACCTCTGGGACTAAACGCTATAAACAAACCCTTTGGGGTTCAGGGTTCAGGGTTCAGGGTTTAGGGTTTAGGGTTTGAAGCCTGCACTCCGAGCAATTTTGTCAGGGTCCTTTGCCAGGCTCCCAAGCAGAGGATTCAGTGTGTCCGCCTGAGAGGGGGGTAGAGGGGGGTCGGTGACAAGAGGCCAGAGGCGGTCCTACCTAGTGCATATAGATGCGTAACAGGCACAGACGGGCAGAGGGCGCAAGAATGCCGCCCCAAAAAGGCCGTTTCGAACATGTAGGAAGCACCTTTTTTGGTTCCCTCTTTACCTTATGACATAAGAAACATCTTCCCCACAGCTTAAAACCCTAAACGCCCTCAGGTCCGGGCCATGGCGCGGCGCCTGCCAGGGGCTGGAGTGGACCACTCAGCCCTAAGCCCGAAACCCTGCAATTAAACCCCAAACCCGATGCCCTGTAACCAAACCCTGAGCCCGATACGCTATATGGCGACTTCTCTCATAGTTTATAGAACTGACCATACGTAAACCCTAATGGATTAGGGTCGAGGGCGTTAAGGCCTGGGTTCAACGCTTGAGGGCCACGGCTTTGAACCTTCGAGTCTTTGAGCCGCTGGAGACCCCGAACCTGAAACGACTCTTGGTGGATCTCAACTCTAAGAGGTTCATGGGTTCTTATAATTATAAGTAAAACCAGGAACCTCCAAGTACGGTTTAGGGTTTAGGGTTTACTACGGTCTTCGCGACGGTTTAGGGTTCAGGGTTCTGCGAGACTGTCAGAGCCGCCTGGAGGATGGTGGGGTTGAGGGTGCAGAAGGGGGAGGGGGGGAACCCTAACCTAAACCCGAAACCCTGAACCCCAAACCCTTCTGTTCGGATCCCCGGAAGTTGAGGGGCGCTCGGGCTGAACTTCACCTTGCTCAACCCTCAGACCCTAAACCTCAACACACCGAACCCTAAGCTCACTGAAGGGTTTAGGGTTTCGAGTTTAGGGTTTAGTGTTTAGGGTTTCGGGTTTAGTGTTTCGGGTTTAGGGTTTGGGGTTGAGGGTTTCCCCCCTCCGCCCCCCTTGCCTCGGGAGGCTGGGCCAGGGCCCCCTGCACCAAACCCTTCCGCCGACCACAAGCTACGGACAACCCCACATGGCTGCGGCAGAAGAAGCTAGGGCTGTGGCTGTGGGTTTAGTTTAGGGTTTAGGGTTTAGGGCCGTTTAGGGTTTAGGGTTAGGGTTTAGGGTTTAGGGTTTAGGGTTTAGGGTTTAGGGTTTAGGGTTTAGGGTTTAGGGTTTAGGTGTAGGGTTTAGGGTTTAGGGTTTAGGGTTTAGGGTTTAGGGTTTAGGGTTTGGGGTTTGGGGTTTGGGGTTTGGGGTTTAGGGTTTAGGGTTTAGGGTTTAGGGTTTAGGGTTTAGGGTTTAGGCTGTAGGGTTTAGGGTCTAGCGTTTAGGGTTTCAAGGTTTAGGGTTTACTTGGAGGTTCATGGGTACTTGTAAGTAGGGTTATAAGCAGGGTAGCTATGATCTCCATTTAGCCGTGTACTCTAATCGGGGACCCCTCATATAGACTCCCAAATAGTAGGACCCACTCATAAGAAGGACCCCAAAAAGGTACAGGTACCCCTTATAATCGAAACCGTCTGTTGGGTCCGCGAGATTCCAACGGGAGGAAATGCGAAACTCCGTGCGAACATCCTCCTCTCCACCTCCGGGCGCCCTTGCCACGTAGCGGATACGGGACTCGACACCATCGGGGAAAGAGATAAGATATCCCTCCGCCGGGCCAATGAAGCCATCTTCTGCCGCGGAGGCTTGGGAAGCTTGAGGCTGCAATTCCCGCTTGGCACAGCTGGGGTTGTTGAGGTACTTCTGCCAAGAGAAGACAAATGCCTGGTGCGAGGTGAGAGGGAGCCATGTCCAGGCATCCTGTAGTGGAGCGTAGGCAACGGGCGCATGCCGCGGCGCTGCGTGATCCAGGCACACCAGAAATCGCTCCTTGCACGCAGCAGTATGTGTGCCCTGGAGTTGGCGCTCCATTGCAATGATTTTGCTTGGATGCCCATTTCCAACGACAGACAAAGACACGTGCTTCCCCCGCGAAGTCCCGTAGGTTGTGCTTGCGCGCGCCCCCCTTTTCATTTTGCCTGACTGGACTAACCCATTCAAGGCACTGGCGTTGAGGGCGGCATTCTTGCCGCCTTCCCCTTTCGTGACTCCGAGTAAACCAAGACCGTCCAGGAACTCGTAAGCCTCGTCCAAATTGAAGGCCGCGCCATACCACAACCGTGCCGGGAAGGATTGACCACCGAGCTTCTTGTCACCTCAGGAATGCATGTTTCTAAGGCCGCAAACCGCAACCTGCATCCCGAGGAGTCCGGAATCGCTTCGAAGCATGAAAACTATGTAGGACCAAGGACCTCTAGTCCATTCCACTTGCGGGTACTCTGCGCTGCAGCGGAAGAAGAATTCTGTAAAAGTGAAGCTCTGCAAGGAAATGCTTTTCACCGTAGCCTTGACTTGGGGCCTGACCAAGTTGCGTGCATACACAGAAGTCCGGAATCTGCAACATGACATCCTGGAATATAACAACAGCTGAGTTCCCTGCCTATCTTCTTCCCCCCATCATGGTTTGCATCCCTCTCTGGAGGCGGAGCTCGGTCAGCCACCTGCTGCGCCATCTCAGAGACCACATCATCGCAGGTGTCTAACATCTCCTCCACGACCTGCCAAAGGCGGCTTTTGCCTTTCTGTGGAGGTGCAACCTGGATCATGACGCAGGCCAAAGGAGTCGGCTTTTGACTCCAAAGCTGCACGGAGGCTCCGTTGCAGAGCGCAGGTAGAGCACCGGCTACCACGCACAGGCAAGAGAACATTCCCTGGCAGGTGGAATCCGCGATTGGCGCAAGGAACTGGTAGATGCTGCGCGGGAGGTGATCCACTGGCGAAAAACTATCATCCACGACCTTTTGCGCACCCTGCATGAGCAGGTGCACTTGTGCATTGGTGAGCTCATCAGGCTTGGTACTTGTCGGCATAGTCAGGGGCAGGGGTACCAGCAGAGCACGGGCGGAAGACGAAGCGGTCAACAGAACCCCAGCTTGAGCCCGGCGACATGTCGACGTGGGCACGGACAAGATGCACAAGCAACGCAAGGAGGCACAACAAGGCATGTGGCAAGAAACTGGCATGTAGCAAGTGATGTGTCAGACCACGCGGCTTCTCCTCCGACTATGTACTCATTAGCTGCGCACCTGTGTCCGGCGAGCCTTGCGTGCACGCACCCCCTGTGCATCCTCCAATGAGTTGAGGACCTTCAGGTTGCGCACATCGGCAACTTCCGCAGCAGTCAGCTTTGCCACGTATGGTCCCATGTGATGGAAGGTATGGCCGAGCGGCGACAGGTTGTGGTTCACCGACTCGGCGATGGATGTGGGGAAGCCGTCCAGCAAAAGTAGATTCGCAGGCAAATCAGGCCAGCAGTTCTTCTTGCACCAGGCGCCGACGTGCGCAGTCGCGTGAAAGCCATCGATCACATAGCGGACCTCGTCCGCGAGCTTCCGACTCAGGGCTGAATGGTCTCTCTGGGCCTGGGCCATCAAGGCGAGATGGCAGGCATCGTCATGCACGACGCAGGTCAATGTCGGAACGTGCGACGCCAGGGCGCAAACAAAGTTGTACCGCTGGGACAAGGACTCTGCACCGATGAGCTCGTCAAGTGCACGATGACACCAGACGCACTAACAGCCGTAAGGAAGCCAGCCGTCCTAGCTGCAGCTGCAACCTGCGCCTGCAGAGACGCGCAGCGAAGCACAAGGGGCTTCGGCACTTCGGGGCCCGTGCCATGGCCGGCATGAGCTACTAGAAAAGAGACTCCAACGATTACACCAGTCTGGTTTGGCATAGTGTTGTTGCTGGCAACCCGCCTCCGTCTCCTTGTGCGTCTGACAGGAACAATCGCTCGGTGGGCCCAGCGCATGAAGGTAAGCTGCCTCTGGAACGGTGCAAGCCGGCTGCCACCCACCAAAATCTGCCATCTGGACCTCCAAGTGACAAACATCGTCCGGGTGATGAAGCGCACGCTTGAGCCGATGTTTACCGATTTCGAACCTGTCGAAACGGGGCGCATCCCGCAGAGCAGCATGTTGTCGACAGAGGGTGTCTTTGCCGTGCGGTCTGTTAGAACAGCCACGTAGAAGGTGTTTGCCAGGAACAGCACAAGCAATAACCTGCGCACGCACACAGCAACTGTTTGTTCATTGAAAACGACGCGTTCGGCGCTTGCCCTTTTTGGCGACCAAGAGGCCAGGCCCGAAAATCCGGGGGTTTCGGGTAGATTTAGGGTTCGGGAGAGCTTCCGTGCCTCATAGTCAACGCAGGCTCGAGCCCCATCCCTGGCAGAGATGCTGGCCATGCCGCTACGCAGCCCACTCGTTGCTGCCAAGTCGAAAGAGACCGGGACACGCAGGCCCAGTGTGGTAAGTAAACATCCGCCGGGCGCTTCTCCTGCACCGTTGGGCCCCCCCCGCCTCACAGGATCCAGTCTGAGTTGGGCGCGCCGGCAACAAACCCCGCTTCCCCACCTCCGGTGACAAGCCCGCCGCCGCCGCTCTAGCAGCTAGGACTGATCGTAGGCGATTGTGCCTTCTAGTTCTGTCTCCTTCAAACACGGGCAGGTTCTCGCGCGGTCACCATACACTTCCGCCACCCCGTCGCACAACGGGCAATAGCCCTCGGTAGCTGCGACGGGGAGTCGGAGGCGTAGGCGAAGCAGAATGCGCAAGAGCTGCGGGGCGATGTCCAGGCCGAGGGCTTCTGCTGCAAGGGCCAAAAGGCAACAACCGGCGCCTGGTTGTTGCAAACGTCGCAGGTGGGCCCACGATGCCTCATCAGTAGCTTCAGAGGTCAAAGCAGTCCCTTCCATATCGTCCAAGACAGTGGAAAGTTGTTGCTGGCGGATCATCCTGGGGTTGCTAGGCAAGGCTTGCGCGGCCTCCACCGCCGCATTGAGCTGGTTGATGGGCCGCGTGAGTTCCTCCCTATCGTTGGCGTCCAACCTTTTGCACAGAGCTGTGGAGGCAGCGATGGAGGCGATGTAAGCTGCAGGCGCATGCCGACTCACAAGGTGGCCTGCCTCCAGGCGTGCTGAGTTAAAGGCAGGCTGCCCAGCTGCGCAAGGCAGGCTTGCGTGTTCGAGTCGAACTCCTCCAAGGCAGCGTGGTGGACACTGGGCGGGGTCACGCGCATGGTGAAGCCGACCCTTGCTGTAAGAGCAACAGTGCCGAAGAAGTAAAAGAGCGGTCTGGGTGTCCGCTAAATCGGCCAGGGCCTTCGTGAGAAAATCCCTCAGCCCTTGAACCTGCTTGGAGGTTCATGGGTGTACTTAGAAGTAGGTTTAGAAGTAGGTATTCTAGATTTATAACCCTGCTTATAAGTACTCGTACCCATGACGCCCCCAAGAAACACTCAGCCCTAAATCCTAAACCCCGGACCCTGAACCCTAAACCCCAACTCCTCGGCGCTTTTTTTTCACTCCTTCAGGCTGATGCCAAGCCTGTCCTCATCGAAGGGGGAGTCAAAGGATGCATCCTCAGAAGCGACGCTTGACAGCTTCCTCTCTAGAACATAATATAGGGGTGGTTGTCAAAATGATGGTCCCTTTTTTTGGATCCCTACTCTACTAAGGCACCGAATATTTTAGGGTACCGCGAAAGGGATCATGATTTTAAGCCCTATAAGTAAGCCCTAAGATTCAACTCTGTAACTAAACCCTACTCTATGAAACGTGTCAAGGTTGGACCCCTAGTATAGATCCCCGAATGGTATGGACACCCTACTCAACCCGATAATTAAACCCTAAAAACCCTGTGGGGTTTGGGATTCGGTGTGTCGAGGGTTGGGTTTTGCTTTAGAGGTTTTAGGGTCAATTGGAGTCCCTGCGCCACCCTAAATGAAATAAAGACCCTAAACCCCAAACCCCAAACTAAACCCTAAACCCTAAACCCCAAACCCCAAACCCACACTCCAAACCCAAACCCCAACTCTGGGTCCTGCCTCAAGGACCCCCAAATCTACTTGAGGGCATTCGGGTCCGAGAGCGTTGAGGTTGAGGATGGTAGAGTTTAGGGTTTAGGGTTTAGGGTTTAGGGTTTAAGGTTTAGGGTTGAGTCGTTTAGGGTTTAGGGCTTAGGGCTTAGAGTTTAGGGTTGAGGGTTTAGGGTCTCGGTTGCAGGTGCTTTGGTGTCTAGGTACTTCCGTTGCAACCTCCAACCGCGACAAACTTCTGCAAGCAAGCTTCCCAACCACCGTACTGGCTGTAGTTGTCCTCATCCTCCTCCGAGGCATCCTCTGGTTGATACTCCTAAACCCTTTAGGGTTTAGGGTTTAGGGCTTAGGGTTTAGGGTTTAGGGTTTAGGGTTAACCCCTACTGCGGTGATGGGAGGCACAGGCCCGGCGACCGGGCGAGGAGAATTGAGGGTACTTATAACCCCAGTGTTAACTGCACTTAGAAGCCCCCTAAGTCCCCTAAGTCCTCTAAGTAGGTTAGAAGTAGGCGTATGATTGGGGTTTTAACTACCCATGAACCTCCAAGTAGGGCTGAGGGTTCATGGTTGAGTTCGGGTCGTTCCAGGGCTGGGGGTGGCTGACACTGTCCAGCTCTGCCAGCTTGGGAAGGGCCCTGGTTTCGCAAGGAACCCACATCCGAACCTTAAGAACCCAATGCCTACTTTTCTTGCAGACGTCTAGTAGGAAAAACCCCTGTAGGATCCTTAGGCAACGCACAAAATGGTGCTTTGTGTTCTTGAGGAAGACGGCAAGATGCAAGATTTTGATGAGGGATCGCAATGGTAAGAAGACCTCTTCTTGTGCAGAGCAATTGAGTGAGCGATGTCCTTTGACTTTGGCCTGTCTCTTTTTGCTGACAGGGGGGTGGGGGGGTATTGGTTTTTAAGGGACATATACTAGGGCCATTTTGGGAACAGGTATTTCGATCGACTCACAGGAGGAGTCAACCTATGGCGCACTTTTGTTTGTCTCTTGCTCTGCTTGGTATATCTTGGGTCTGGACCCTCCTGAAGAGTGACCCCAAGACAGGCTTGAGAGCCTGCGAGTCAGTTGCTCGCAGGCTGGGCCACGATCAGCAGGCTTCAACTGTACAAGCATCTGCAGCATCTGCAGGTCTTTAGGAAAAGGGCTGGGAAAAGTTAGGACCACCCCCCTCATGTAAATGAACTCAGAGATTTCATTCAATTCACCAGCTAAGCCGTTTCGGACCCCCGAACAACGTGAGTCACTGTGGAGCCATCAAGTTGTCGTATCCTTCGGCTAGCCGTGCACGTTGCACTCACGCCAGCTGTGCTTGAGGCAGGAGCTTCACCGACTGGCCAGAGCATTTCAGCTCCACAGCGCGGACCACGGGCAAAGCGATGGTGCCGGCTGGAAACGGCTGACCGAAAGGCTGGCCATTCTTGTAGAAGCTGAGGGAGCCGTCATTGCAGTCCAGCCGAAGCCCGATCCGATCTCCTACGACAAAGTGGGAGCCCTTCCCCGTCGCGTCATCGTTGTCGATGTCCCCGCCGTAGATGTTGCCATCGTGCGTGCGGAGATACCTAGCTCATGGTTGGGATCATATTACAAAATGTGAAAGTTCTATTCCTCATTGAGTTTAAGTATCCTTAAAGATGCAAGATGATACCCAACCATGACAAAGACACCATGCCTTGTTTTATACCTTATTGAGCTTAAGTACCCTTAAAGATGCAAAATTGTTTCCCAACCATGACAAAGACACCATGCCCTGTGTTATTCCTTATTGAGCTTAAGTACCCTTAAGTGCCCTTAAAGATGCAAAATTGATACCCAACCATGACAAAGACACCATGCCTTCTTTTTATTCCTTATTGAGCTTAAGTACCCTTAAGTACCCTTAAAGATGCAAAATTGATTTCCCAACCACGACAAAGACACCATGCCTTCTTTTATACCTTATGGAGCTTAAGTACCCTTTAAGTACCCTTAAGTACCCTTAAGTACCCTTAAGTACCCTTAAGTACCCTTAAGTACCCTTTAAGTACCCTTAAAGATGCAAAATTGATTTTCCAACCACGACAAAGGCGCCACGCCTTGCCCTTGTCATGGTGGTCGCCCTTCTCGACATCACAGCCCGGGCTCGCCACGCCGACGAAGAGGTCGCGGTTGTTGTTTGAGGTTGCCTAGGATGGCCCTTAAGGGGGTCGAGGGTTTTTGGGTTTATAGGGTTTACAGGGTTTTTAGGGTTTATAGGGTTCAGGGTTGAGGGTTTAGGGTTTAGGGTTGAGGGTTTAGGGCCTAGGGTTTTTCTGAATATGATCCTCTTAAACCCAATATAAGGGAAATAGAGGATGTCCCAAAGGCCTGCCTAGTTGCGCCGGATGCCAGCTCGACCTCCCACATGTGCACCCCGGAGGAGAGCACCTCCTTCGCGGCCACGTGCCGCGAGTAGTTGCCGCCGCTCTTCTTGGTGAGAACCGTTCCATCCTCGCTGACCTCCATGGTCTTTCCCAATCGGTCCCAGCTGTCCGCCATGCTTCGGCTACTCTTGAGGGTGCTAAAGGTGGTCTCTAAAGGTGGATATGTCCTGCTCGAGCACATGTGAAACATCAAACTTTCCACACACACAGACACACACACACACACACACTCACACACACTCACACACACTCACACACACTCACACACACTCACACACACTCACACACACTCACACACACTCACACACACCAAAACTCTCCCCAGCTCGCAGCTCTGGATTCTACTCATGGCGCCGGCCTCCTCATCGTCCCAGGGGGCCCACCTCGAATGCTCGAATGCAGGGCTCTGGCTTCAGAGGAGGGGTGGAGTCGAGGCGGATCGGGCATCATCTGCAGGCCTTGACCACTGCTTGCTTTAGAACCCCCCCCCCCAACAAAAAAAAAAAATGAAAAACATGTTCTTCCTTATAAGGGTAATATATGTTCTTCCTTACAAGGGTAGTATAGGGTCTGTATTTCTATTTTTGGGGTGCGGTTCTCAAGCAAACAGCAGTGGCTTTGGGCAGATTGCCGCAGGGTTCTAGGCGTCTGCCAGCGAGGGGTCTGAGTTGATTGATTGGAGAAAGTGAGACCTCCACCCCTAAACCCCATAACCCTAAACCCTGTAACCCTAAAACCTATAACCCTGAACCCTCAACCCTCTAAGCCTAAATCCCTGAACCCTAAAAAAAACCCCTAAACCCTAAACCCTCACAAGCAGAAGAAGGCCTCCACTCCCTGCATAAGCCAAGCCACCCTTCCTCCGCGTCGCGGATCTCCCCCTCCGCTTGGTCGCCCAAGGTGTCGTCCAAGTCGTCCCAGACATCATCCTCGTAGGGCCCCATGTTCTCCTGGCTTCTAAGGGCTTATAGGGGTTAGGGTTTAGGGTTTAGGGTTTAGGGTTTAGGGTTTAGGGTTTAGGGTTTAGGGTTTAGGGTTTAGGGTTTAGGGTTTGTAGAGTTCTTGTAGGGTTTAAAAGGGTTCTTAGAGTTCGTAGGGCTTGTAGGGCTTAGAGGGGTTTATAGTGTTTGTAGGGATTTATAGGGTTCTCAGAGTTCGTAGGGCCCCGTGTTCTCCTGGCTGTAGGGCTTATAGGGTTTGTAGAGTTTTTGTAGGGTTTGTAGGGTTCTTAGAGTTCGTAGGGCTTGTAGGGCTTAGAGGGCTTGTAGGGCTTGTAGGGTTTAAAGGGCTTACAGGGTTCATTAGGGTTTAGCGTGGGTTTATCGGGTTTTATAGGGTTTATGAGGGTTTGTAGGGTTTATAGGGTTTATAGGGTTTATAGAGTTTTTTTGTCAAGGTCAACCAACATGTTCGGCTTGTAGCTCGATTAGGGTTCTATCAAACAAAGACTTAAAGGGGCGGGAAGGCCCCTACATCCTTTAACGCCAGAAGGCATCATCCGGTCCTTGAACCTAGATTAGCCCTTTGGGGGGGGGCGGGGGGGGTGCCGAAACCGCAAACCCTAAACCCTAAACCCCAAACCCTAAACCCCAGACCTTTAACACGTAGAATGTCTCAGAACAACCCGAGAGAAGGCTGAGACTCAACCTTTGCTGCGGCGGCCTCCTGGAAGAACTCGCGCAGCTCCTTTTCCGTGAGCCTAGGAGCCGTGCTGCAGGGGCCCTCCTTTAAACCCTAAACGCAAAACCCAGAACCCTCTCAAGCCTCTCTAAACCCTAAACCCTAAACCCTAAACCCTACACCCTAAACCCTAAACCCTAAACCCTAAACCCTAAACCCTAAACCCTTACCCTAACATCCTCTCAACCCTGAAGTTCGAAGACCCCAACACCAAAGTGCCTAAACCCTGCCATCAACATGCCCACAAACCCCCGCGGCGCGCTTTTTCATAGGATCCGCTGCTACCAGTTCCACCACTACTTAATTTGGCCTTACCTTGCCTTGGTTTGCCTTACAAGTACTTTTCCGTACCGGCAGGCGGGCCTGGAGGGAAGCATTTCAGGAGCCTAGGTAATTCCCATGCCATCCCCTGATCGTCCCTAAAGCCATCCCCATCAAACTCCCAAAAACCGAACCCCCATGCGCCCAATTCAAATTCCCTTCACTCCGATCCCTACGCCCATTCTTGCCCTCAACCCTAAACCCTAACCCCTCAACCCCTCAACCCCTCAACCCCTCAACCCCTCAACCCCTCAACCCCTCAACCCCTCAACCCCTCAACCCCTCAACCCCTCAACCCCTCAACCCCTCAACCCCTCAACCCTCAACCCCCAACACCCCTCAACCCCTCAACCCCTCAACCCCTCACCCCCTCAACCCCTCAACCCCTCAACCCCTCAACCCCTCAACCCCTCAACCCCTCAACCCCTCAACCCCTCAACCCCTCAACCCCTCAACCCCTCAACCCCTCAACCCCTCAACCCCTCAACCCCTCAACCCCTCAACCCCTCAACGCCTCAACGCCTCAACCCCTCAACCCTCAACCCTAAACCCTAAACCCTAAACCCTAAACCCTAAACCCTAAACCTAAACCCTTCTTGGGCGCCAGGCTCGCGCTGCTCCTCCTCAGCCTCCTCCGCCTCCTTCTGCTCGCTCGCCGCGTCGTCCTCCGGCTTCCTCGGCGGGCTGGAAGGTGCGGCTCAAGCTTGAAATCGGTTTAGGGTTTAGGGTTTAGGGTTTAGCTAGGGTTTGGGGTTTAGGGTTTAGGGTGTAGGGCTTAGGGCAAAGGGCTTAGGGCTCAGGGCTCAGGGCTCAGGGCTGAGGGCTGAGGGCTTAGGGCTTAGACCTTAGGGCTTAGGGCTTGGGGCTTAGGGCTTAGGGCTTAGGGCTCAGGGCTTAGGGCTTCGGGCTTCGGGCTTCGGGCTTTTCGGCCTTCGGCCTTCGGCCTTCGGCCTTCGGCCTTCGGGCTTAGGGCTTAGGGCTTAGGGCTTAGGGCTTAGGGCTTAGGGTTTAGGGTTTAGGGTTTAGGGTTTCGGGTTTAGGGCTTAGGGGGCTTATCTTGGTCGCCCAGTAACCATCCTCTCATAAGGGTACCCTTTTTGTTGGTTGGCTTCTGTGTAAGGGCACCCAGAACCAAAAAAGGGGTAAAGGGTACCACTGGGCTACCAAGTTATGGGGTCTAGGTACCCACCAACCCGACAGCGGGGCTTTCCCCTCAACGGTGAACGGTTCAGGGTTCAGAACCCTAAGCCCCAAACCCTGAGCCCTAAAGCCCAAACCCCAAACCCTAAACTAAACCCCCTACACTACGAGCCCAAAGTGTCTAGGGCCTCAGGGATTTCGGGGCTTCGGGGGCTTTAGAGGGCAGACAGGGCACAGAAAGGCTTCTAGGGGGAGGAAGCATCTGTTCTGCGGTCGGCACTAAACCCTAAACCCCTGGACCCCGAGTCGGTTTGGGGGGCTCCCTACAAAGCAACACAAAAAAACACCCTAAAAATACCGAAGTTCGACTGAGGCTTCCGTTTTGTTTAAGGCGTTTAAGGGGGTGGGGAGTCCTGGGCCCCGGAAGTCCCCCCAGGCACCCGATTTTAGAGTTTGAAGTTTAGGGTTCGGGTTTAGGATTTAGGGTTTGGAGGGCGTGCGCTACATAGCACCTCCCCCATGCCCTTTTTGACCCGACCTTGGGGCCGAAGCAAACCCCAATCAAAGGGTTTACGGTTCGTGTACCTTATAACAGCATTCTAGCCGTACAGGGTATATCACCCCGATTTTAGGGTTCATTTGGTCCGCAATGGGAAGCCCCCCCCACACACCCGAAACCCCCAAACCCTGCGCGCCCATCAACCTCAACTCCCTGAAACGTCACAGAGGCACCCTTCATCCTACCTGGAGGTTCATGGGTGAGTCTAGGTAGGGCAATAAATACCGGCTACAAAGCATACAGTTGCGTTATTTAGAACCCCCCCACGTGTACCTCGCGACTAGTCTGGGTCCTAGTAGCATAAGGGGGAACATCCCAACCTGAACCCCTTTAAACCCTACCCCTCAACCCTAAACCCTAACCCCTAAACCCTAAACCCTGAAACCCTAAACCCCTGAACCCTAAACCCTAAACCCTAAACCCCAACATTCTTGCGTCCCCGAGGCCCGAAGAAGGGCTTTGGTGCCGCGGCACGCCTAGCACGCCAGTCCTGCGAGAGCTTGGGCTTTAGGGTTTGGGGTTTAGGGTTCAGGGTTTAGGGTTTTAGGGTTTACGGGCAGGGTTTAGGGTTTGGAGTTGGGATGTTTAGGGCTTGATTGGGGTTTTGGGCTCGGCCCGCACGGGTTGGGGCTGTAGAGTTGATGGGGTTTAAGGTCTATATGGGGTTTGGGGTCATTTTCTGGTTTGCTTTGGGTTTCGAATTTACGGCTTGTGGGTTGGGGGCGCTAAGGTTCTGGATTTTTGGCTGTGATTAGAGCTCAGGATTCGAGCGGCCATGGCTTTACACTTTAGGGGTTCATAGGGTTCATAGGGTTTACAGGGGTTGAAGGATTTCTTGGCTTGCTCGGTTTATAGGGTTTGTAGTGTTTACAGGGTTTGTAGGGTTTAAAGGGTTTTGGGTTCTGGGGGAACAGTATACTTAGGGGTTAGGGGAACCTCCAAACCCAGAAACCCCCCCCCCCTCCTCCCCCCAAAAAAAACATTGGGGCTCTAACCATGCTTGTCGTCCTGCCCTAAACCCTCACAACCCGAAACCCTAAACCCTCAACCCGAAACCCTCAACCCTACACTGCCCGCCGGTCCAGAGACAAGGGGTCGAAGCCTGGGCGAGGGTGGACGTAAGCACTTGCAGGGTTTCGGGTGTAACATAGGGGCCTTAATAATTAGAACGGGGTTTTGTGGGCTATTGGAGTATAATTCTAAAGCGACCATATGGGAATACTACAAGTATTAGTAATTCGTCCCACCCCTATATTCGGCGTTCTGGCGTTCAAGGGCTCGAGGGTGATAAGGTTCAGGGAGGCTTGGGGGTCAATAGACTCCCTACACCCACAAACACCCCACAGCGCGCAGGATTCTGGCGCTTTAGGGCATTTCAGGCCTACCAGCAGCTTGTAAGCTTTCTGCAAGTGTCGAACCCCAAGCGCCGGATGCTTAACACCCTAAACCCTAAACCCTAAACTCTAAACCCTAAACCCTAAACCCTAAACCCAGACCTCTGAAGTGGGCGTGCACGGGCCCTTTCTTTCTAATAGGGCTCGTGGGAGATGCGTTCTCTTGCACCGAATTCTGGGCCATCCATGATGCAGACACCAGTCCCCACGCAGGTCCCTAGCTCACCACTTCGTCATTTAGAGTCAGTCCATGTATTTCACCCCTGTACTGCTTAGACCAGAGATCATGGGCCTGGATCTCTCATGGAGCCCAGCATGTACGCCATGCAGCCGATACACAAGATTTCAGCTTCCGCGGTTTGCATCCATCAGCATATCAAACCATCTTGGGAGCTCATCGAATTTTGATCTAAGCTTGGCTGCAAGAAGCGTTTCTGCCATCCGAATGGGAATGAACTCAGGCACCGGCACCTTTGACACTCAACATGTCTTTGATGGCTTGTGCGGCCTCCGTCTTCGTTTCACTAGCTTCCTCGGTGGCCGACAACTCGCCATCATGTGCAGGGTTGTTGGGCTCATCGTCCCAATCGTCTTTGGGGATTACCAGGTAGCCGTCTTCCTCCCACCCCCACCAATACATGGCAGCCTCCTCCGGCTGGCCATGCTGCTGCTCATACATTGTGCCTTGCACTGCGGCCGACGTCCCTTCAACATGGTCGTCATTAGCATCGGCATCACCTCGGTACACAGATTCCGAATCCTCAACATGGTGGCCTTCCTCCTGGGACGCGGCGTCGCCCGGTGATTCATCTGCACTACCCTCACTTCCATGCCAGTAGTGAGGTCCGACATCGCAGTACTCTGCATGCCAGAAATCTTCGCTCTCTTCTTCGTCGCTTTGCTCGGATGTGGATGGATTTTGATGCAAGCCCATGCCATGGAATGATGACCAGGCACATTCATCACAAGAGTCACTGCGACATTCTAGGCAGTGGTAGCGCACAACACAAGCGGCTTTGCTTTCCTCGCATCCTGTGCAGAACCAGATCCTCGTGCTTGTGTGCATAATGCGCATCACGCGTCCGCACTGGCACTGGGGAAGGCCATCTTCGCTGCCTGACATGGCGCTCATCGCAAAGCAGGCTGGCCACTGCGTCTTCTGCGCGGTTGCCGCCAAGCTCTTCGATGTCTCTACTGCCGATCTTCTGAGCCGAGGTTTCCCGTTCTCTTCAACTCCCTCCCACCCCTACCCTGGCTAAGATGGCCCTTAACAACCCTCTGAGTAAAATATTGTTGAAATATGATCCGCTTAAACCCACTAAGGGAAAATATGAAATGTCCCAAGGGCCTACCGAGCTGGGCCTTTGGGGTTTGTGTTGGGGGGGCTTTGGGGGGTTTAGGGGTTTGGGGCCCTACCATAAGAACAAGAAACCTTCTGCGTAAGAATCCGACAAGGAGTTTCATACGAAGCACCTTCAAAAAGGTACGAGTAGGTTTGGGGCTCTAAACCCTCACGCCTGAGCCGCCATACAAAGTCATCCGGGCACCCCGGCGCTCGAGGCAGCGCACCTTCTCCTGACAGGCAGCTGCGGCAGCTTAGGAGTTAGGCCGTTCTGTTTCGGGTTTGGGGTTTCGGGCTTAGGATTTAGGGTTTAGGGCCTAGAGTCTAGGGCTTCGGATGTGGGGTGGGCGTTAGTGATAATTAAGGCTTACGGGGCATATAGGGGACCCTCGATTACTTCAATTTGCGGGGTTTCTTTGCCCTAGAGCTAAGCGACTAACCGCGACTCAACCTTGAAAGAATCTCGACCCTCAAGGGCTCTTCAAGCCCCCCGAATCCGCCCTAGGGGTTTTAGGGCTTCAGGTGTTTGATGGCCCTTCCTAAACCTAAACCCTAAACCCTAAACCCCAAACCCTAAACCCCAAACCCTAAAACCTAAACCCTAAACGCAACCAACCTGAAATCTCACATTGCATTCCCAAAACGGTCTAACGACACCTTGCACCCAACAGACGGCAGCTGCTGGGGACTCCTCGAAATCGTCCCCCTTTGTTGTCAGCCTCTGACCTCAGAAATTCAAGGAACTTAGGGTTAGGGTTTAGGGTTTCGGGCAAAACCAGTGAGGCCCTGAACTCCATGAGCCCTTACAACCCCGAGCGCTGCCCTGAAAAACCTAAACACGACCCCTCAGACAGGCACGTCCAGCAAACCCCAGACAAAGACGCCCTTGACACCTCTCCAAAAACCCTCCTCAAAATACCTCACCCCCAGCCCCCCCCCCCCCTCCCCACCCTCTCCCACCTCATTTCGGTTTTCCTAGCAGGCCCACAGAATTGACAACTCTTTGACTGGTACCGTGAAAGTTTCGGGTTCAGGGTTTGGCGGTGCAAACCCTAAACTACCCAAACTTCCTAAACTTCCTAAACTTCCTTCACCCTAAACTCCCAGAAACCCTCCTTTGAGGCTGGTGTGTTGGGGAGGGGAAGGGAGGCCTTCAGGATTCCCTGAGACCGGGTTTAGGGTTGAGGGCTTCAGATTTCAGGGGTTCCCTGAACGAATCCTCTCAGAACCTGCGCAAACCGTAGCGGGTCTTGGGCTTAGGGTTTAGGGTTTAGGGTTTCGGGTTTAGGGTTTAGGGTTTAGGGCTTAGGGTTCAGGGTTCAGGGTTTAGGGTTTAGGGTTTAGGGCTTAGGGTTTAGGGTTTCTCTGAAGGTCAAGCCGATCCAACAGCCTGGGAGACCAGGAGTCCCAGGCATCGAATGGCGGCCGCCGTGATCTGTTTCCTGGGAAGGAATATTGCTTAGGGTTTAGGGTTTAGGGTTTAAGGTTAGGGGGTATTGTTTAGGGTTTAGGGTGCCTTTTCTTTACTATTTGCTTCAGAACCGCCCCCTCCCAAAAAAAAATCCCTCTCTTGCCCTTCTAAGGAAGATTCGTACTAGCTCTGTCTCTTTTTGTTTGGGGGGGGGGGGGGTTCTTAAGGTAGCAGTAGCAGGAGTGGGAGTAAGCCTCAGCTAAGGGCTTGGGGTTTTCGGGCTGTACCGGGTTTTAGGATTTGGGGGCTTAGGGCTTTTGTTTGGGCATCTTGGGGTTCAGCGGACTTAGCAATTTGGGGTTGAGGGGTTTAGGGGTTTAGGGGTTTAGGGTTTAGGGGGGTTTAGGGGTTTTAGGGCTTGGGGTTTACAGTGTTTCGGGTAAAGGGGTGGAGTATTTCAAGGCTGTTGTTGACGTTGGGGGCTGGGCTCTACCTTTGGCGGATGGCCTGCTTGGAGGACGGGGTCGATTTTGCAGTAGGGTTTAGGGTTTTGGCCTGAGGGTTTAGGGCGTGAAGGGAGGGTTTGTGAGTTCTTTTGCGTCTTGATCCTCACCCGTCCCCCACGCGGTTGCCGATAGTTCTATGAGCCCGACACAGCCCTAAACAGCTCAGGAATTCCCTACAGAACTCCATATATAACACTCGCAGAAATCGAAGTCATTTTGAAACCCTAAACCCCAAACCCCAAACCCCTAGGCCCTGTAAGGGCCCCCAATATAACATGTATAATATAATAATAATATATATATATATATGTAATATGTGTACGCATATATATATATATGTACATATATGTACATATATGTACATATATTATGTACATATATGTACATATATGTATATATATATACATATTTTTGTTCAGGTTGGAACCATGGGCCCGTAGCAAGGTCCCTATCCGAAGCATGGGCCCTAATTCTACAGTGTATACAAGGGTTCTGTATGGGAACCCCTTTAAGACCCAAGCATATACAATAAAGCTACACGGACCCTAAGCGCGGTAGTTCTTCAGTGTCGATTTAGGGGATAGAATTTATGAGGTATCTTATCTTTGGGGGTTCTTAAGCAAATAATCCTTTAAAGGGTATATATAGGGGGATATAAGGTGCCTTCTCTATAAGGGCAATATAAGGGTTATTATCTTTTGCTTCTTGGGGGGGACTCTTATCCTAATGGGCCCTCAAAACCATTGAGACCCCAGAACCCTCCTTAGGAGGGACCGGTCCCTCTGTAGGGAGCCTTACTTGGAGGTTCATGGGTGGTTACAAGTGGGGTTATAAGTTAAGGCAACTATAGGTATAACGGAAACCTTACTTAGGGTACTTACAACATCTTACAACCCTGCTAAAAGCGACCCATGAACCTCCAAGCAGCCCAAAACCCTAAACTCAGGGCCTAGGCCGCCCCCCTACAGAAGGCAACCGGCGCTTAAGCCCTTCGCGAAAGTCGACCCAGGTCGCTTGCCCGCCTCCTGCAGCCCGGAGGTCGGTAGCACCCACGATGGGCCAAACCCTCTAAAACCTCTCCTTTTCTATGCAGCTGAGGACCTAGCCTCAAACCTTTCCCTTGGCTGAAAGTGGCCATCGGTGACGGAAAGGTCTTTTTTTGAAAGTAAGCGATTGTCATGAGTTTAGGCCTAAACCCTAAAAGGAGTAGTTTTGGGTGGTTTTGCCGCCTCGGACGGCGTGGGGTGGGAGACAAGTATTAGATGGCCCTCCACAATCGGGCCAGAACTGCTCTTCGCACCTGACGAGGCATTCGAGCCGCTGCTGCATCCAAACCTTCACAGCATCTACGCCCTATCACAGCAAACCCTAAACCCTAAATTTAAACCCTAAACCCTAAACCCTAAACCTTGCAAGGTAAGCAAAATAGTAGGCAAGACCAAGGCTGCGGCCCCATCCGCGCCTCTTTGGGCCCGCAAAGGAGCGTCAGGACCTGAGCCAGTTCTGAGGGTTTTGGGGGGGGGGGTTTAGGGGGGGTTTAGGGGGGGTTTAAGGGGGTTTAGGGGGTTTAGGGTTTAGGGTTTTGGGGTTTAGCGTTTAGGGCTTCTGGGGGCTTAGGGGTTTAGGGGGTTTAGGGGTTGAGGAATTTGGGGTTTAGGGGGGGTGTGGTGTGGGTTGAGGTACCCGTTTGCACTGCCATGGATGTACTTTAGCCCTTTGGCAAAGTTCGGGTGGAATGCGCCTTGATAGGCCTCAGCATCCCACACCCTAAACCCTCAACTCAAAAACGCATGGTGGAATTCGGGGTCGGGATCAGGAGTCCGCAGGTTTACAGAAAGGAAGGCGCCGGGCGCTTGTCCGCAGGATGTGGTTTGTTTGGGCATGACATGGGGACACGGGAAGTTCTCTACGAGACATCAGTGCCGTACTATAGAGGGGAATCTAGCGGGAACACCTTAGCAGGTGGAGGGTTTCGGAGTTTGGGGGTGTGCGGGTTCAGGGCTTTGGGGGTTTGGGATTTAGGGGTCTAGAGTCTAGACGGTTTAGAGATGTCGGGTTCAGGGGTTCAGGGCTTTTGGGGGCTTGAGGAGCTTGGGGTGTGGGGGAGTTCAGGTTTAGTGAAGCACATATGTGACAGGTTTCCCGGCGCTGCCACCTTTGTCCGCGCGCGCCGTTCTGCCAACCTCTGGGGGGGGTAGGGGTCGAGGGGTTTAGGTTTTGGATTTGGGGTTTGGGGCTTCAAATATATAACTTGCAACACAAGATGCCCTAAAACCAAAACTATCTTCGGCCTTCAAATGCTCGAAACCCGAATTGCGCCAAACCCCTCAAGAATACCGCCCCCTAAAACCACTCCATTCTTTCCGGAAAGCATCCTGAAAATCCCTGACAGACTGTGTACTCAGAACAGCCAACCCTGAACCCCAAACCCGAAAACATCCCTAGCAGACGTTGTTTAGGATACGGGGCCTTAGAGGGGCATGTCACTCCTTCAAGTACTCAGCGCTGGGGTTGCGGCCCTGCGGAGATACTCGGTGGCATCCCGTGGCCAGTCCAACAAAACCACCTAGGGCTCCGACGGCTTTGGCTCAGGGTTTCCTAGGCCCTACACCATCAACCCTCAGCCCTACACCCTAAACCCCAAGTTTTGCCGCAAAAGCTCTATGATACAAGTCTGAACCTCACGAGGTCCCCAGGCCTGGAAACCCCAAAACTCCAAGTTGATCCCTACACCCTAAACCACAAAAACTCCCGAAACACGCCAGCCCCCCCTGCAGTCTGGGGACTAGGCCCCCTCTGGGTTTAACCCTAAACCCTAAACCCTAAACCCTTAACCCTTAAGATCTGTTAGGGTCCCGCGGCTCCCCAAGCAAAGCGCCCGGCCCACTTCACCGGATTGCTCCCGAAGTCCATCCCGCGGGAAAGGCGGTCCTGGCAGGGTTTGGGCTTTAGGATTTAGGCTTTGGGTTTTAGGGTTTAGGGTTTAGGGTTTAGGCTTTAGGCTTTAGGCTTTAGGGTTTAGGGTTTAGGAGGGACCGGGGGGTGTGAAATCTCTCAGGGTTAATAAGGGTCGGATCGATTCTTGGTGGCTTCCTGCTTCTTAACTTGAACCTTCTTCAACCCTAAGCCCTCAGCCCTAAGCCCTAAACCCAAACCCTAAACCCTAAACCCTAAACCCTAAGCCCTAAATTCGGGTTTTGGGTCGAGGGTTGATAGGTCGAGGGTTGCTTCCCGGGCCCCAGGCCGTGCAGATCAGAAGGCGGCGCTTGAAGAAGTCGGCGGCGGGGACCTGCCCAGGGGCTCAACAGCCGGCAAAGCTCTATGCAGGGCTTAGGGTTTAGGGTCTACTGTAGGGTTTAGGGTTTAGGGTTTGGGGTTTGGGGTTTAGGGTTTAGGGTTTAGGGTTTAGCGTTTAGGGTTTAGGGTTCACGAGGCCAGGGGGTCTCTTGTGATTGTGAGCGAAGGCAGACTCCTTCATGGGCATCTGAGACTACCCTGGGTTACAGCTTAGGTTGCTGAGACAGCTTTGTCTGCTGGGCGGGCCCTCCGAAACATCCTCAAGACGTCCCTAAACCCTAAACACTACACCCAAAACCCTCAACCCCTCCCACTAGGCCGGCGCCGCCTTTTCCGAGCTGAACAGCTTCATGTTCTCCTGGTATTCCTTCCAACGTTCTTCACCAGAGTTTAGGGTTTAGGGTTTTGTGGGCTGCTGTTGCAATACAGCCCGGTTCAGAACAACCCCCGGCGCAGCAAAAGCACCAAAGTTCATCTTGCTTGTGAGCGGTCAGTCACCTTCTACGGGGTGAAGGGCAGGTTTTAGGTCCCAACGTTACGCATCCGGACGAGCCAGGCCTACCAGCATGGGCTATAGGCCTTATAATCCCCCTAACCAACCCTACAAAGGGCCTTGTTAACGGGCTATAGTGTATCATAGCCCATGTAGGTATGTTAGAGTTTGGCAGGTTCTGCCTTGGGTTTGGCTTGGGGCGACGGCCGTCCTGCTTGCTGCGGAGCCCGTGGAGGACGAGGAGCTGCCAGCCAGGGGTTTGAGAGCTTGGTTCGTAGGTCTTGAACTAGCTCGTTTCTTTCTGATTGCTTTTGGGGGGAGGGAGGGAGGTAGGGGGAGAGAGAGGGAGGGGTTTATCAGGTTTGGGGTTAGGCTCTATGAGGGCCAGGGTATAAGGTTCTGAGTCAACCGCAGAGCTGAGACCAATGCAGCTTCTGGGGCTCGTTTTTGGTTTACAGTTTGGGGTTCAAGGTTTGAGGTTTTTGGGCTCAGGGTTTTACGCGTCGGCTTCCCCAACCCCTAACCCTAAAGAGCACCTTCCACTGCTTCTCACCGCTGCGCTCATCATCGGGATTGATCCTTTCCAGCCTGGTGCAGGAGTTTAGGGTTCAGGGTTTAGGGTTTAGGGCTTAGGGTTTAGGGTTTAGGGTTTAGGATTTAGGGTTTAGGGTTTAGTAAGGGAAGCCATGGGACATCCCAAGGTCCTACCTGGACCACCTGTGGTCTATCAGTCATATAGGATCCACATGTGGAGGCGTTGGGGTCACCAAACATACGCCCTACAATCCTAAACCCCCAATATGGGGCCTGAATGATTCGATTTTTTTTTTTTTTTTGGGGGGGGAGGGGGGGGGTGGGGGGGGGGGGGGGGGGGGGGGGGGGGGGGGAGGGGGGGGGGGGTGGTGGGGGGGGGGGTGGGGGGGGGGGGTGGGGGGGGGGGGTGGGGGGGGGGGGGGGTGGGGGGGGGGGGGGGGGCGCTTTTAGGGACCACAAGGGAATACACTTAGTAATGATTCTGACCCCTATACACACTGGAGGGCATCCTGTAACCGAGCTCGCGGCCACTCGAGAGCTCGGGTGCAGTTGTCAATGGTGTTGCAGAAGATCATGACCTAAAAGGGTTTAGGGTTTAGGGTTTAGGGTTTAAGGTTTAGGGTTTAGGGTTTAGGGTTTAGGGTTTAGGGTTTAGGGTTTAGGGTTTAGGGTTTCTCACATGATTAGCTACATGGCGTTCCAACGCGAGCTACTTCGGCATACTGCTCGAACTCCACAGGAGTACAGAGCCGACCGCATCATCAGAGGGCCCGGAAAGTTTCCTCAACCCTAAACCCTAAACCCTAAACCCTTAACTCTAAACCCTAAACCCTAAACCCTAAACCCTAAACCCTTAACTCTAAACCCTAAACCCTAAACCCTAAACCCTAAACCCTGGCATCCTGTTCGAGCCCTACTGCGGCGACCTTGCTCTCAGGCTCCCCCACGCTTGTGATCCCACCCCAACTGCCCTTTCATAAGTTATCGGGCCCTTAAGGGAACGGAAGGTTCATTGGGGGGTCGGTACCTCGGGAACCTTAGGGAAGCTCAGGGAGCCTTAGGGAGTAGTGGGGAGGATTAAGGAATCTTGGCATTGCCCCCCCTCCCTTAAGGACCTTATAAACAAGCCTCCTGTGGGCCTTGTTTTGGATAGTTTGAAACTCAGGTGGCAGGTAGTTTAGGATCCCTCGAAACGAATGCATAACCCGACGCCCTGAAACCGCCAAATCCTAGGACCCTAAAACTTTAGGACTCAGGTTTAAGACTTAGGGTTTAGGGTTTCGGGTTTAGGGTCCATTCGCAAAACCCTAGCATTCATGAAATAAAACCCAGAAGACCCTTTCGGAGCCGCCCCCCAAAAAAATTGAAGGGCGCCGGAGTCCCCCGACGCGGTTGTCGCTTTCGTCGCGGAGGACCCCCTTCTCCAGGTGCCAGGCCTTTTGGCAACAGGAACCCTAAGCCCTGAACCCTAAACCCCAAACCCTAAACCTCTAGGGCTTAGATGGGCTTAGGTCCAAAGCCTCAGTTCCCCCTAAATGACTCGAAGATTCTGCCCCAAAGCCCTAAACCCCAAGGGTTTAGGGTTGAGGGAGGGTTTAGGGTTTGGGGTTCCCGTAACCACTTCCGTACTTGGAGCGACTGAGGTCGTAAAGACGGGAAGCCCAAACCTCAAACCCTAAACCCATTTCTGCACATACAACGAGACCCCGGCCAGCGCGCTAAGCTTGGATTTCATCACCGCGTCCAGGCGCTGCCTGGTGAGAGCTGGTGGGGTCGCGGCATTAGGGTTCGGGGTTTGGGGTTTAGGTTTGGGGTTTGGGGTTTGGGGTTTAGGGTTTAAGGTTTGGTCTTCCAGGGAGCCCAATACCGCTTTGGTTCAGGACTCTATACCCCTGGAGTCCACAACCAAAAGCCTGACGGTGCTACGCAAGCTAAGGCATATTTTCTAAACCCTCAACGCTAAGCCCTCAACCCTAACCATTGCAATGAGGGGTGGCTGTGCTCCGCCACATTGTGGAGGTCTAGGGCTTTTGGGTTTAGGGTTTAGGGTTTAGGGCTTTAGGCTTTAGGGTTGAGGGTTTAGGGTTGAGGGTTGAGGGTTGAGGGTTGAGGGTTTAGGGTTTAGGGCTTCAGGGTTCAGGGTTCGGGGTTCAGGGTTTAGGGTTTAGGGTTTAGGGTTTAGGGTTTAGGGTTTAGGGGTCTTGGGATCAGGGTTTCGGGGGCTTGGGATCCAGGCCTTTGTGGGGTGTTGTACGTGAAATTTGAGGGTACCACCATTCATGCTCCCCCTGGGCTGCCAACTGATCCAGTTGCAATAGTCAGATGGTGTGGCGAAGTCACATGGCCAAGCGGCCAGTTCGGAAGTTCGTACAACCGTCTGGGGGTGCAGTCGATCAGGACGTGCTCACCTGACATGTTTGGGGTTTAGGGTTTAGGGTTTAGGGATTAGGGTTTAGGGTTTAGGGTTTCGGGATTAGGGCTTTGCATGCCAGAAAGATTCATTCAAGACCTAGATGCTCTCGTAGCCACGGGCAGTAGCCGGAAACATCAGGGTTTGGACAATGTAGTAGCTTTGAGGATTCTTCTTAACTGCAGGTTGGTACTCACTTGACACCCTGACTCAACATTAGGAGAATAGTTGGTGGGGAGCCAAGCCTTGAACCTTGTTCAAGCCTTAAACCCGACACCACGATCCCAGGTGCCTTTTCTCTCAGGACTACAGTGCGGGTATTTTCCTTCTCCATTTACCTGCTGCCTGGCTGGCTTGAACCCGCTTTCTCGCAGACAAGCACGCACACTTCAAGCGACGCAGAAAGCATGGCGAGCAATATTCCCCATGCTAGTCCTAGACCCTACGAACCTAAACCCCCCAAAACCCTAAACTTTAAGCCCCCTGAAGCCGCAAGCCCCCAGCTTCCCTAAACCTCTCCAGGGCGCAGGCAGTTCACTGGCACGCGGTGGAGCCCAGGGCCTGATTGCGCAGCAAGCAGGTTCAGGGGCTCAGGGGCTTCGGGGCTTTGGGGGCTGAAGGCTTAGGGGCTTTGCGGTTGAGGGGTTCAGGATGTGAGGGGGTTGAGTAGGAGTTGAGAGGATTAGGGGCTGAGGGGCATGGAGGTGATCGGTGTTTAGGGTGTTGGGGTTTAAGGGAGTTTACGGGTCTTGGGGCGCTTTAGGGTTTAGGCTTTTGGGTTAAGGGTTTAGGGTTAAGGGTTTAGAGTTAAGGGTTGAAAGTTTAGGGTTTAACAAAAATGTTGGTGGCTTGTTGGGCTCCAGTGTGCCTTACTGCAATGGAGAAGCCCTCAAAAACTCGTACGAAACACAGACGAGGAGCTCTCGTGATCAAAATGCAACATGGTGGCTTCCGAACTTCGGAGTACCTTTGTTGGGGTCCTCATTATATAAGGGAATCCCCCCAAATACGACCTGGTTCAGAATTTTGGGGCTTCCTACCTGCACCTCAAAACCCCAAAACTGTCAACCTCGATAAGCCCTAAACCCCCAAAAAGTGACCCTAAACCCTAAACCCTAAACCCCTAAACCCTAAACCCTAAACCCTAAACTAACCACCCCTGAACCCTAGATGAGCGGAGCCTCGGGTCCACACGACCTGGCCGTCCTTCCTTGCGCGGGGTGCTCACTGTGCTCACAAATAAGCAGAACATGCCTGTTGCTACTTACCTGCTACTTGCCCTGCACAGCTAAAGAACCTAACAGGGTGGAGTGCTTAGGGCTACGAAGTAGCGCAAAGCTACCAGCATCTGTCGTCATTTTCGGCGCCGGGAGCAGTTCCGGCAACACCCAGTTGCTTCAGCGTGTGGTTAGGATATGACCCAGTGTCATGTATAGAAGTTAGTGTAGTCGTGTAAGCGTGGATAGTATACAGATACACGTCAAAGGTGAAGTGTCTTTGGCTTCTTGACATCTTGTTGATAGGGCGCAGCCTACCAGACATTCAAAGCCTACTAAGCCAATTTTGTGGAAGAGGCAGCCAGTATGCAGTCGTTGTCACACATGATGCAGTGGGATCGTAGTGGGCACAGTCTGAAGCACCTGTGTTGTCTGGGGGCTGAGAGCTTTGGATTTCTAAAGCTGATGGCACCATACACCTTATAAGTAGGCAAGGGCCTATCTAGCGAATCTCGGGGCTTTCCATCATCGGTTACTGTATCTTCAGGGCCCGCACATTTGGCTGAGTCCCACACCCGCTTCGGCCTAAGGGGGCTTCATTGTAACCAGGGGCCGCTGCGGACTTTTTGGGGTTTTGGGGAATTCCCGACTTCCCTACAAGGTTTGGGACATGGGGCATCCTCTAACCCCGAAAATCCCAGAACAAATCCCAAAAGTACCAAAGCCCCCGAACCTGAATACTAGCACCTGCACCCCAGCAGCCCTAAGCCCAGACCTAACGCAACGCCCGGGCGCGTCCTCAGGCCCATATCATTGGCCTCCATCTGCAACTGGCCCTGAGCCCGAGCCCCGCAGGAGGGTCCAGGGTAAGTGATGCATAGGGCTCCCGGCTTTAGGAGATTAGCTTCGCTGGGTTGAGGATAAACGCAGATGCGGGAAAATGCCACCAGGAGACACCCTAAGCCCCCCCACATGGCCAGCTGCTTAGATCCTGGTCCTTTTTGGGGCAAACCCTAAGCCCTAAACGCCCTGAACCCTGAACCTTAAACCCTAAACCCTAAACCCTAACCGACATGAAAGCACCATTGCACCCCGTACGCCCCCGCGAAGACCCATGCTTTGGAGAACCCAGCCAAGTCCCAGCCTTCAGCATCCGAATCTCCTTCTTGGCCGCCTGGTCGCACCCCAGATTCTAAACCCTCGAATTTAGGGTTTAGGGTTTAGGGTTTAGGGTTTAGGGTTTAGGGTTTAGGGTTTAGGGTTTAGGGTTTAGGGTTTAGGGTTTAGGGTTTAGGGGACCTAAACCCCTACACCCCGAACCCCCTGGCCCTAGCTCAACCCCAAAGCCCCCCAACGCCCCTCTGACGCCCCCGGAAGCCCGCTGAAGCCCCTCAATGCCCGGCTCCCTACTATGTAAGCAACCCTAAACCCTAAACCCTAAACCCTAAACCCTAAACTCAAAACTTCAAGCCAAAGCCCGGGCTTTGGCGCCAAGACCTTCCCGTTTGTCGGGCTCAAGAGGGCTTAGGGTGGGAGCCGCCAAGGCCGATAACGGGTTTGCATGAGTCGGGCAGGGTTTCGGGTTTAGGCTTGAGAGTCTCTGGTGTAGACTTTAGGAGGGGGAGGGGTGGGTTCTGAAGGTATGAACACCATCGAAGAAGGCCTATACTAGAAGGATTTTAAGCTTCGAAGGCATAGTTAAAAGCACCTAAGGAGGCGTAACACAAGACTTCGTTTAGGCTTCTAGGATTCTTCGGGCGTTGGGACCGGCATCCTCGACAGGAAATAGGGCCAAAGAAGCCCAAGAGACGCATAGACTGCGACGAAAGCTATGTCCAAGCAAGGGCGTATGAGTTGCGGTTTGGGGTTTAGGTCTAGGTCTTGGAGTTTAGGGTTGGGTGTTTAGGTCTTAGGGTTAAGGGTCAAGGGCTTAGGGTTTAGAATGTAGGGTTCAGGGTTCAAGGGGGCACCCACCCTGAAGGTGAAGGAGGCTCTACATCCAAACCCTTAAGCAAAAGAGCGGGCTCAGGGCTCCCTTAGTCAAGCCCGAAAGTGAAACACTCAAACACCCAAAACACCCAAGAGATCGTTTAGGGCCTAGTGTCTAAGGTTTAGAGCTTTCCTGTATATCTTTTGGGGTAAAGGTTTCGGGCTTGAGGGCTCCAAAAACGATGGAGGTTCCCTAAGCCCTAAACCCTAAACCCTAAACCCTAAACCCTAAACCCTAACCCTAAACCCTAAACCCTAAACCCCTGTGGGCTTGCCTCCGACACTGTGGCGGTGACGAAGACCCACTGCAGGTCTGGCGGCAGCCTTTGGGGCATTGAAGTGGGCTTAGCGTTTAGGGTTCAACTGGGGTTTGGTTTAGGACCTCAGGGACTTAACGGTTGATGTTTAGGATTTCAGGCTTGTCAGGGGATGGTGGCTTTACTGGTGCGGGTGCGGGCTTAGGGTTTGAAATCGCCTGCTTTCTGTAGCTTATGAAGAGCACCGGGCGACGAGGCAGTACAGCCCTTCTTGAGCCCTCAAGCTGGATGCCTACAGGAGGCGACAGTTCCAACACTAAACCCTAAGCCCTGCAGTAACCGACAACCCTAAAAAACAAACGCCCCCACTCGACCACCCTCCCCCCCTTAAACCCTCTAAACCCTAAGCCTTCAGCCTTCAACCCTAGACCCGGTCTCCCTGACCCACCCCCCCCTCCCCCGAAACCCTACCTGGAGGTTCATAGGGACTTCTAAGTAGGACCCTTAGCAAGGTTATAGCCATAGTTGCCCTACTTCTAAGTACCCATGAACCGCCAACCTAAACTCCAAAGCCTAAACCCTGAGGCCATTCTTCGTCGCCATGAATAAGCCCCCTGGGCTCAAAGCTCTGCTTTAAGGTCAAACATCGGGTTCGGCGAGTCCTCGCCCACCAGCGTATCGACCTGCGCCCGGGACTTGGGGCTCCATCTGGGGGGGGTTTTCCGAAAACAGGGTTTAGGGTTTAGGGTTTAGGGATTGGGGTTTCGGGAGTTGGCTCGGGAGCCGTCCTTTGGGAAATGCCCGTTCGTGTTTTTTTGTTTTTTTTTTTTGGGGAGGGGGGGGGGGGGGGGACTGCGAACCCGGCCTTCAAGATTTGAGGAACTGTGGGGTTCGGTTCGGGTTTCAGGGTCTCACCCTCGACAGGCTCCCACAGCTCTCTTCGAATCTCCTGGGGGGTTTAGGGTCGAATGGGGCCCCTAAGAACATATCATATGCGGGTGTGAAATTTGGGGTGGAGCCTTTACTTTCTCTCTTCTTAGCGTTGCCACTCTTGTCATGTTCGAATTCTCATCATGATCAAACTATGGGAGGGTACTGAATCTTCTTACTACGCGGTGTCCTCAAGCAACGGATTTGTACCCTAAACCCTAAACCGTAAACCCTCCGGGTCCTCGTCAATGACCAAGGCTTTGACGTGCTGCCATGTCTCCTTCTGCACGACGTAGTCCTGGCCGGCTTCTGGCTCACGGTTTGGGGTGGGGTCTAGGGTTGAGGCTTTAGGGTTTAGGGTTTAGGGTTTAGGGTTGAGGGTTGAGGGTTGAGGGTTACCCCACAAACCCAGAGCAAGAACCCCAACAAACCTTGAAGCCCTAAACCCTAAAGGCCCTAAACCCTAAACCCTCAAGTTTCGGGGCTCAGGGAGCAACAAGAACAGCCCTCGGCTTGCTTTATGCGCGGTTTTCGGTTTAGGGTTTAGGGTTTAGGGTTTAGGGTTTAGGGTGTAGGGTTTAGGGTTTAGGGTTTTTAGGGTTCGGGGCTTGCAAACCTGTAGAGCCCCACCCCGCTCCCCCATCTGACCCCCAAATAACAACAGCCCCGATAAACCCTAGACCTTCTAAACCCCTATGCCACCCGCCCGAACCACCCCGAAGAAGCTAAGACCCAACCAGAGAGGACTTCACGGGAAGCCCTAAACCGGAAGGCCCGAGATGCCTGAAACCTAAAGCCCCCATTAAACCCCAAACCGCCCCCCAAAACCCGAAACCCCAAATCCTGAAACCCCGAAACCCTAAACAACGAAACCCCGAAACCCCAAGCCAAGCACCCCCAAAACCCAAACCCTGAAACCCTCAACGCCGAACCCGGAAACCCTAAACCCCTGAACCCCCAAACCTTGACGAGCCCGAAGCTCCCCCAACAAAAAGGCTCCGCCCTCCCGTTCTCGAGTTCTTAAGAGAGGGGGGCTCAAGGCGGGGTACGTAACCCTAACACTCCCCACTAATTGCGCCCCAAGGCTTAAACCCCCCCCTCCTGGCCTCCTCCATGAAAAACTTGAGGCGTCCGGGTGTGGCCTTGCGTGGCAAGGTGCGGTCTGGGGGCTTGAGGGTTACGGGTGTTTGGGGGTTTTGGGTTGCAGGGCTTTGGGGTTTTAGGTGCGGAGGGGTTTCGGGTTGTAGGGCTTTAGGGTTTTACGTGTTTAATTTAGGGTGTTTTTCAGGTGTTTATTAGGGTTCGGCGGTTTGGAGTTTCGGGGGCTCGCTAGTTTCAAAGGCCCAATTACAGCAGGACCACCCCCAAACAAAAAAAGCGACCACAATTGAGGAATTGCGCGGGGTTTAGGGGTTCGGGGTGAGGCTGAAGCAAGCTGTTTCTCAGGCACATCTGTCGCTGGCCTGCGGTCTGTGGCATGAGTCTCTTCCAGCGGCCGGGCACTAAAGCTCAGCCCCTACTCGCGAATTCTCAAGGTGCAGCACATCCGCACCTCACATTGAAAAGCTTAGTCGACCTCCTCCATCTTGGAAGCCTCGTCGGCCGCGCCCTCGACTTCCTCCAGCGGTGGGAGGTCGTCGTCATCGCCGAGTCCCTCGTCATCGTCGTCGATGCTGAGGCCGAGCTTGATCATGCGGTGGATGCGGCCGGCGAACTGGGTGGGCTCGTCCAGGTTAAAGCCGGAGGTGAGGAGCGAGGTGTCGAACAGCAGCCAGATGAGATCCTTGACGGTCTTGTCGGACTTGTCAGCGGCCGCCTTCTTCTTCAGCTCCGCCATGATGGAGTGCTTGGGGTTCACCTCCATGGTCTTCTTGGAGACCATGTAGGAAGTCATGGAGTTGTCGCGGAGGGCCTGCGCTTTCATAATTCGCTCCATGTTCGCCGACCAGCCATACTCGGAGGTGGTCAGCACGCAAGGGGAGTCAGCCATTCGCGAGCTAACGATGACTTTCTCCACCTTGTCAGCCAGCAAAAAACATAGAAAGCAAAGGAAATCAAAGAAAGCAAAGAAAGCAAGAAAGCAAAAAAAGAAAAGACATACTAGAATGAAACAACTAAAATAAACAAATGAAAGAAAAGAAATAAATAAAGAAAAAGGGAAGAAACGAAAAGTGCGAAACAAGAAAAAAACAAAATAGACCCAAAACAAGTACATCAGGAAAGTCATAAAGACAGAAAGAAAGACAGAAAGAAAGACAGAAAGAAAGACAGAAAGAAAGACAGAAAGAAAGACAGAAAGAAAGAAAGAAAAACATTAAGAACAAAAAAAAAAAGGAGGTGGTGGCAGCATGACGCGCCTTGTCCCCCAGCACCTCCTTCATCAGCTTCGTGAGAGGCTCGAACTCGGCCTTCATCTCCTCGAGCTTCTTCCTTGGAATTCAGGGGAGTTGCTGACACGTCACCTAAGCCGGCTTAAAAAGCAACCCACTTGCCGAAAACGACTGTTCCAGCAACACCACACGAGCTTGCACAGTGCGCCATGAGGACGATGCTTGCCTGCAATAGCGTGCGCCTCGTGCAATCTTCAGGTATGTTCCTCTGAGGTCTGCTGTAGTTGTAGATAGACATTTGCGACACTGTGCCTTCAGCAAAGAAGCCTGAATCTGTGCAAGCGCCAGTCAGCGCCCGATGAGCTGGTCATGTTCACAAGAGGAAGCTATTCATATTAGTGGCTCCCAAACCCCGCACCCACCCACAGGTCACCAGCCTTCGAGCGGCAGAAACTTGGGGAAACTTTGCTTCATGCCCGAGCTTCTTCTCGTCCTCGTCCTCGATGTCCAAGCCCTCCTTGGTGGTGCTCTTCAGCTTCTTCCCATCGAACTCCTTCAGCTGCTGCACGGAGTACTCGTCGATGGGGTCGATCCTGGGATGGCCCCCATGATAGCAAGCCCTCTAAGAAAGCTATTTCTGAGTATGACCCTCTTGAATCCAATTTTTAAGGGGATAGATATAGAAGGTCCCGAAAGGGCCTACTATAGGACACATGACCCTCTTAAGCCCAAGTTAAGGGGAAGATGTAGAAGATGACCCCAGAAGGGCCCTACCTAGGATACATGACCCTCTTCTTAAACCCAATAATAAGAGGAAATATCTTCAACGAATCTCTCCCAATAAGAACAAAAAATGCCCTAGCCGAGGATCATGACCCTCTTAAAACCCCACAAGATAAGAGGAAGAGATTTTCTCAAACCATCTCCCCAAAAAAAGGGGGCCCTAACCGAGGATCATGACCCTCTTAGCACCCAATAAGAAGGGGAAAATGTACTCAAACCATCTCCCCCAAATAGGGGGGCCCTAACCAAGGGTCATGTAGAGCACCTCGATGCCCTTCTTGCGGAGGGTCTCCAGGAAGGGCGAGGAGGAGACCGCGGCGATGCTCTCGCCGGTGATGTAGAAGATGTCATTCCTAAGGCTGGCCTCTATAAAAGCCCTCCGAAGAGAAGATTCCTAAACAAGATCCTCTCAAACCCTACAGGGCGGCATTCAACAGAAGCCCTCGGGAAAAACATGCCCCTAAATAAGATCCTCTTAAACCCTACAAGGGAACATGCAAAAAATTTCCCAAGGGCCCCTAGCAAGATTCTGGCCCTCCTTCATGCGGTCCACGTACTCCTTCAGGCTGATCTGCTCATCGCCCGACTTGGAGGTGTGGTAGCGAAGCAGCTCCGCAACCTTGGTGCGGTTGGTCGAGTCCTCGTGGACGCCCAGCTTCAGGCACTTGCCGAATTGCTCATAGAACTTCCTGAAATTGACTTTGGGGGTGGGGGGGGGGGGGAGGGCTCAAAGCAAATCGGTTGCGAATCCAGCTCCTTAACCTTTCAAATTAACCCCCTGAGGTCCCCCTCCTTGCTATGGGCTGTGCCTGTTTCTGGGCTACCATTGTGTGCTGCCACAGCACGGGGATGGTTTTCTTGTTATGCCCATGGTTGGTGATGGCCCCCGTTTCTGGCAGCTATGTGAGAGTCTCTGCTTCACGCCTGCATCCCCTGCTTCGTACCTGCATGAGGGATCCTGCCGGGGAACCGTTTTGAGTCTGTGAAGTGGCGGGTGCTCACTCAACCCCCGAAGCCCAGAAGGGAGCCATGTGCCGAGCATCTTGTAGTCGTCCTTCTTCTCAGCAATCTCTGCGAACATCTCGAGGCACTTCTTGACCAGGTTCTTCTTGATGACGCGCAGGATCTTGTTCTGCTGCAGGGTCTCGCGGGAGATGTTCAGAGGCAAATCCTCCGAATCCACCACGCCCTTCACGAAGTTCAGCCACTCGGGCATGAGCTCCTCGCAGTCGTCCATGATGAAGACTCTTCGCACGTAGAGCTTGATGTTGTTCCTCTTCAACAATCCCTAGCACTAGGCGCTAGTAATTCTTGGAAAGATGAGGGAGCCCTTTCTCCTTCTTGGGGTGCACAAGGGCACCTGACCCTCACCGAAATAGATTCCTTGAAAAACTACTGCTGTTGTTCCTCTTCTTCTTGGTCTCGAAGAGGTCGAAGGGAGCCCGGCGCGGCACAAACAGCAGCGCGCGGAACTCCAGCTGACCCTCCACGCTGAAGTGCTTCACGGCGAGGTGGTCCTGTCATGCGCATTGATGGGCGCCTCCCAGAGGTGTTTGTTGTAGGTTTGGGGTTTAAGGTTTAGGGTTTAGGGTTTAGGGTTGAGGGTTTAGGGTTTAGGGACCCAGAGGTGTTTTTTGTAGGTTTAGGGTTTAGGGTTTAGGGTTTAGGGTTTAGGGTTGAGGGTTTAGGGTTTAGGGACTCTCAGACGGTACCCGATCTATGATATTCCCTACATGACGCTGAAGCGGCAACAAGAAGAGACACAGAGCGAACACAAAGCAGTCTAAGCACAGACTAAGCACGACAAGTGTAAGTTACTCGACGTAAACCCTAAACCTTAAACCCTAAACCCTAAACCGGTGTAGACCCCAAGTGCCCAATGCAACACTGGGTGCTAGAGCTTGAACAGCTGAATCTTCTGGACGAAAACGATGTGTGTGAAGTTAGCTCGTGCCGATTCATTATGTTGGGGACGAGCAGAAACAGCTATCATTTCGATCAAGTGCGAAGAAACGCAGAAAAATCATTGAAAGGCCTAACGCGGCTCATGATAAAAAACAAAAGTGAAATCAAGACCCTAACTTCTCTTCAACGCGCACCGAGCCAGCGCGAGCTCGAGCAACAACAGTTGTGACAAGGCGAGATTCCCGGGGAACGGGACCTAGGAGAGAGCGCGACTTGCAGAAAGGCTTTGAGGGCGGCTCCCCGGAGACCGTGTGTGCAATGCTAGAAACCCAGAGTGCAAGAAGTGATTGGGAATTCTTGGGCACGGAGACATGCACGGAAAAATTGCGAGAGCTCATGTGGAAGACTTTGCCCCGACCTCCCAGTCGTTGGACAGGGACTTGTAGAAGGAGGCGTACTCCTCGTTCGTCACGTCCTCCGCTTCCAGGGTCACCGTACTGTATTGTACTTACATCGTCGTTCCCTGCGCTTTGGCACCAAACCCTCAACCCTCAATCCTTAAGCAACCTCCTACGGGCCGCGTGGCTTGCGAAACACCCTGTCCTCGGACTTGCGCATCCACAGGGGCTTGTTCCTCGGTCGCTGAAGTTAGCCGGAAAAATCCAGAACCCAAACTAAACCCGTAACCCTACGACCGAAACCCGGAACCTAACACCTCGTTTACCCTAAGCCGTGAAGCCCAGCTGCACTCCTAGGCTACCCACCACACTTTCAGGTGCATTCCCGAATTCCGGGGTGTTGATACCCTACAACCCTGAACCCTAAACCCTAAACACTGAAGCCTGAAGCCTAAACCCTGAACCCGACGAAAACCTCCAGAAACCCTCGGTCAAGGCTCTTGTTGAGCTGCTCCCACTCGTGCGAGACTTCCTTCACCTTCCTCATCAGACAAGGTTCGGCGTTAAGTCTGTGATATACGTTAAACAAAAATATAAACGTATCATGAAAAAGTGTATATATATATATATATATCGAAAACATATACATATGTATATATGGTCAGTGCTCTAAATTGTGGTCCTTCTGGGGTACCCTAAGTGAGAGGGCCACCTTAATCACGACCCCAACAGGGACAACATTTTAGAGAAGTGAACATATATATATATATATATTTACATTTATTTTTATTTATTATCAGGATATGCTAAATCCCCAAACCCAAGCCACATGTGTGTGTGGAGTTTATGGTTTCAGGTTGCAGGGTATAGGGTTTTAGTAGGTTAGGGAGTCGGATGTTGGCTTCAGGGCTTGGGGCTTGGGGCTTAGGGCAAAACCCGTCCAAGGAACTTAGTCTTCTTCTTCTTCTCCTCCTTCTCCTTCTCTTCGTCGACCTAGTCAGTGAGCATAGGGTTTGGGGTTAGTTCGCTTCAAGTATAGCCCGTGCCACACGAAAACGGCCTTTGGGCAAACCGAAAGATGGACGCCCCTACGGGGGCTGCACAGGTTTAAGGCATTTTGGCGGCTTGTTCGTGACACGCGTGGCTGGACGGCATGTTGGCTGGATTGGATCCCCAGGTTGGGGGCTTGGGCTGCTCGAGTTTATGTCTTCAGGCTTGGTTGTTAGGTCTTTCAAGCTTAGGGTTCAGGGCTTTAGACCTTGAGGCTTCTGGAGTTTAGGGCCGTATGCTTAGGAGGGTTGAGGGTAAAGGGTTGCCTCCCCCCTCTAAAACTGGGCAGGGGAGTCGCACAGCGCACAATCATGTATACAAAAAGCATACGTGCCCTGAACCTTGGGAAGTGCTTAGCAGTTTAGCAACCACTTCCTATCAGAGCAAAACCTCAGGTTCCGAGAGGAAACAAAGCCATAAGGTCAGGCCCTGAGCATAACAGGATGTCGGACCGACACTGCAAAACGAACAGCAGAATGCAAACAAACAGACAAACAAAACAAAGAAGCAAGACAAACAAACAAAGCAAAACAAACAAAAACACAAACAAAAATGCTGGTCTCGGCAAAGGCCATGCCGACAGACGGAGTATGTGGAAGAGCGCGCCCGCCGTGCCCCCGCACCCCCCCCTCCCACCATCCGGAAAAGGCACCCAAGCGCGAAGAAATGAAAGCATGAATAAACCTAAACCCTAGATCCGAAACCCGAACCAGCATAGCAACCCCCTGCCAGTGCGCACACAGCAGGGCCTCTTCAATCTTCGGCTCGTCGCCTGAACCCCCCACGACTCCGATTCCCGAAGGATTCAAGCTTAGGGTTTAGGGTTTAGGGTTTGGGGTTTAGGGTTTAGGGTTTAGGGTTTAGGGTTTAGGGTTTAGGGTTTAGGTTTAGGGTTTAGGGTTTAGGGTGAACCAGGAAGCTGTTGCTTCGGGCTTCGGGGTTTTTAGGGATTAGGGCTTAGAGGTTTGGGCTGAGGGGCTTAGAGGCTTAAAGGTTTTTGAGGCTTAGAAGTTTCGAGGCCCGGAATTTTGAGTGCATCACAGGCACCCCTCAACAGAGGAGCTCTGGGGAGTTGCGAGCGGCTTCTTTACGGGCTTACATGGGCCATTTGAATCTACGGGACGGGCTCCTAAGCCCTAAACCCTAAAGCCGAAGCCTTGATGGGATTCCTAAACTATTTTAGGGTTGACGGGCCTATAGGGTCTTTAGGGCTTGTTGGGCTTCTAGGGCTTAGAGGGCTTAGGGCTTGGAGCCTTCCTTCTCGTCCTTCTTCTCTTCCTCCTCTTCCTCGGAGTCCGTCACCTCCTTCTCCTGCACGGTGATGTGCACCAAAACCACACCCCGAACCCCCTCCAAAGCCTGGGTTTAGGGTTTAGGGTTTAGGGTTTAGGGATTAAGGTTTTTAGGGCTTAGGACTTAGGGCTTAGAGGGCCCCAAGCACCCAAGCAGACCGACCTTCGACTTCTCCACGTACAGCTCGATGGGGAAGCCGATGAACTCCGAGTGCTTCTTGACCAAGTCCTTCAGGCGGCGCTCCTCCAAGAACTCCGACTGGTCTTCCTTGAGGTAGCAGATGATCTTCGTACCTTTCTTCGGGTCGTTCCAGGGTCCCTTAGCATGGGCCCTTAAGAGAGTAAGATGATCTTCGTACCTTTCTTAGGGTAGTTCCATGGTCCCTTAGCATGGGCCCTGAAGAGAGTACCCCTTATATACGCCTTATATACCCTATACACATTAAGCGCCTTAGCACGCTCGAAAATGCCATGCTTCAGGGGGCTTAAATGCGTAGGATCTATACCCGTAAACCCTAAACCCCTAAACCCCTAAACCCCTAAACCCCTAAACTCCTAAACCCCTAAACCCCTAAACCATAAACCCTAAACCCTAATAGCCCTAAACCCTAAACCCTGTAACCCCTGACCCCAAATCCTAAACCCTGTGACCCTAAACAGGTGCACAAATGCCTCGCTTGATCTCGCCATGCACGAGCTCGGTGTCTTTCTGCACGGTGAAGGATCCCCCGGCTCCGGATTCCCAAATGTACTGCCTTGGGTTTTAGGGTTTAGGGTTTAGGGTTTAGGGTTTAGGGTTTAGGGTTTAGGGTTTAGGGTTTGGGGTTTGGGGTTTAGGGTTTAGGGTTTAGGGTTTAGGGTTTAGGGTTTAGGGCTACACTGCGACACTTGCAAGCCTAAACCGTAGACTCCTTTCTGAGACCCTCGGACTGAGAGTCGCGCGCGCGCGCCCGCAGGCCACCCTACACCCCCCCCGGAAACCGCTTCACAGCGAGCTGCTCGTCGTCGTTGTGCTTGCTGACGACACGAACCTTGTCGGAGACCAAGTAGGCGCTGTAGAAGCCCACTCCGAACTGCCCAATCATGGAGATGTCGCCGCCTCTCTCGTGAATCTAGTACTGATGGGTTGAAACCGGAGCCCAAGAACCCTCGGATAAGGAATATAGACCTTGAAAGAGAAAGGGATTCTGGGCATGAACAAACCCTGCCAACCTCCCCAGTTGAGAAGGTGATACCGTCACCAGCCCATGGCCGTCTCTCGGCACAGCGCAGCACCCTCTGCCCTGCGATCCCCAGACGATTGCGAAGATGAAGTCGAAGCCACTTGATCCCGGAATCTCCAGAGTTCGGCCCACCCAAACCCTAAACCCTACACCCCGAAGCCGCAACCCTCAGTGTGCCTGCCGCCATGGCCTCCATGAAAGCCTTCGTGCCGGACTTTGCAATGGTCCCCAAATTGTTGATCAACTCCTGGCTGGCGCGAGATGGGGGTTTCCGAAATTCGGGGAGCCTTTTTGGGGTCCTTACTACAAGGGAATCCACCTATTCGGCGGTCTCCATATTCTACCGTGGACGCAGGTTCAGGGTTGATGACTCGAGCTTTAGTTGGGGTTGGGGGTGAGTGGCATGGAACTTTACGTCGTTTGCTTCCACCCAGGGAGCATACTTGGCAGCCCAACATTATGCCTCCCATTGACTGGAAAATACACTTAAACCGCTAGCATTGCATAAATACGATTTGGGTTTGCTTGCTTTTTCGGCGACATATATAGGCAGGCAAGCAGCAGACAGCATGCTCAACAAAAACAAAGATCGTTCTTTATCACTTCTTGCAGATCCTTAAGGTAGTATAGGGGCCATATTAGGGGTATATCAAGGGGCTTAGCCCTTGATTTGTGCGCCACCGGAGGAATATCTTTCCTCTTCTTCATAAAACATGGTGAACAAGGAGCCCCTCCTGTGCGTAAAAAGCTAGGGAACAATTCTCGACCAGCTTCTTCATCTAAGAGCGCCCCATATTTTGTTGATATGAAATCCCTCATCCCTCCTCTCACAGCTGCATCAGTAAGACCTAGACAAGCATTGATCTTTGTGACAAAAGGACCCTATCAGTCTGTATGTGTATGGGGAAATAACCCAGATTACCTTGCCCCAAGCACTACAAGAGTCCTGAACTCTAACCTCGTGTAGAATTTTCAGCCCTCAACCCTGAACCCTAAACCCTAAACCCTAAACCCTAAAGCCGAAGCCCTAACCCTAAACCCTAGCCCTAAACCCGAAACCCTAAACCCTAAACCCAAAATCCTAAACCCTAAACTCACGTAGGGAGCCCTTGGTGCATGCCGAGGCTCGTTCTTGGTCATGCCGATGCCGGAGTCCTCGATGGTCAAGGTCGAGTTGGTCTTGTCGGGGATGATCCTGGGGTTTAGGGTTTAGGGTTTAGGGTTTAGGGTTTAGGGTTTAGGGTTTAGGGTTTAGGGTTTAGGGTTTAGGGTTTAGGGTTTAGGGTTTAGGGTTTAGGGTTGCTCCCTAAACCCCCGAAACCCCACAGGTTGAGTAGTTCAAGCTGAGGTCTCTCCGGACCTGGAAGGTTGAGGGTGTAGCGCCCAATCAAGAACTTGGGGGCTTAGGGTGTTAGGGAGTTAGGGTTTCGGGGTTCATTTAAGCTGTTTAGGGCTTGGGATTTGGGGCTTTTGGTTCAGGGTTTAGGGTTTAACCGACTTGCCATTTGCAGCGCCAGGAGCTTGATGAAGAAGTTGGGCTGGGCCTCACTTTTTGGCTGGAGTGCAGCACCCTTACCCAAGCAAGCCAACACCCTCAACAACCCTCCAACCGACACACCGGAAGCAGCGCCAGCAGTCCGAGCAGAGTGCGCCAGATTCACGAGACCCTAAACCCTAAACCCTAAACCCTAAACCCTAAACCCTAAACCCTAAACCCTAAACCCTTCCCCTGAACCTGCCTCGATCTTGTCCGGGTCCGTGATGGACTCGTAGCGGATCTTGTCCAGCGCGTCCGAGGCGTTCGAGATCAGCTCGCGAAGGAAGATCTCCTGGGGTTAGGGTTCAGGGTTTAGGGTTTAGGGTTTAGGGTCTAGGGTTTAGGGTTTAGGGTTTAGGGTCTAGGGTTTATAGGGTTTAGGGTTTAGGGTTTAGGGTTCTTCGAAATTAGGGGGTACGTTATTGGGGGTGGGTCCTTATGAGAAGGGAGTCCTACTATTTTTAGGGGTCCCCTATTTTGGTAAACCCCCTCCTTGTTGGAGTAGAAGGTGTTGATGATGAGGGACATCAGCTGCTGGATGTCAGCATTGAACCTCTTGGCATCCCTCTTACAAACTACTTACTTGCTTGGTCCCTCACAAACATCACCAACTCAAGCTTTCACTCATCTCCTTGTGCGATCCTAAACCCTAAACCCTAAACCCTAAATCCTAAACCCTAAACCCCAGACCCTAAACCCCAAACCCTAAACCCTAAACCCTAAACCTAGACATGGCGGCTTCGTTCCAGAATCAGGGCCCTCTCTGGAGGACGCTTTCATGGTGCCTAACCCCTCCCAAACGCCGAGACATATTCCCAAAGAGGATCCCCTTAAGCCCAAACTAGGTAGAGTGTAGGTATCAAATCATATACCTAAACCCTAAACCCTAAACCCCAAACCCCAAACCCTAAACTCTAGCAAACAAGGTCTGGGAGCGCAAAGGTTTCGGCCATGGCTTCGGGCACACGGCTTTCTCAGCGTCCGCGGGGCAAAACTTAAGTCGACTGTCGCTGCTTTTGAGCCTGAAGGCACCCGAGAACGTAGGGTTCGAGAGGCTTGTGCCTCTTGAGGGCTTAAGGGTTTAAGGGTTCGCTTTCGAGTTTTGAGGGTTGAGTGCAGGTTTGTTGGGTTACGGTGAGGGGAGGATCCTTGAAGACGTTGTAGGCAGGGATACCTATTGGTACCTAACCAGCATTGTCCTCTTGCTTTAGAAGGTCCCGTGCTCTGACAGCTCCGCCATTGAAAAACTCAAACGCACCAAGAGGCCCAAAATCTGCCCTAAACCCTAGACCTTAAACCCCAAGCCCGAAGCCCGAAGCCCGAAGCCCTATAAGGCCTTAGCCCTTAGACCTCAGCCCCAGCTTGCAACAGCGCCCCCCCCGGGGCGCCCACCACCACGACCTCCGAGCCATTCCGCAGCCGCCACCGCTGCTTCCTTCCGCGCAGTCTGGCCCATTCAAGAGGCCAAGATCCCTTAACATTCAGGGCGCTGTACTTTGTAATTATTTGGACCTTTAGGGTTTGGGTCTTAGGGCAAAAACTAGTGAGAATAGACAACTAGTAATAATATGGAAAACCTAAAGAATAGGGTAAAAGGCTTTTCGATGCTAGGCGGAAGTTTTTCGATGCTCGTTGGACATGATGGCTGTCCGCCGGAGCGAGATCGATGCTGGCCGGCTGTTTCCTTTGTCATCTTTCGTTGTTATGAGAGCCGTTAAGTAAAGCCCAATGCCTCTTAACCCAGTGCCCCTCAATTAGTCACTTTACCTTAAACAAGGGAAGCCCACTAGAAGTTCCATCGTTTAGATGTGGGGGGCAGGGAGCCGAGCTACACTAGGGGCCGTTTCTGGTGCCCTGAACTACACGAATATGAACCCAACAAGCCCGTGACCTTCTGAGCATCAAACAAACGCCATGCATAAACCCAACAGCCAGATCCGAGTTCTTCAAGGTTCAGTTTAGGTGCTCACAAACCCTAACCCCCAAAACACAACCCTGCCACAAGAGCACGCACGCGACGCCTGGCGTTGTCGCCGCCGCCGCCGACCACTTCGGTCCTCTTATATGGGGGTTTACGATATTAGGGGTACCTTATTGGGGTACTTCGTATAAGGGGATCCTACTATTTGGGGGTCGATATTGGGGGTCCCCTGTTTTCGTAAACCGCCATATGCTCTTTCCGCATCCCTAGGTTTCGGGGCTTGGATTTGGTTAGGTTTAAGGGCTCAGGGTGCATCCACACCTACAGCTTTTCGGCTTTTTTAAGCAACCCTTGTGGTCTTACCCTAAACCCTTTCAAGTCCTTCCAAACCCTTAACGCTCAGCTGCTAAGCCCTTCAGGGTCAGTTACAGTATGTCCCTGCTAAACCAATATTGCTGAGACTGCACCCAGAGACTCCAAAACTCCTTCATTAAGGAATATACCTTAAATCATATTAGGGTTCCTACTACCATTTAAGGGATATACCTTAATTAAGGGGTTTTGGAGTCTCTGGGCATGTGGGGGCCCCGGATCTGGCGCAGGACGGCTGGGGCTCTTCGGACATCTCCGCTCGAGGTTCCCACAAACCTACAACAGGCGCTTTTTACAACCGCAAAGGGTTTAGCGTCTGAGGTATACCCTAAACCCTAAACCCTAAACCCTAAACCCTAAACCCCTAAACCCTAAACCTTAAACCCTAAACACCAAACCCTTGGGGTTGAGCAAGGTTGCTCAAGGCTTCAGCTGCGGGAACGATGGAAGCAAACCAAAGGTCATGGCTGATGGAGAAGAACCAGAAACATCTGAGTGGCTATACGGCATCAAACAAACTGTCAGAACCCTTATCGCTGAAAGAGAAAAAGCATAATATTAAACACCGGCAAGAGGAACAACTTTAGATACCCCAAATGATCCAAATGTATATGTATATAACATACATACTAACAAGAGGAACTGCTACAACATAAGAAGAGAATGATGCTAACAAGCATACTGGCCAATATTCGCCCAAGGCAACTAGACCCAAGAGCAGCCCAGGAACAAAAAAAGGGGCTGCTCTTTTTGGCTTCAAGGGGCTTATAAGGGAACCTAAGCCCCACAAAAAAGGGAACGAGGGGGAACCTAAACCCCACAAAAAAGGGGCTGCTCTTTTTGGGTTGAAAGGGGCTTATCAGGGAACCTAAGCCCCACAAAAAAGGGGAACGAGGGCCTACTCTCTTCTTGGAATAAAGGGGCTTCTAAGGGAAACCTAAACCCCACAAGAAAGGGGAGCAAGGGCCTACTCTGGGTCCTAGGCAATCATCCCCAGGTCTGCCACGCATATGAAGGTCAGGCAGTTTAGGGTTTAGGGTTTAGGGTTTAGGGTTTAGGGTATAGGGTTTAGGGTTTAGGGTTTAGGGTTTAGGGTTTAGGGTCTAGGGTTTAGGGTTTAGGGTTTTACAAGTTCAGGGATTGTTGGTGCTAAGGGCTTAGGGCATCAGGGTATGGGGCTTAGGGTTCAGGAAGTCGGGTGCCAAGGGTTAAGGCGTGCGGCAGACATGCGCAACGATTGTTCCGAACGCCCCCATGATCCTGGTTGGTACACGAAAACCACGCAAGACCTACCTGTCCAGGGCGTTCTTGAGAAGATCATGCGCTACACCCACCCTAAACCCTAAGCCCTCAACCCTAAACCCTTCAAACTCCGTGTCAACCCATCCGGGCCACCCGGCACATAGAAGGGGCGTCCACTACGTGCGGAGGCCACCTCACTGCCGAGGAGGCTGCGGAAATCGACTGAGCCCCAACAACCTTCTGAGGTTGGCTCTTCAAGAGTGCAGCCCAGAAGTCCAGTGCCCCCCAAATCAGGGAGTATACCTGGAATTTCGACATCACTGGGGTTACGTTAGTTTCCTTGCTTCGGGGCTCCCTAGGATGGCTACAAAACTAAAGACCCTAAAGCCCTCAACCCCAAAAAAAAACCTATGAAGCTCTGTAAAGCCCGAAGCCCTACACCCCCAAACCCCTTAAACCCTAAACCCCCTTAAGCCCTACCTTAAGAACCCAAGACCTACTTTTTTGTAGGTTACCCAAGAATCCTGCAAGGTTTTTTTTTCTAAGAACCTACAAAAAAGTCTTGGGTTCTCAGGGTACTATGGGGGTCGGGAAAATACGATTAGTATTCCCTTGTGGTCCATATACATTAATACTAGAAAAAAACTCCCCAAACCCTAAACCATAAACCCTAAACACTAACCCCTGAATCCTAACCCTAAACCCGAATCCCTCAAAACCCTTTCTAACTAATAAGGCCGCCTACATTACAACCTAAGCTCCAAGGACGCGACGCGCGCGACCTCCGCGATCTGCTGCACCAGGTCCGAGGTGGGCGCCACCACCTCGGCTGTCTAATAGAGGGGCCAGAAGAATTATTGCTAATAGTAGTCAGTAGTCCCTGATGGTCCCTTTGTAAATTGACTTTCATAACCCCCAAGGCTGTCTGGGGGGTTTAGGGCGAGCTTTTTTAGGGGTTTAAGGTCTCTTGGTGCTCAATTGAGGGTTCAAGGCTTTAGGCTTTAGGGCGTATAGGGTTTTAACAATTGGGGCTAAGGGATCTTTGGGTCAGAGCTTGCGGCTTCGGGCTTTTTGAGCTTTCAGGTGCTTTGGGGCTCTGATGGAAACCACGCAGTTTTTCCTTGCTAATATGGGAGTTTACGATGTTTACGATGAGTACCCTAATTTCGGAAACCACCATATGCGGGGTGAATGAAACAATGTAAACTCCTAAGTCCTAAAAGCCGAAGCCACGGTCTAGGAGGGGTCCATGCGTCGTGCCTTTACACTTCCCTCTGTTGAGGATGCGAGGAGCAACTCCCTCGCATCTCCCTGGCAAGCTCCTGCCCCGGCTGTACGTGGGTCTCCGGGGTGCTGCACCCCTAAACCCTCAACCTTAAACCTTAAACCCTAAACCCTAAAATACGCCCTAAACCCCAAACTCTGGTCAGTTCTCTGGGGTTGCCTGGTTTAGGGTACGGGTAGCGCAATCGCCGCTCTAGCCCAAAGAGCAACCTTTTAAGCCCCAAGCAAACACCCTACAAAGCCTGAAAACCCCTAGAGCCCCCCCAAAAACACCCAGAAAACCTTGACGACCCTAGGCCCTAAACAGCAAAAGGGCACTCGATCGCACCAAGGGCCCCTGCGATAAGCTTGACGCGCCGATCTGCGGGGTCCGCGGGGAGCACGTGGCCTAGGCAAAGGGATTGTTGGGGCTCAGAGCCCTCCGGGTTTGGGTTTAGAGGGTTTAGAGGGTTTGGAGGGTTTAGAGGGTTTAGAGGGTTTAGAGGGTTTAGAGGGTTTGGAGGGTTTAGAGGGTTTAGAGGGTTTAGAGGGTTTAGAGGCTTTAGAGGCTTTAGAGGCTTTAGAGGGTTTAGAGGGTTTAGAGGGTTTAGAGGGTTTAGAGGGTTTAGAGGGTTTAGAGGGTTTAGAGGGGTTAGAGGGTTTAGAGGGTTTTATAGGGTTCATAGGGAATAGAGGGTTTAAAGGGTTCAGGTCTTAGGGAACTTTAAGGCCCTGGCGCCCACAAGAGCCGAAACCCTAACATACCCCCTGAATGGGTGGGGGGTGTCCTGAATATAGCCCCAAGCTACGCTAGTCCTTCTTGCCCCCCCAAAAGGGTTCCGCCGCGGCTTTCAGTTGAGTGACGAAGGCTGTCTCGGGCGACCCCCCTTTCACAACACGGAGTCTCAGCCTGAGTCCTGCAAGTTTCGTCCAGGACACGGGGGTCCTCAACCTCAGGCCCCCCCTAAACCCTAAACCCTAAACCCTAAACGAATCCCAAACGAACCTCGAACTTCACCCAAAACTCCAAGACTTGGTAGCCCCATTAGAATAAGGGCACCCTTCTAGGGGTTGGTGACTTTATAGGGGAACCCACAACCAAAAGAAGGATAGAGGGCACCACTGGGCTAGCAACCCTATACCCTCCGCAAGCAC